CAGCAAGCACCTCCTCAGCAAGCACCTCCTCAGCAAGCACCTCCTCAGCAAGCACCTCCTCAGCAAGCACCTCCTCAGCAAGCACCTCCTCAGCAGCCACCGCCACCTCAATCAGAACCGTCGCAATCACCACCTTCACCAGCATTACCCGTTATCGAGACGGTACTACCTGACCCAGGGCCTTCGCCTCCAGGAAGACCAGAGAGACCTACCGCCGCAGCGTCTCCACCCTCAGGAAAACCTGAAGCTCCAGGAAGACCCACACCTCCACCTCCAGAAAGGCCGGGGTCTCCCGGAGGAGGGCCGCCAGGAGGCCCGCCAGGAAGGCCCTCGCCTCCAGCGCCATAGAAAGCAAACCTCAAGGCAACCGACTAGGTTGTTAGTACCAGAAAAGATTTCATCCATCGCTAGAGCAGGTCTGGAACCCATGCAGTGGAATGCTCCTATTCAAAACATGTGATCTGGTCAACCCACAACGGGCATTTCCTAGTCACCATCCAACCGACACCCACACGCAGAAATATTTCATTACCTCTCCAATCCCATCTGAGATGAGATAACAAGAAAAGTCTTCAGCCCTTTACTGTTTGGAAAAGGGAGGCGAAGCGAAGAGGAAAAGCTAACTTCGAAAAACAAAATCTAAAGGGGGATGAAGCCATGAAAATCAGATTTACGAAAGCATACTTGCATATTTTTTGACGTCTTCGAAGACAGTATTTGTATTGTACTACTATGTTGAAAAACGACTCTACGCCACATCTGAGCAAATTTACTATAAACTACCAGCTGTCGCCGCCACGACTGGGGAGAATGGGGGAGGCGTCATTGGCAATGCAATGGGAGGGAGGGAGAGAATGGAGAGGGAAGGCCGGGAAAAGTCATGAAAGGTCGATCGAAGATGGATGCACCGCTATGTGTGTATGTACGATACTATGTACCCTTGTAAATAACCTGTAATCGTAACCTCAAATAGGAAACCGTTAATATCGAATAAACTGCCGAGCACGGTGGCATTCAAGTTACAGTGAGATAAGGTCGATAACATGGGCGACGTGTGAGTGGTTTAACGCTGCCGACGCCCACCGAAATACTAGTATAGTTGAAGGCTCGAAATCGTGATAAATCTATCTATATATAAACTCCGAATAGTCGTCTATCGCGCCTATGCGGCTGACTAATCGCTCGCCGCTTTGCTCTCCCGCTAACCACTATTTAGACGACTCGCTCCCTCGTTCGCTCCCTTCTCCTCTCTTCCTCTCTTTCTGGCTCCCCTTCCACTCTCTTCTACTCCCCTTCGCCTCCGGCTTGCTCCTACTACGCTCCCTTGTCTCTCTCTCTACTCCCTTATGCGTCGGCGAGGCTCCCGTTTAGGCTTCAGTTTTACTTGTGCCTACGTCGCTCGCACCCAGCCTCGTGGTAACTTTACCCGATAGCATCAATGATGGCCCGTTTCGGACCCTAATGAAAGGTGGGGTCCCTAAGAGGATGCCCTGCTATATTGCTAGACGGGGTTAACTAAATCCCCCCGTTCTATAGGATAATGCTCCTCTTCCTCTTTTCCTTTCCCTCTCCTTTGCCTCTCCTTCTCTCGGTTCTCATATTTTCCCCTACCCTCCCTCTATCCCTCGTGTGAATCACTCCTTCTATCTAGTCTTCTTACTACCTAAACGCACCTTACTGGCGTTTCGTCGTACTTTAGCCCTCCCTACCCTCAGCTTGCAAGGGCTCTGAGATCTAGGCTGTTGTGGCAGGTGGCCGGGCGGCCTAGACGAGGGTCGCCGGAGCCTCTTTCACCTTACTTCGCGACTCAATGACTGAGTGGCACTACTCGCGCTAAAGACCCTGACAACTATAAGTTCTAAGTCAGCTTCCACGCGTACGAACCACTCTTGGCGGACTGCAGACGATCTTCCTGCGCTTCGCCCGCGCCCTGGAATGTGTCTCTACCCTGACAACCCCGAGTTCCAAGCCCGAGACGCGTGAGAAGGGGAAGACTCAGAAGAGAAGGAAGTGAAGAGAGAGGAACAAGCTTGGTTAGTTGGAACACACTCCGCGCTGCCGGTGTGGGCAAAGCGGACGGTTCCAGCGAGACACGGTCGGCCTACTGGGCGAGAGCCTGGTAGGTAACGCGAAACGAGGACTACTCACGTTCTGTGGGCTAGCTACTCGCGGGGCGTGGTGCTTAAAGGTGACTACGAATCCTGGGGACTACTACGTGTTTCTGAGAGATACCCTCGGCGTACTACTACTACCGTGGGCGCGTTATGTATGAGTCTAAACTTGACAACTACGAGTTCTAGGCGATGGATGCATATATAAAGGCGGCTCAAAACACGGGAGTAGCAGGGATAGGACATAGGAGGGAGTGCGGTCCTACCTAGGTGGAATATAATTAGCTTCAAAGTTATTACAATAGAAAGTAAACTCTACGAAGCTACATATATTATAGACGCGTCATAAAGATTTCGATCTAGAGCACCGGAAGGGTCTCGACGCCCGGGCCGAAGATAAGCAGCACAATATAGATCTCTACGAGACATAAACTTCGCTTACAAAATAGAATAAATATATAATAAGTTTCTAAGAATAGCTTTAATAGTTATGTCCTATGTATTCTACGGGAGAGAATAGAGTAAATAAAACATACACGCACACACACACACACACACACAACCCAATAGAAAACTACGACGTAGGAGGCGATGAAGGGTATACTCGTACTTATCGTCCCAACCGTTCGTTTAGCGGTGACTTTAGTAGTATTCGAAGGCCCATTTGTAAACATCCCCTTAAGTAACCGCTAAGGGACAAGCCATACTCCAGATGAATGAGGATTCCAGACTGTTCGTCCTCAGTCCTGATCATGACCTGGTTCTCTACAGCATGGAGTAACACTAGACAGCCGGTACTCTCATTGAAAACCAACTGTCAAACCCCAAATTTCAAAAGGAATGTCATCCGTGCCGCTCCTTTTTCCGCTAGCGCATATCTTTTTCCAAGAATTTACATTGATAAGCAGCATTCGACTTTTTCTTCAAGGAGACAGCCTTGTCGATTGTACCACCGCACTTCGGTGTCAAATTCTTCCTCAGTCATTCCGTTGAACGGAAATGTGATATTGGTAACACCCACAAAAGCCGGGTCAGTGGTTTCTTCATTCTCTAGCTCAGTTATCCTCTGTCCGTCTCTGTTTGTAGGTGCTTTGACCGGCTTGACACCTAATGTCTGCGGGTCTGATGGATAATCATCTCTGTTGACACACAATATATTAGTACCAAGATGTTTTTTATATCCGCTGAAACAGCAATCAACGGTCATAAGTAAGGTGGGAAGGAGGAGGAAGAGGGCAAAAGCTTTTCGACACTGGCTAACTGCATATTCCAGAGTCTTGCCATGAGGTTGAACTTACATTTTGCCTCCTAACTTTCCCCAGACATACTTTGTCAATGCATACCAGGCATAATTATCAGCTAGTTCAAGGGTTTTGGTCAGCGTCAGAGATTCCTTCTGCTAGCAACAAGATGGAAAGTATGGCCAGGTTAAGAGAAACATACCGTTGCGCTGGGTATAGAAGCCACCTCGATTGGTCCTATAATTGGCTAAGACTTTGGCTCTAAATGGGCCATATACGCTGTCAAAGTCGGATAACTTGTTCTTTTTCAACGATATGGTGAGGTCGTCTATAAATGGAGTTTGAGCCGGGGCATTAACGAAAAAATCCAGATGTGTCACCTCATGGAGAAAGACACGCGCTCGGTTGTCGTAGTCCCACATGTCCTTGCTCCGCTTCGAAATTCCAAGATTTACAGCATCCGTCAAGGATTGATGTTCGAAAAACCGGCTGCAGAAGGTGGTTTCGTCATATTCACCAGGCATATTATTGTCGCTAAAAGCCTCAATTCTTTCCATTTCTGGGTCGGGTCGTGAGGGTCCGTCAGGTAGGCATTGAGGGGGGTCTTCTCTATCTCCACATATGTTTTTTGGATCTCCCTCCGAGTCTACCTTGCTGCTGCATCGGACCTAGGAGGTGAATCAGTTTACGTAATGGAGTGAGTGCCATAAAAGCGGTTTCACTACTTACTTTAATCCAGTGTGAGAAAGGAAATGGGATTACCGAATAAACCTCGTTGATGTTTTCAAACACAACTATTGAAATTGAGTACATTCCGTGACTATTAGAATAGGTAAAACTGACTTTGAATTAACTGCTTTGCGTCAGCGGTGAGTTGATAACGCTGGTCCCTAGTTGATGGGCCCTAATAATCTTTCGCAGCTTGATCTTTGAAATCGATATTGGTACTGATACCTTTCACTAAGGTATGCATATCGTCGAAGGCCTCCTGTATCAGGACTGCATTATTTCCAGGGGTGCAGCCTACCCATCCATACAGCCGAGTACCAAGGAGGTTTTGGAGACTGACGTTGCCGAGCACGCCTGGTTCAAGTGGAGGATAAGGCCGTATAGAATAGTCTGCGAGATCCGGTGGAGGTGGAAGAGGAGCAATGACGGAACGGACGCGGGATAAACCAGTTATACTTTGCGGAAGTGCCAGCACTCGAGAGACCGCAATCAAGAGAACGACAATTGTAGACGAAAAGTTCATTTTTCCCCAAACAAACTAAGGACAAAAGGCAGGGGGCTTTAGAAAGACAACGGAGAACTTGAAGAGTGCTTGACAAGGTAACTTTATATACTTGAACGGAGAGATGGTAAGACGCTCGAGATAGAGGACAACGGGGAGTTCGACGGGGGAATTTGGCTGTTTTTCTAGGCATTTGGAAGACTTTGCACTCCGTAGAGTGAACAGCGCGCATAACACGTCCATTTCGATGGCTCTAGGAATAAGCCCAGAGCAAAATAAGAAATCTTTCAACGATTCAAGCGCGGGCCGCAAGGTTGAAACCATGCGCCTTAATGCCCAGGATTAATCTCCCCAAAACGGTGCCGCGCCAGTACCGCGCTGGCAAGATACCGGTCATATCCCTATATTTATCCTTGCTCTTGTGGTCATCGATAATTTTAGATAGATTTGTGCAGTCTATATGTAGATTTGACCGTGGTGGTTTCCAATTTTATTAACGAAGTTGTAATAAAGGCGCGCGGCAAACTATGAACCTAAAGCAGGATTAGCTTGGCAAGTGCGTTATATAAGCAGGCGACTAAGTGCAACTCAAACCTACTCATCCTTTAGTTCACTTCAAGATATTCTCTCTCTCTCGCTTATATCGCTTCCGGCCCACCCATTCCTACATCGATACTGCATTAGATTAATTCCAAATTCGGCAGCGTATATAATGTTCATGATTAAGACTCTCAAGAGGCTCTCCGACCAGCATCCAATTATTTCCAGCCTTATCGTCGGTGTCGTGGTAACAGCGATTACTAGTAAATGCCTACGGATTTTAAATCCCTATTCTGTAGCTGACAATAACTACTATAATAGTATTATTCGGTCAAGCCCTATATTGGCCTACGGTTCGGGCGATGCGCGGGTGGGAGATGCCGCCCAAACATCGACGACGCATTATTTCTTCATTCCCTAGAAAAAGTTATCCGCGACGTACTGATTACGATCTTTACGGCTGTAATGTATATGGATGGCCATCTATAGGAGGAGTTATTATTCGCCCAACCGCCGATGCTGTTGAGCTGGAATACCTTGGTCTTGATCGGCTAGATCCTTCAATCGAAATCTTTAATGATCAAGACTTAGAGGATAGGTTCTGCAGTTTACTGCTTAGTATCGGGGGAGTTTGGTGGCCGACTATAAGAAGATATGAAGCGATTAATCTTCCTGGTATAGATCCTCCAGAGGGTCTAACCGAAGGAGAGCAGAGAATTTATCGATACATGGGCTGGCCTAAAACCGGAGGGGTATGGGTGTCAACTTATGAAGCTGAACCTGAAGGTGATGCTCCCCTTCTTCCTGGAGATATTGGGCGACTAAAGCTATGCTTTACAATGGAGGAGAGATGTGAAATGCTCAAAACGCACTTCGAGGCCACCTTCTATCCGAACGCAGATGAGATTAGCTACCTTGCCGATCTCGAAAAACTGGCTATCGCTATTAACGCGACGACCAAAACTAAATGGAATTCGGACTGAGGCTCGAAGCGCATTGAAGAAGAGGGATTGGGCTTCCTCGGTGGAGAAACCCGGATGCTGCAAATTGTAGGCATATCTTCGCAGCTTCGTTGACATGGATTCGAGTGACGATAACCCTACCCGCACCATTTTCGCAACCTTTACAGCGATGAGGTGAAGTTAAACGAGAGAAAGGTTACTAAGTTGACATCATCCGGTCTAGATATATTGATGGTCTAGATACATTGATAGTCTAGATACATTGATAAGGCGAAGGACAATTGGGATGCTGGCGCTGACAGTTTGCGTGAGTAGTCAAAGCAGCAGTGAAAGATAAGGTGTCAAAGGACCTCGGCCAAAAGGGCAAAAGCATTAGATATCCATCGAATGGTTATGGAATCTCAGGGCTTAGCTAGCAAAATGACAAGACTCTCGGCGACCGGTCTAGATATTCAAGTTAGGTAGAATCGCTAAAATGTATTACAGGAGATGGGAGATGGGACGCGCTTCGAGTTAATTTTACGAAGGTCGGACAACACCCTTTTATGGCAGCAAGGAAATCCAGAGCGACCATCCCTCCAGGTCTTTGAGGCGCCATGGTCAGAGTTGTGCGGTCGAAGGCACACATTGTTTTCGAAGAGGTGGACGGATCCCTAACTGTTCCTGAAGGGGGACTGTTTCTAAGTCCCAGTGATGGTTAGGAAGGCTACTCAATCTGGGAGACGTCTGAGGATGATGGGGGGCTGGTGTACTTTGCGGTGTCTTTACAATAGGCGATCCGGTAAATATAATGCCCAGGTAAAGATTGATTATATACGATTGGAGGATCTTTTAGGGAGCATTATTCCATTAATAGTAAAGTTTAATCCACTAAATCATTAGCGTTTCGTCGGAGAAAGTTATAATATGTTCGTAAAGGGGAGGGCAGTTTCGGGAACCACTGTAATCTGCGCCTGTGTTAGTGAGACTTCAAGTAGACATTTACAGGAATTGTTTGCCATATACGGTTGTCTGTTGGATTGTTCCAACAGTCCCGGATCCGTTTTCGATTCCAACGTGCAACAGCTAATGTATTGTAAATATGTCTCAGTTAACACTTTTCGGGCCCTGCTCTCTGGAGAAGATGACGAATTATCCACTGCATACCCACTTTCACAAATGGTGGAGCAGGAAACGCAGCTTATCTATGTAAATTGTACCCCAAAATCCTTTAGCGGCTCTCACGGAGCCAATGGTGAGCGCTTTGGCAACCCAAATTGACCTCTAGTTGCCAAAATGGCCTCCTTATGGGCTCTCTGTCGGCCCGGACAGCCCAAATGGGCCTCTAGATTCTTGGAAATGGGCAGGACGTGCCATCATGCAGACGGAAGGACCGAAGCTTCCAGGCCTAAAACGAATGAGGGTACAGCTGAGCAAGTGTAGCCGAGGGCCCAAAAGGGACCTCCGAGCCCGAATTGGCTTCTGCGGTTGGCATCAGGCAAGGCTCTCTGTGGCTCGCGCAGTGCTCGGGCGCGCTCCCCCGGTGCTCCCCCGTACTCTGCCGTGACTCCTTCAAGGTTTCTCCGGCACTCAGCCGGGCTCCCCCGATGCTCCGTCACGTGCCCGATTAAAGCGGCCTCGCTCCCTTTCCTGAACGAAACTGGTAATGGATGGGGCACAGTTCGGGGCATATATAATATATATATATATATAAAATCTCAAGGGCGAATCGGTGATGTGGCAGATACGTATACATATAATAAATTGGCCTTGCCTCCCACGGTACCCCCTGGTCTTATCTTGCGGTACCCACCCTATAGGAGCACACACATACATACGCAGACACACAAAGACACACATACATACACACGTACATACACACGTACATACACACGTACATACACACGTACATACACGCGTACATATAGGTAGACATAGACGGAAAGTTAGATAAGGTACACACAGTGTAGTCACCGCGCCATCACCATGCCCCATCCAGTCCGCGCCCATGTTCTCACTCAAGATCAATTATACAGCTAGACTTGTGTTCAAGCACATGTGTGTAGCGGACACCAAGAAGATGGATTGGACCTAGGGCGAAACAGAGACGATTTTGGGACAGTTGCGCAAGTTGGTAGTCCAAGAAAACCCGACGAAGGAGAGGAACTGGAGAAGGATGATAGAGGAGATGTATGTCTTTCGCTCTCATGAATTTGCTGATAAAGTCATTGAAGGTAAATCTTGGGTGAGTGGTGTCTTCATTTGATGATTCGACAACCTCGTGGATTTGAGACAGCGAAGAGTGCGAAGGATTCCATGGTAGTTTGTGAAGTCGAGTGTCCAACCCCAAGGATAGGAGATGTGGTAAACGAGGTCTTCCTGTTTCTTTCCTCGCCCAGTCGCAAACGACGATTCCACTGTTATTCTTTGTACAGTCTCCGCTTCTACTCCATCGGAAACACCTACAACACCTCGCCCACGATCTTCGCTGCTTCCTTATATGTCGCCAAAAGCTTCTCGCACTTCTCGCGCTCCTTCTTGATGCCATCATCCTCATATAGTAGCTCCGCGAACAGATCTTCTCGGTACAGCTCACTAACAAGCCGATTTTGTACTTCATCTCGTGAATGGTTGACTAGCAGGTGCATGATGGCTTTGGGTACTTGATCAGCGATCGTTTCGCGGACGATATTAAAGTAGTTACTGATTAAGCGACGGATTAATTCTGTTTCAAGGGCTTCGCGGTCCGTCAGAGCTGGCTCAGCTGCTTGTTCGGGCTGCAATTACGATGTCAGTGACCGGCACCACGATTCATGGGGAGTAGTACTTACAAACAGTGATGTGGAATCTCCACCGTACTCCGAGAGAGCATAGTCATCATTCATTGGAGGTGGATAGACAGGCGAACGCTCCGTAATACTGCCGCGCTCCATTCTTCGTATACTGTGTGAGAAACTAGTATCTGCGCTGTGGCTCGCGTGTCGGAGTGCAGAGTTGTTGACGGTTGATGAAGCTGAGAGATTTCCTGAAGGTAGGGCTCCATCCTTACCAAAGAAATAGTTCAAGAATGAGTCTCTAGCAGCACCAGCGCCTTGGCCTGCCGAAATGCTGCCAATGCCATTCTCCCGGTCTCTCGTCACAGCAGGAGACATGCTCCGGTTTAGGGTATTGTGTTTTCGTGTTGGCAAGGACATTGCCTTGTCTTCCTGTTCCGCTTCTTCTTCATCGGGGGTCGCGACACCATTTGTGCCTAGTTGTTTCTGTCGTTGCTTCTCTCGTTTTCTTCTCTCCTCGGCCTGGGCAGCCTTCTTGTCCTTCTCATTCTTACTAGCGATCACAGATGACATTGCAGCTGCTGCACCTAGGAAATTCGGATGATTTGTGTTGATGTAAGCGCGCTGAATAGCGATCAGAGACTCAACATAAGTTGAAGCAGGTCCCAATCGTTCTCTCAGCAGATCTGAAACAACTTCAATCAATTTGCCTTGCAATCTGGGGAACCTTGATAGTTCCGTGGAGCCACAAGTATGACAGATCTTGATCAATTCTTCGTAGACAAGCTCGACACACCGTTGACTGGGGATCTCTAATAGCTTGATCTGAGGCTTGACAAGAAGGTCAAACGCGAGCTCCGGAACGAAGAGACTCGGTCGTGGACCAGTCGAGTTTCGAATTGCGGTGCGAATGTCGAGGACCGAGAGATTATGAGTAGGGTCGATGGTCTCTAGGGAATTACCGAAGACAGAGTTGAAAATGTAGTATATCCTCGCACCACCGCAAAGTTCTTTTGTGGAGATTTCAGAAGAGGTACCGTCGATAGAAGAGATGAAGGAGGTTGCAAATCGGGTCATCAACTGTAGAATCAAGGAACCACGGTGCTCCTTGCCACTGAATTGTTTGCTTCCGTAGCTAGCGAGCTCTTGTTGTGTTTGGCCCATAAGAGTATTCAGGCGTGCTTTGATGTCTGGTAGTCTATCGCGGATATGTCCCATTAGAGTCGTATTCAAGGTCCTTGCCAAGTACTGTGTGCCACATCTTGTTGCCATATTTCTGTATGCTGGATGATGTCTAAAGAACTCGGCCTCGGCTCTAAGAGCATCTGACATAGGTTTCTGTGTCTGGATATCTTGTTGTGACCGATTGACAACACCGATAAAACCAAGCTTCAGTGGGTAGACACGACCTGACAAGATATCCAGGGCATTTGTTCCGTGGTCCATCAAATCTAGTTTTGTTAGGACGCCAATCGTCCTTCTTCCCATGGGATCAACATGACGCGCAAGTTTGAGAGCTTCGGAATTGACAATATCGACATTGGCAGGGGATACAGCCAGGACGATGCTATTTGGTTTTGCAATGTATTCGGAAATGAGGGTTCTAGTCTGCTTCTCGATATCTCCAGGCTGGTCGCCGATCGGGACCTTGGTCAAGCCAGGTAAATCGACCAATGTCAAATTCAAGACGTGCGGAGAAAAGATCTTGAGGTTGATCGGTTGTCTGTTGATGCCCTTGTTGTTTCCAGCTATCCTGGCCGTCTCATTTTCAATTTCGGCTCGGACTTGATTGAAATCGGTGAACTTGCGGCCCGGAATGTGATGAAACTCTGCCCATTCTCCGTGCTCGGCGACACTGGCGGCAGAATGTGGCACATGAACCTCATCACTGCCATTTACATCGTCATCGGGAGGGATGTTGATCAGCTGTAGAATAAGAGGTCGGCGAGTGACAATGCCGCTGCCTCGGGGAAGAAAATCTCTCCCAACAATATTTTCAAGGACGGAGGATTTTCCTGATGATTGCGAGCCGACGACGACTATCTGAGGGAGATCGAGAGAATCATTGCCAATGGTATTGAATACCAGGTCCTGAAGCTTGTTGACCGTGCGCAGGAGGTCATCGCCGAGGGTGGTCATTGTCGACGACTGTGGCCAGATGGCAGATTGAGATGTTTCAGAATTTGGGGGGGGGAAAGTGGGCAGCGCAGACAAGGAAAGACCGTTGGGCGATGTCGAGGAGTGTTACAGAGAGGGTGCAAGTAGGTCCATACGCCGAAGGATGTCGTAGACAACCATACACAAGCAAGGTGGAAAAGGTGGTGTTGTGGGTTAGAGGATGATGTGCAGGCACATGTTTACAGAGGAGCACCGAGATGCAAGAGAAACGCGGGTCAAGGTGTGCAGGCGAGCACGGAGGTCTGGGGTTTTCGTCTGACAGGATGGTCTGGGCTCTGTTGCGATGTTACGAGTATCGTGCCAAGACATTTATCCTCATGTCTGACTGCCACACTCGGCTTAACCTCCCAATTGCCACTCAGGCTTCCGCAATCGTCGCCCTGACGTCGTTGGCTTCAATCGTTCCTTCCTCAACCTTTGGCTACTGGCCAACTGGCAGCTGCGATGCAGAGAAGCTCAGACTGGTGAAAAGGCGGGGGGATGCGAGAGACAGTCCTCGTATAGCTATTAGTACTCCTAGCTACACCATAGCAACCCATCCACTCTTGTCTCTTTCGTAATTCCACAGATCTACCATCATGAAGCTTTTTATATCGCTAGTCGCGGGCATATTGCTCATTGGCAAAACAACGGCCCTGCCAACTGAGTCCAGTCACCAAAGCTATCTCCAAGCTGATGAGTCCACTGCGTCCACCATCCGGGATGTTCTCGTCGACAATAAAATCATCGGAGACGTCCTGGACGACTTCCAACCTGACTATTACCTAGACATCACCTATCCTAAGCATCACGAAGTCGTTTCCTTGGGCAACGACATTCCCGTCAAGTCCGTCTCAGACCGACCAGTCTTCTTATTTCGACCCTTGAGTCCCTTGAAGCCCCCTACAGGAGACGATAAAGACAGCGACAACGACGCCGTCTTCACCCTCATCTTGACCGACCCGGATGCAAAGTCACGCGACAATCCCAAATGGTCCGAGATGTGCCACTGGATCATTACCAATCTGACCGATCCGACACGAGAACCACCGCCTCCGCCATTCTTCGAGTCACCCCAACTTCTTGGCTTGCAATCTGGGGAAGTCGAAAAGTACCTCCCACCAGGCCCACCCCCAAGAACCGGACCGCATCGATATGTTTTCGTGCTGCTGAAGGGTGATTCGCACCTTGTCAAGGCTCCCAAGGACAGAAAACATTGGGGATATGGGAAGGTTCGCCATGGCGTCAGAGACTGGGCTGCAGAGAACAACCTGACAGTCATGGGAGCGAATTTCTTTTACGCCCAGAATGTGAAGCAGTAGCTGTAACACCCAAGGTTGTGGTCATCCGGCGTTGATCGAGTGGGTTGCCTTTTACTGATCAAAAGTCGAATTTTCATGACTAGCTTCTATCAAAAGCCCCAATTCAGTCATCCTTCTTGCAACCGATCCGATGGCTTCTTTCCCTTGCTTCAGGTGCTTCTCGATTCCCGATGCTGCTGCAACATCTGCCGCCTCTGCTGAAAAGAGCCATGGTTCAATGAGTTGCGCGATTCTATCCTGCTCCACGTTTTCATCCCGTGGCTTGCTGCCAAGGACCGAGCTCGCATGTTGAAATCGTCCCGAGTGAGCGAGCATAGGGTAGGCTTGGAGGAGCTGACTTTCGTCGCTAAGGCGCTCAATCACTTTGACAATACTTTCAGTCTCGGTTCTCAGCTGCTCCTCAGCAAGCCCTAAATGATGCTGAGTGATATTGTGCTGCTGCATAGCTGGCAAAAGCCTCTTCTCGATAGAGCCAACCATATGAGTCTCTGCCAACCTCGGTGGTCGCGTATTAGTATCCATATCCCTTGCCCCAGCCTCGGACTCGTGACCTTCAGCCTGTAAGCCGGCCCCTGAGACTTCAGTCTTGAGTGCTGACACGGCCAAAAGCAACCTCTTGCGTGCTTCGAGGTACCGCTCATACTCTTCATCCGTCTTCTGCTCCATTTCAACCTCATCAAACGCGACTCGCTGACCACTCGCGTGCTCCACACACCGCGGGTCGCCATCGATATCGTCTTGACATTTCTCCAAGCTCTCCTCCAACCAAGCAGTCAACTCGCTCCGCGTTGACGACAGCGCAGAGACCTGTTGCTGCGCCGTATGCGTAGAGAAAGGCCTCGATTGTGCCTTCAGGCCATCCAACGCCGTCGCTTGCCGACCAGCTTCACGTTGAGCTTGAACCACAGCGATCTCCATTCCTTTCATCAAATTCTCGACCAGACCCTCAAGCCTCGGGATTGTCCCACCGGTGTCATCGCCCACAGGCTGGGAAGCAACAACACCCGGCACATCAGTATCAGCATCAGCATCGACCGCAATCCGAAGACTCGACAACCCGCGAGCCAACTTCAGCGCCTCAATTTCATCCCTCAAACACACCAGTTCACCATGCTGCTTCTGCAATCGGAGCAATTTAAGATGTCTCTGTAGCACACTCGTAGAACTCGCACGACCACTCGCTGCATTTCTAGCGGTCGCGTTCCCATCGGCGTCGGCCTTGACTTCTTGGATCCGCTGCATGGCCTCTGCACACCGCCGCTGCGCCACGGCATTAGCTTGGAACGCTTTAAGGTATTCCGCATGGAGGCCGCCATCTTCCTCGGACTGAGGTTCAGGGAGGACATCAAATCCTCGCGCTCCATAGTCTCTAATTTCTTGAACCCGTCGCGCCAGACTGTCTTGGTTGTCTTTTCTGGTTTTTGCCGTTTGCGGGTCGGCGTGGCCATTATCCAACGCAGACCAGGCTTTCCCGTAATACATTGTCGTTCAAACTTGGAATATGCAAATCCTGAGTTCCAGATTATCACAGAGTGAGCGCGACCTCAAATCTTGACCACAAAGACTGCTTGTTGGTAGGTCTGCGCACTGACATTGGACACCCACTTGCAAAAATGATCGTAAAAAAACAATACTGCCCTGCCTTCAAATTCTCGTCATCTGAGCCGCCCTCACGTGCGTACTACTCGTATCTGACATCGTCGAGCGGCCTATCGGCTCTCCCTCGTACCATTATCATTAGTATTAATGTTCTGTAGGTTTGTTGCAAAGGAGTTCATGGCGGGCGTTGATAATGAGGCGATTCAATGTTTGCCGAGATATCCCACATCCACCCCACACCCAGCGGCTCCACTCGTATTGATCAGGACCAAGGGTTAAACAATGTCTAGCTCTATGTACATATCTTTCTGTGCGCCAAGGAACACAGGACGAGGAGAATGGTTTACGGGAGAGGGTAAAAACCATACGAGGGACAGAATAATCTTAGGAGACATTGACCTATCTACGTAGTTGTAGGTTCCTCACTATCTCCCAGCCTGGGCCAATGAAGCCTTTCAGCGCGATATGGGTGCATCTCACCATTCATGCCACGGATGCCCCGGCTTGCTGAAACCACCCACTCAGAGTTCTTTCCTGCACAACAGACCGACACACCATCTACACTCATCATAGGCACCTTCGTTCCACTTCAAATCCACAAGGGAGTCTGATCAGTGGGTCGCGGGATAAAGATGATACCAAACGACCAAGGACGGAGATGACTCTTTGATCACATCCGCTCACCGGAGAGACCTCATCACCTGCAGTGATGACCGCCCAGCGCCGCATGACTTGTGATGCCAACGATGCGTTGTAAGCTCAACCTGGGAAAATGGGTCTTTTAGCCCACCCTAGATGCTACCAGTCACTTGCTCGACATGCACCAGACAGTCCATCAACCACAAGTGGCCAACATGATTGTGATATTCAGACTCAAGCCGATCAGCAAAGCCTCCGCTGGCCGGCTGTGATTGCTCTCAAACTTCTAGAGGAGGGTGCAGATGAGTATCGAGAGACGGTGGGTACTGGAGGCCTCCAGCCCAGCGCCCAAACTGGAGGATCGCTCGAATGTCTTGCCGTTGTCGTCCCCTGCAAAAGAGTGATGCAGGATGTGCACCGTAGAAAGCCCTGTCGTAGATAGCAGAGTTGCACAATTCAACGACCGTATCACTTCTTCTTCTGAACGTGTGCTCTCGCCTGCATCAGCATCTGCACCAGCTCTCTATGATCCTCTGTCCCCTCCACACCTTCCTTCTCAACTGCCCTCTCGAGCCACTCGACGGCATCGCGCCACCTCGCCATCTCCATAAGACACCGTCCCCCCACAATCCAAGCCTTTGGATTCCCGGGGATCCTCTCACCATTCGGGCCTTGGCCTGGCCCGCTCTTACACTCGACACTGCACTCCGCGTCGATCAGACCCTCAACCCAGTTCTGCACGCTGCAGTTCGCGGCCCCGCGCGACAGATACATCATGGCGAGTTCCTCGCGGGCGAGGCCCATCGGCTCCCAGCCCGGCCGCGCCGCCGCCATGTCTATCGCGACGCCGAGGAGTCGGATTGCGCCTGGGTTGTCGCCCTTTTTGGATGTTGCTGCGGCGGAATCCCGCAGTTTTTGGATCTGTGCCGATCTCTTCGGATTGACGAGCATGGGCGCAGGCGGGACATTGTTCGGTGTCTCGAGGGATTTGAAGGATGTGTGTAGCCGATTGAGGTTATCTATCGCATCTTGGATCGTCTTGTCGGAAGAGAGGATGGAGACTTGTTTGGTTTGCGGGTCGACGTGCACAGGGAGATGTGTGTATGTCTCGAGGGCGTCATCGCTGGATGCCATGGCGAAGAAACAAGAGACGGTGTTGGGGATCTATTTACGGGAAATGGCCGCGAGAGGTCTGAAGGAGAGTGTAGCAATTCGGAGAAAGGAGAGCCCTTGGACAATTCAGTTGTCTGGCCTTCTTGGTCTCTGGCACTTGTAGATCTGGCAAGATCTCGGTTTCCGGTGCGGTTGGGGGGGGGGGATGTCTTGTTCTATGCTTCACCGTACATCCGTCATTCACATAATCCGGTGACCGTTCTTTCCCACTACCTTAAAAAGCACGTTGGTCGAACCAACACAGCGTTCACGCACCAATTGATTAAAATTAAACCCGCATATAAACACACAACACGGCCAGACTCATCGCAAGGCAACTCAGTATCGAGAAAGCTTGTTTGCTCTATTGGGCTCCCAGAGCTTGAAGGCCCAAGCCTGTTGGGGAAAACATAAACGAATCCTTTCTAGAGGTCCGTTCGGTCTCGGATACGGCCATGAAACATCAGCCCCCTTCAATAGCATTCTTGCTTGTTTGCTTGGCCTTTTGCCTGCGTTTGGTGAAGCTGGGCTATGGCTCACAGGCCTCGGCCTCGCATAGCCTGGCAGGGGGGGGAATAATCTTCCTGGGGCCAGCCCCAAGGCTCGTGAGGTGTTGATGGCTGCCTACAGGCTTTGTGCGCTGAATGCAACCATGTAAGATGTTGCAACCACGCATACCTGGTAAGTTCGTCCAATTTTCCGATGCCCAGGGAAGGATACTGCACCGTCCTCCGTTTCTGAGGGTGTTTGTTCAGCTACTGTGATTCTGATGAGGTCCAAACCACCCGCTTTGGCCGAGTTCGTGGATATTTCCATACTTGCACAGACGCCTCAGGAGTATCTCGAGATCATGAACCCAAGACCAGAGCATTTTTCTGAGTACGATACCGCTTTGACTAATCCCACGAAGGGTAGAAGTGAATATATGGCTTAACCTTTTCAGCAAGACTTCTGGTCCGCTGATTTTGTTACTAAACAACCCTTGAATATCGATGTCGATTCGTATGAAAGATTGTTTAGTTCTCCAGTTTATACAGAATGGCGGGTGAGACTTGCCCATGGGCGGTGCATCTAAACGTACTGCTACTAAAGGGGGCTTAGTTGTTGAGGCCCCTCAATGAGAACAGCCCACCATCGGCTCGCCTGAGCGACTCATAGGTGGTTGATACGCATTAGTACAACGTGACCATGTGCAACACCCGTTGAATAGAGGACATTAACAGGGTCGGGATCGAACACGCCCTGATTTGTATCGGGTTTTCGTATGTTGCCAGGTTCGTAACAAGGCCCTCAGACGGTCTATAGGCTGGCTCGGATCTTTCCAACACCTCTCGATGGACGGGGAACTAAGAATACCTCAGTATTCTATGGGTCGAGTTTCATGATTTGCTGTCCTTCTATTTGGCCCTCTGAGCCATTGGGCCTCAGTATGTCAAGGATGACATGTCTGCTCCTGCAGGCGGCAGACTGAGACATGTGACGGCAAATACAAAGCGAGCACGCGCTGCATGTCTAAGGAAGAGTCTTTAACCATTCATTCTACCCAGTATTGCATAGCTCTATATTTTTCAACTTTGGCTGATCATCCTGCAACGTGAGAGACCATATCTGCTTCTTCAAAATGAGTACTTACGATAGTAACACTCCATATGTGGTGATCGATAGATACTCCGACTTGGAGGCAACATCACCAGCGAAACAGGCCCAAATACTACCTCAAAGCACTCTTGCAACAACCCGGGCAAATGGATATGGTGAACCTGCGCTGGAGAAAGGTCACCCCAAAGCATTCCGTCGTGGGACATGGGCATTCGTCGCAGCTGTAGCTTTTGCCAGTGCCCTCATAGTTGGCGGGGCGGTAGGGGGCGGACTGGGTGCAACGCTTGCAAGTTGTGAGAATGAAAAAAAGGATATGCAGAATCAAATGTTGTGAGTTCAACCGCAGCATAATAAAACCTACCTTCTTCCAGTGGCTGACACCCGTTAGGATCACATCTTCGATAAACTTAGCAGAACAGTTGACAGTGCAGATGCCAACCGCAACCGCAACATCAACTGAAGCTGGAGCAACAGACGGCCTCCTCGCAAACTATGCCGTCGTACCAGCCACCAATGTTTATGACACCTTGTTCGACTGTGAGGACCTTGCGAAGAAGATTCAAACGACAGTGTTCAATCCACGATCCAACCAAAGCTACAAATTATACTGCGGGAAAGATATTGGAACGGGTACAGCAAAAGATTCGAAGGGAAAGGATGTCCCATACCTTGACTTGCTCGGTATCATCCAGTACGATCTGGCAGGCTGCCTTGAAGCATGTTCTTCGCTCAACCGCTTTGTCGCGGCAAACGACTTGGACGAAGCTCAGAATTGCCGGTCTGTGGTTTTCCATTCGAAGATGCATGAGGCCCTGGCCAGCCAAGAAGCGAATTGCTGGATTAAGAATGGGACACCACCGACTATCGAAGCCAGTTCAGGCCAGGGCCCATTTTTGGTCGTCAGTGCTGCTTTGCAAGCATGAGGCATGAGCGGATGAAGTCTGTAACCAGTCTGAAAGTGGACACTTTTGATATGGCCCGATGTGCCTGCCAGGTCGTCCAGGATTCACACTGCGAAAGCATTCAAACATTGGCGACGACCAAGAAGGTCAACATCACCACCCATCGTTAGGCATGAGCTGGAGTGGGAGCAAGGTTGCGGCTCTTCGTAGAGGCTACACCAAGGCAACATTTCCCACATCCTACCACTTCGCGACTATAACGGGTTTTTGAGATTTCTTGATCCGTCACGATGAAAGAAAGTTCCTCCCGAGAGCGATTGTAACTCAGCCAGATGGACAATTCGGACGGCAAACTTGAAGGTGTTTGAAACTGTGGGTCGGCGCCCTCACGCTGAGAGACGGTAAGCACGAGAAAACATTCCGAATTTCTCTCAGCCGCTCTCGTCTTTCAGCATTACCAACCCGTCATTCGAGAAGGGAATAAATCCTGATCACAGGGGCAAATGGATGCCTGAAGTTCAAGTTGTGGGTGTACGGAGAGGTCTGGATCTTGGTCCTCGCCGAGTTGTCCAAACTCACGACGGGATGCATTTACACACAACCAGAGGCGCTGACTCACCAAAAGGGAATGGCCCGAGGGTGCCGGGGTGCCTGGGTTGCCTAGTTATGCCTTATGTAACGCAATCGGATATCGGACACGCAAGGATTTGGATGATGGAGTTCCATATTAGTTATGCGATTGCTGGCCTTGGGAGATTACAGCCTGGAGAATTCTAGAGAGTAACAGAGAAGGATGGTGGTCCGCATGACTGGCGATCTTCGGAAGTAGGCCCCGGAAACAATTCGCTAAGGGGAACCCGGCACGAGGGGGCCTTCTGCTTCCCTACGGAGTGCTTGCACCCGAGAGATGTTACAACTTGCCACTTAGTGGTCGGGCGCCTTGCGTAGGGCTCAGCGCATGACATAGATGCTTCCGGGAGCCGCAACATGCCACTCGTTGATAGGGATCGGTGGAACCGGATGGAGCGACTCCCTTCCTTTTCGCCACTGCGCACTGCACCCCATGCAATGTGGAGAGAAGGCACGTCTGCAGGTCCCGGTCCCCAGAATGATGATGGAATGACGGACTTGAATCACATGAGTTGTGGAAAAAATATCTAAATCTTCATCTGGGGTCGTTGATGATGTGTCTTGATGGACCGGCCATTTGACCCCTTGGTACATTATTCCCAAAAATGTATCCAATTCGTGTTTCTCAAAACACCTGCATTGCTGAAACATGTCGTCGTCGTTTGGCATCGATGGAGAAACCACAATCATAACTTCGTAGACAGAAAGCCCACAACTACCGTAAAGAGGGCACAGTCATCCACCCAAATATGTCCAGAGGAATTAAACCCAACACTGCATCTCGTCGACGTCTGAATTAGTCGTAATTCCTCCTGTGGTCATGGCTGTGTCTGCGCTCGCGCTCTGACCGCTCATGGCTGCTTCTCCGTCGGTCCTGACTGTGACTTCGAGACCGATCACTGCCATACTTCCTTTCCCATCGGTCCTGGTCTCGGTCTCGCTTGTCTTCTCGCCACTTCCTATGCTTACCATAATCCTTGCCACCAACCCATCCGACCAATGCCCCACCGACTGTCCCAAGGCCTGGAAAGATGAGATCGCCTAATAGGCCTCCGCCAGCTGCGCCTAGGAACGCATCGGCCTTGGTAGATCGCGAGTTGTCGGATGTGCGACGGGAGCGCTCCCTGTGTTTTCGTCGGTGTCGTTCTGGATCTGAGACGTAGCCGTTTTGCCCTACCAATTCCCCTATTGCATGCCTTGGTGGGATGTAAGGTCGATGCTGAGGCTGAGGCTGAGGCTGAGGCTGAGGCTGAAGCTGATACTGGTCTTTATAGTTCTGTGGAATATATTGTTGCTGATATGGGGCAAGCTGATGAGCCGGCGAAGCCTGGTAGTTTGGTTGATTCATGGCATATGGCTCAGGCCGTGACTGATGTGGTGGAGAAGGCCGCTGTTGACCTAGAGGAGATGGCGTTGGTGCAAAATGCACCCTTGGCTCCGGTTCGTTGTTACTGTAGATTTGTTGATATGGTGGTGGTGGATGTTGCGGTTGAGGATATTGTGGATGAGGTGGCGTCCCAGTCTGCGGAGGTGGCTGAAATGAGAAGGTTGGTTGTGATGAGGCCCGCTGAGGGCCTAGAGGAGGTTGGAGGCCAGAATTCTGTTGTTGATAAGCTGGCCTCGTGTTTGAAGTGTAATAGTCTGCAGCGGCCATGGTAAACTGAGGCGTGAACAAGAGCTTTCCAAAGATTATTAGAGGGCAGATATTGGGAAGAGGCTGGAGAAGTCTTCGAGCGACAGTCAGCAGCTGCCAGCAACTAGACAAGCTTATAACAGGAAATGCTCCCCCATTTTCTCGGAGGCTATAGCTGGCTCCGAGCAGGGGGCAAAGGGGATAGATAATTAAGAGTGCCTGGCAAGGCTAAATCGACGGGCCAACGAGTCACAAGCGCCGGTCATGGGAACCATCAGATCATAGCCCACCAGGATCCCAAGTGCGAATGAAGCCATGGACGGCATGATTCGTTGGAGGGTGCGAACCATGCGGCGAAAGCGGGCGAACCCAGCCCGTGGCACAGAGTCCAGGCTGGGCACGACGTGCCGGGCATACAAGAACCAAGAACAAGACACAGACGGCAAGGAGGAGAATTGGGTTGTGGCTGTCGATGCCCCAATCGACTCGGTCACCAGTCAACTAGTCAACTAGACACCTAATCCACTAGACAAATAGACAACCAGAAAACTAGACATGCCAACTGACCGTAGCGAACTTTTGTTTCCCGTGCCTGCAGTACAGGAAAGAAAGTCCGCTTGGTGTCCTCGTATTGACGGTGCCCGGAATTGCGGTCATCCTAGGGAGCCTGCCCCTGGTTACGTTCCCCGATTGGGCTTGATGATACTCGTACAGTTGTCGCACACCAGAACCCTTTCCAGACACGAAGATCGTACCGAGTACTGCTCCATTCTAACTGCAAATACTTTGAGGCGATGAACGAAGATGACCGTTCTTGTTACAGGCCTTCAATCCTTGACGTCATCCTCTAACTGCCCCCGGTTAGTCCTGCCAAGCCGGAATAACTTGTCCATTTGCCGAGTGCAGCACCTGCGTGTTCGCAACTCTGCCAGATTTCTCAGTAACTGCGTGCTCGGTTCGATACTACCGGTACTCGTGGTAGTAGTACTATCGCATAGTGTATGGTGAATCGAACCCCACGACGACTGAACCTTCGCTTTGCTCTCTTCATTGTGCATCCATCCAAGGGACCTCTCTCGCATTCTAGTCTCATCCCCAGACATCCACAGCCTCCCGTCTTCTCACCTACAAAAGCCTCATGTTATCGGGCCAATCCGGGGAATCTTATTGCTTTGACTGGTCAAGTTGAGTTTGCTCCATCATGCCGTGCAAGGCCGGATCTAGGCACACTCGAATCGCTTGTAATCGACATTGATGGTAATTGTGATTCTCTGTGGGGAGAGGACGGGGTTCTGGAAGTTGCGCTCAAAGTGCCAAATGCCATGCATGCCTGACTCACAACTTACACGACCGCCTTGTTCACAATCGTCCCGTGCTTTTGCGCCTCCAAAATGCCAGCCCTATTTTCGCAGCTATATGCAGTCCCCTTTTGTCCATCGTAAAGTACAGTGCTTGACAAGCTTCGGAAAACAACAGAAATTTTAACACAGATGTCGAAGACGCCTTAAACCACAATATCACCTGGGTCGACCAAGATCGGTGTCCACTTCTTCGCCTTGGGCTCTTCCATTTCACTTGGTAATCGGAACTTGGTCGGACTGTACAGATACCATCCTTTCAACGCGGCAACTGCGGCGCGTGTTCTTGCTTCGTCTAGACTTGCGCCTGCTCCTTCACCGAGTTTGTCGTGTCCTGAATATATGCCCACCACAAACACAGGGGTTCTGGTCTTGCGACCGGTTTCACTTTCGATCCTCGCCACAGGCGCCTGTAGTCCCTCTCTAGCGCACAGTCGGCTCAAGTCTAATGTCGGTTGCCCAAACTGAAAGAGAGCCGACACGTCCAGCTGACGTGACATGAAGTGATCCCGATAAAATTTCTTGGCTGCGGCTCTGCCAGCATGCAGATACACCGTTCCCATAACTGCCCGGACAAAATTCATCCTAGCTCGCTCCAAGGTCACGCCCTGTTCCTCTCGTATTGGCTTCTTCTTTTCCCCAAACTCATCGGCTAGCATTGAACGCTGGCTAACGCCGCTTCGAAATCCTGTATCCGGATCGTACTTGGTACCGATGACTTCTGCTGCTGGCTCATTGGGTTGTGGCTGTGGCGGGATTCTCCCGAACTGTAACAGCCCAGGGTCAACTTCACCACCAGGTGCTGCAGCCGCTTCAACACCCCATTCTTTGGCCATGGAAGAAAGAGCAGCTGGTCCAACGTAGGCATACATAGCCGCAAAGACTACCGCCAATGGTAGTCGAGGATACTGACTGATGATGTATTCTGACGTGTAATACCCGAGCAGATCATTCCCGAGGACTTGGAACGCCTTGTTGTTGAACCGCAAAGAGTGGTCAGCTGAAGGATCAACCAACGTCCTTGCCAGTGTTTGCAGAGGGAGCCGGGAGGGTAGAGCGAGTCGAGCGTGTAGGGCTGCGAGTTTGGCGGAGGTCTTCGCGGCCGAGTGAGGAGGCGAGGGTAATCGCAAAAGAGATTTTTCAGACATATATTTGCCTTGACCAGTGGGCGTACTAGCCTCGACAGCTACATCGGTGGAATCCGAAGGTGCAGCAGCTGTTGCTTGACACCTTCGAAGATAGTGAAAGGAAAACTGGACGACATCCGGTCTCATTCTGGGTGAGAGCACACCGCCGCTCCATTTCAGGAGCCTCGACCTCTTCATTAGTCAGACAGTCTTCAACTGCTGGCTTCGACGAGGCCGACCAAGCTCACTGCACTTGAAAGAGTGGCACACAATTGATAGAATTGAGATTGTCAACACAGTTCGAATGATAAATTGCTAGGTCTCGGGCGACTTTTCTCCTGCGACACGAGACCGGTGGATGTACACGCTAAGAAAACTAAGGGTAAGCTGTAGCCAATGAAGTAGCGTCTTGGCACATCTGTCACGTGGGATAGCTGGCACGTGATGTCGCTCATCCCACCGGGGTTCTACCGACCTACCTAGTGGAGGGATAGTAGCCAGTAAATAATAGGAGACATCGATGATGGAATAGCCATATTCTGCATGACCTGATCTGGCAAACCCTCTACCAAGCACTACTCATGACATAGCATCGTGGGTGCGAGGCGGGTGCCAGCTCCAGCACGCTACATTACATAAGCACGGCATATTGTTGCCGAACATGGTTCCTTCGAGGCGTTGCAGGTGTGTGCCTGGCGGGTTGGACTCGCCAAGCCAAAGCGTCTAGACGCTTTGGCTATATCATCATCACTGTTGTAGCTCACGACTCTGATAGGCTCTGATCCCATTTTCTCTCTGCAACTAATTATGGTAGGGAGAAAGAAGGCGCGACCTCAGGCATTCGAAACCCTCAACAATGCCTAAATACACCGAATACCAGAAAGTTTTCCGCATTGGGAAATCCAACGCTGGAAAAGTCCAGTGCCAGTCTCGGACGAGAGATCGCAGCAGGCGTCCACAGTGGTCCTCAGACACCACTCAACAAGGGTAGGCCAGCAAGGCAAGACGCAAACAGAACATCTTAGCTAAGCCTTGAAGCGGAACCTCCAATGGAGGACTGGATAGTACCACCAATCTGACAGATGGCAGGCTATCAGAAAATGGCAAAGAAAGAGAGACTGTCGTCGACCATGCATCCAAGCTCTCTGAAGCACAGCGTCGATTGCAACACCTGGAGAAGGTCGTTGCCTCTCTGGTAGATGCGAATGCGGTCCCTCCAGGGATTTCCGACCACCTCACGCCCCCGTACGGCGACCAGTTTGCCGATGGTATAGGCATTAGTGAGCAGCAAGAGAGTCATCCGCCAGAGAGTCCGAAAACACCCTTGAATGGACGTCTAAATGTTCGGGGAGTTGAGGCAAATTATTGTGGAGGCACGCACTGGGAGACAATTCTCTCCGATGTTGGTCCCCTCGTTTCAAGAACACGCAGGCCATGGCTGAATTTCTTTAGATCAAAGACATTCAAGACTGCCTTGTCGATGAAGTTGAGCATGAGGTATCTGAAAATCTCATCTCTACCTCTGTCGAAGTGCCTGATATTGTCTTTGGTGCTTCCGAAGCATTGTCTCTGGAAGAGGCTTGTGAACTGCTACCGAGTCGACATGTGGTCGACAAGCTACTTTCTGTCTACTTTAGCGCTCACTACCTGCATATTCGTAAGTCCCAGCAGACTTCACCACGTCTTTCTCTGACCGATCCAGCGTTCATCCACAGAGGAAAATTCTTGAAGGAGGTATTATCACAGAACCCACGATAGGGAATGGATTTAACTAACCGTCCGCAGTATGAGTTGTTTTGGAAAGACCCCTCTTCGGTTCCATATCTATGGGTTTCGCTTCTCTTCTCAGCCCTGGACCTTGGATCCTGGCTCTGCTACATGCACGAGGGTTCTGAGCTGCCTAACGATATCCCTCCGAGGTCTTTGCTGAAAACCGCTGGTCAGATTCTGGTCACTGGACAATACCAAAAAGCTCGACCGTACTCCGTTGAAGCTGTTCTCTTGTTCGGCATCTGCAAGTTTCTTCAGAAAGTAGATCCAGACACGGAACCATGGTTGGTGATAGGTGTAGCGGCTCGGATGGCGCTAAGAATGGGCTACCACCGTGACCCACAATATCTACCACATATTTCCCCATTTCAAGGAGAAATGCGTCGGCGGACATTCTCTATCCTGCAAGCCTTCGATCTCTTACTATCTTTCCAGGCCGGCCTACCCGCCACATTACATGAAGATGCATGTGATACCGATCTACCTCGAAATTTGTTCGACGAAGATTTCGACGAAGATTCTACAGTCATACCACCGTCACGACCATTAACCGTCCCAACGCCCATGATCTATCACTGCTTCAAGGGTCGATTGTGCCGAAGTTTTAGACCAGTTGCTCGACTTGCATTGTCGCCCAGGGCTCCGTCATATGAGGACATCATGAAAGCTGATGCCGAATTACGTAAAGCGCATGCCTCGATCCCACCAAGCCTCGCCATGAGACCACTATCTTTATCCATTACAGATGAAGTGCATGTTATCCAACACAGATTCAATGTAGACCTGGTCTACCAAACCGGCATGATGATCCTCCATCGTACATATATCAGCCACCAAAGATCAAACCCCACTTTCGAGTACTCCCGCAAGACTTGTATTAAGGCGAGCCTATCAATGCTCAAGTGGCAAGCTGACCTACACCTTGCCACCCTGCCAGGTGGCCAGCTTCACAACAGTTCCAGATTTATAGCTTCAAGCTTGATTCAACATGACTTCCTCCTAGCTGCCATGGTTGCTTGTCTCGACCTTTACGAATCACACCGTCGGTCGGAAATCGACAAAATAACAGACGCAGAGTTTGAGGCTCACAAAGATATATACAATGCCTTGAAGTTTTCGCATCAGATATGGATGTCGAGAAGTTCAAGCTCTCGAGATGCGAAACGCGCATCAGCCATACTGGGAGTCATGATGGCCAAGATTCCAGATCCAAGTGTAGCGCGAGGTTCTAAGACCAATACGCTCCCAGCAGGATCTTTCGACCAAGACCACTCCGTGCTGGGATCCACAACACCAGGGATGTTGACTTTGAGTTTATCTCCTTTTCCAAAAGAGCAAGCGCAACCATTCACAAGCATTCTTGAAAATGAAGAAACAGGATTTTCAGAAAGTGGAGCCTTCGAGGCATTGCTCAGGGACGAAGAGGTCAATTGGGTGAGTATCAAACTACCATCCATGATTGGCTTGCAGAGTAGGCTGACCTTGGAACACAGAATCTTGTCGATCAGTATCTCTTTGGCCGTGGGGCGGGCCTGGATGAATTTTGGATGCGCGAGTTGTAATGACGAGCGATGTGCATCAAGTTTGATAGTACGGGTGACAGGCTCGCCTTTCTACGACGTATGGCGGAGCAGATGGGCGATTGCCACACCTCAAACGCCGTACACCTGTAAGATATCTCGATCCGCAACACGATTGATGGGCATAGTAACGGGAATCCCTGTACAAGTAGCTCGGATTGGGCTTTCGTAGACATGAGAGATGAAGTCGAAATGGGGCAAGGTGAATTTGTTAGAATTTAAAGTTCAAGGGCCATATGTCAGATGACATCGGAGCGACAAGTACCATAATTAGCACATGTTTAATCTGTGATGTCTGGATATGAACAGAGGTGATCCTGAGTTCATGAGCACTCCCACGGATACTCTTGCACCTTGTGCTCCATACTCCGTACTAGTACTTTACTAGTGCGCTGTTGATTGAATCGGGAATGTATCCCGAAGAGTCTGAGCCAATCACAGCTCAACAGTACCTGCACCCGAAGCCAACGTCGACATCGAGCTCCGGCTTCACCTCCCAAAGACTCAGACTCAAGACTACCCGTCGACCATCCCACCGAGATCAAAACTCCTTCGACGCGACAATGGGCGGAGGTGGCAAAGTCCCATATCCCAAACATGTCTGGTCACCAGCTGGTGGCTGGTACGGACAACCACGCAATTGGAAAGGCAACACCATGATTATGGGCGGGGTCATTGCAACCATCACTTTCCTGGCCTGGAGAGTCTCCGCCGCGAGAGAACACAGATATAAGTTTCCAGAGCCCGGCAGGTTCTTCCCGAGTCGATAGTGAGTGCCTCTACTCCCAACCACGGGAAGCCGCAGTTGCTCGAATTGATGGGTCTCCATGGCCCTATCTGCAAACAGCACGGCGAGGAATAGCTTCATGGATTTTTGTGATTCTGAGAAACTAGAGCTGACACTTCATTTAGTTGGAGCAAACAAATAATCGAGCATGAAAAGGCCCAGAAGGGGCAATGATTCAGACCCCGAAGCCGAACTATCACCCTCCCGCACAATACCTCATTCCAATTCACGCTCTCACTTAAAACCGAAAACTGTACATATGTTCTCCATCATCGCTGGAACAGCCGAAGACATCAAACCTATTCTGCTTTGAAGGATAGACGCACAAGCGGTCAGGCGGTCTCACAACCAACCTGGGGGAATCGGGTTGGAGAGGGGAAAGCCCCAAGGATCAAACCCGTGGCACGTCCTGTATATAACGAGCACGCGGGATTGACATGGATGGCGAAGACTAAGGCCACTGCAAATTAAAAATAAAAACTTCGCATTCAAGGACTCCTATTATTCTTGGTCAATGTGCACATTGCGGTGGACAACGGTGGCAGCAAGCTGTGACTCAAACGCGAGAGGAATGCACACAGCTCTCTCTTCGTATTCTGGATTTGTTAGTGTATTTGCTTGGCTATGTAATTTCCCTGTCTGTCAAGATATGACTTGAACCGGTCCTGGTAGGACTCCCCATTCCATCGATCAGGATTTGTTGTGGATACGTTGGGCATGCCGACTTGCTCGATGGCATATGCGGCAGCTACCGTCGCATGGAGGAGGCCTAAATGGAGATATCGATGTAGATTTCCATCACTCGAGAGGCTGCAATTGTGTATGCTGGTCTCAACAGGTGTCACGCAGCCTGTCATACCCATAGCCAATGCTCCCAAGAATGTGTTACCACCTCCTGTCGGATCTCGAATCCGGCTTCCATCTTGGTGAAACGCACGGAGATGGAGCTTCCTCCTTCCCACATACGTCGTGCAACCAAAGGCCCCTTCCCTAACCACAAGAGCTGCGGTCATGTAATGATTCGAATCCAATAGTAGCAGCTTCTCGGCCATTATCTCTTGTGGCAGTTTGCCACCTGTTGAGACGGGGAAGAAAGACGCAAGTTCCTCAGCATTGGGGCTCACAACATCCACAAGCGCAATAGCGGATCGGAGCCGATCGAACTCTTCTGGCGTGCACAAGTCCGGAATCGGCTCCCACACAAACACAGGGCGCGATTCTCCCGGTGCAATCGCCTTCCGCCGAGCCATTATTCCATTGATCAATGACATGCAGCGCTGCGGTGAACACACCATGTGGAACGATCGAGCAAGCAACTGCTCATCCGATAAAGAGAGCTCATCCAGCCGTAGTTTCGGCGTGAGATACTTGAAGGCTTCCCCCCGACCTTTTCAGCAATTCTGCCAACAAATTTTCCCCAAATCAGAGGGCAAAGGAGTCGACAAGGTTCCTCACTCTTACCTCGATGTTCATTATGACCATATCCATTCCACGCCGTAGTAGTAAGACGATCCATATCAAGCCGAAACACGCACTTCGTGTTCCAAGTCTCAATTAGATCTCTCAGTTCGGCTGGGAAGTCTGATCCCATATCGACTATCCATCCAACGTGCCGAGCATGGTGGCCTCCGGCTGCTAGGCGGGCACCTAGAGCCGCGTATGTGCCTGCACCACCTATAATTCTCTGCTCTGGTGTATCGCTGTTGGGATGTTCAATTTCATCTGGGGTTATCGTCAGGGTGGGGTCAGACGCGTCGAGGGGGACCGAACCAATGATGAACATGCCCAACGTGCAAAATCCGAGCCGGTCCTTCGGGTCTGTCATTTCGACAAGCGTGTGGCCTTTTTGTGCGGTATGGATAGATTAATCAACTCCATAGGGCTAGCACTCGCTCAATGTGCGGTGAAGACATTGGTATGCTTGAATGAAGAAGCAAGGCTGAAATCAATGAAGTCTCCTTCGTGGAATAAATGATAAGGAATCAGATGCCAAGCCTTATGTCAGCCTCACCAGCATGGATATGAAAAGGAGACTCGAATGTAACTCTCCTTCGTCCTTCTATTTTGAATCAAAGGCCCATCGAAATGGAGCGCATGTCATGTTGACTCTATCTCATATAACTGCTGATTTGACCCATAAGCCTGTGCATGGATTTTTTCACATAGCACCAATGGTTATGAGGGCCCCAATGACACCGGAAACTGTTCTCTCTTTCCCAGGAGAAACACTAAACAGAATCGAGCTAAATCCCCCGATACAGAGAGGAATCAACTCCGTTCAAAACTCCCATTCCAGTGCAGTTGCCACTTCCAGCAAGAGCGGTCCGTTCCCAGCGATCCACCGTTGGGGGATACGCGTGCCACCAAGCCCAGTGTGGACAAAATGCGGGGGGCTGATGAAGCGAGCGGGCCGTGGACCGGATGACTGTGAAGTTTGTGCGTATGAGCGTTTCTTTGGAAGTATATATACCTCTCGATGCGGAGCGTGGGCGTGTCGGTCACCATGAAGGAACAGCATAATTACGTGATACTTGACTACCATGGCTGCGACAAACGGGCATACTAATGGGGCATCCACGGGGACATCTGAGCCACTGAGCTGGACTACCTTCTCCAACACCATCAATGGAAAACTAGAGACCACGCAGAAGACAAGACACAGCATTAATCCCGCGACGGGCGAGGCCGGGCCAGACGTGCCGCTGTCGACCCCGGATGATGTCGAACGGGCTGTTGCTGCGGCACAAGTCGCGTTTGGCACCTGGGCGGAAGTTCCTTATACCGAGCGCCGAGTTGCAGTGCTGGCGTATGCGGATGCCATTGCAGCTGAGAAAGAGTCATTCTCGCAAATGCTCACCAAGGAGCAAGGGAAACCTGTAAGCAAGTTTCAAAATCTAGCTTTCTCGTGCCACTTTACTGTGACTGATCCTCCTATCACATTGATAGCTCAAATTTGCGCGAGTCGAGATGGACTTGACTGTCCATTGGTTGAAGACCATCGCCAATCTCGAGCTGCCGGAGGAGAGAATCGTCGAGGGAGACCGAGAGATCGTCGTTCGGTACACACCGCTCGGTGTCACGGTTGGAATCGTCCCGTGGAACTATCCAATTTTGCTGGCAGCCTCGAAAATCGCCCCTTGCGTTGTGACGGGCAATCCCATCATTATCAAGCCATCCCCGTTTACGCCAGCCGGAGATTTGAAACTCGTTGAGCTGGCACAAAGGTTCTTCCCGCCCGGTGTCGTTCAGTGTCTGTCAGGCGATGATAACCTTGGGCCCTGGCTCACTGCTCATCCCGTGCCGGCCAAGATCAGCTTCACTGGCTCCACGCTTACAGGTAAAAAGGTTATGGAATCTGCTGCCAAGACGTTGAAACGTGTAACATTAGAACTGTGCGTTGTTGTATCCACCGCTTTCCTAGAATGACAGCTAACTTGTGATAACAGGGGAGGCAATGATCCTGCGGTCGTTTTGGATGACGTGGATATTGAAGATGTTGCGCCAAAAGTTGGTCACAGCAAAGAGACTCTTGTCCTACTATAGATGCTAATATATCACTCCAGGTTGCCGGATTAGCGTTCCTCAACTCAGGGCAGGTAAGTGGGTGCACTACAGAGCGGCGCAAATTGAGAAAAAGAAGGAGCGCTTGTCTGACTCACGTATCGGAGTAGATCTGCCTCGCTCTCAAACGAGTTCTTGTCCATGAAAGCATCGCCGATAAGTTCTTAGCGGCAATGGTGCAGGCAACGCAACAATTGAAGGTAATATCAATCTTTCCAAGCCTTAAAACTGGTCATGAGGAGCTAAGTCCCAGGATAGGTCGGCCCGGGGGATGATCCCGATGTCTACCTCGGGCCCATCCAAAACTCGATGCAATACGAGAGGGTGAAAGGATTCTTCGCCGACATCGAGAAGGAAAACTGGAAGGTGGCAGTCGGTGGCTCCAACCCCGATGGGCCAGGATACTTCATTACACCGACCATCATCGACAGACCAAAAGATGATTCCCGGATCGTGAAAGAGGAGCCCTTCGGTATGTTGGTTCATGGTTTCAAGTTTACGAGACGGACAGGGGAAATGCCACTATCCAAGAACCTCTCCCAGGATATCAAATATTTAACAAACTAACCTCTCATCTCTCTCAACTTAGGTCCCATCGTGCCACTCATTACATTCAAGACGGACGAAGAAGCCATCAAGAAAGCCAACGACACGCACATGGGCCTCGGCGCCTCGGTGTGGTCGTCGGACACTGAGCGAGCGAATCGCCTGGCGCAGAAAATCCAAGCCGGCACCGTCTGGGTGAACACTCATTTCGAACTCGATCCCCGTGTCCCGTTCGGCGGCCACAAGGAAAGCGGCGTGGGCTCGGAGTGGGGCCTGCCGGGGCTCAAATCGTTCTGTAATAGCCAGACGTTGTTTTTGAAGAGGAATACAAACGTTTAGATGAGACCGTGTGTGGTGTGGTGTGGTGTGATGCGTGGCAGTTGGAATGTCGTAGGCTATGGCATGCTGATAGTTTACTGGCACGAGCTTAGAGCCAGTAGTGAGAGCAGGCTGAAAGCGCGTGAATGATGTCCCTGTGAGAGAACTCGAATAGTCAGCATTTGGCGGATTATGAGGAGCGGGCCCGTGACAGAGTTCTGCGGCAGTCAGCCGTGAGACGGCTCCGACGTAGTATGCTTCTACATGGGCACATTCGATCCCAATTTTGGTTCCCCCCCCCTATAAAGGTTGTAAAGGACTCGGTCTTTTGTTCGCATTCCGCGGCGGCGGGAACACCTGGAGGCTGGCGCTCTCGCTTAACCCGTAGTTTGACATGCTGGCAGGAACCCGGGACGGAGCCGGGTGTGAGACTTTGGGGCTGGTGGTGCCCCGTGGGTGGCCACGGCCTGAGCCGGGCGTTCAGCCTTGCTTGAAGCGCGCCTGTATCAATATGTAAGAACCGCTCTAATACTCGAAGAGCATAAACGACGGATTTACTATCCTGCATTTGGGGGAGTGTATGTGCTTATATGACAAGATCCTGTCCGCTTTATCTCGATCCACGCACCCTCTAACGTTGTCGAAGCCTGGGATTTCGTTACATACATGTTAACTGGTGACTATTCCATACAATACCAAAATGTCAATATCGCAAGCCGCTGGCCAGAACGAGGCGAAGATTTCGAGTCCCAAAAAGTCGTCATTCATCCAAGGAGATCAGAGTTCCACCCTCTATTCAGCAGTGCTTGCGAATCTGATAGACGACCAAGCAGCCAAGAATGGTAGCCATGTCGCGGCAGTGTTTTCGTGGCAGAATCATTCCATCACATATGAACAACTAGCAGACCGAAGCCGCCTACTTGCGAAATCAATGCTGGAGGCTGGACTAAAGCATGGGGATACGGTCGGCATCATCGCTGGAAATTGCTATCAGTACATTGAAGCATTTTTGGGCGCGGCTAGAATAGGGTGTCCCTTTGTCGTGTTCAATAACACCTATTCCGCAAAGGAATTGACAGCTGCGCTGGCGGTGAGCTGTATGTATTTCTCTTTTTGTCTGATTGCTGCAATACCCCTGAGCTTACCTATCTACTAGCTTGCAGACTCCTTTTTATGGCGAAGAACATCGGACACAAAAGCCTTTTACCGCATATTGACACCTTGCGGAGCCATCCTGAGTCCGTACCAGAGCTAAGGCGCATCATACTCTTGTCGCAATTGCGTGTTGAAGACTCGTTAGGAGCAGTCGAGGTCATGGGGTATTCGACTTTCGTTAACAACGGACATTCTGTCTTTGTAAACAATGCCACCTTGCGAAGAGCCGAGAAGAAAGTGAAGGACACGGATGTGCTCAACTTGCAATTCACTTCAGGTTGGTCTTGTATCGCGACTCAAGATGTAGGATGACTGACGGTGCCTAGGAACAACAGGAGCCCCTAAAGCAGCAATGCTCACATATCGGTGCGTTCGAAGATCCAACAACACGGTCTCATCGCTAATCCGGTCGCAGAAATTTGATCAACAATGGGAAACTAGTCGGTGATCGACTAAATTTGACGTCTAAAGACCGTCTCTGTTGCCCGCCACCTCTTTTCCACTGCTTTGGACTTGTCATGGGCTTTCTCGCAGCTTTTACTCACTCAACCACAATTGTATTCCCAAGCGATCAATTTGAGCCGAATCAAGTGCTTGAGTCTCTTGCGAGAGAGAGGTGCACTGCTCTTTATGGCGTGCCGACTATGTTCCTAGCGGAGATTGAAGCAAACAGCAAGAAGAAATATAAATTCAACAGCCTGCGCGTGGCACTGGCGGCTGGCTCTCCAGTCTCCCCTTCCTTGGTGGGCAGAGTCCGACAGGAACTGGGAGTTGAGAAGGTGTTGATTGCTTATGGCATGACTGAAACCAGCCCTGTAACTTTTATGACTTCGCTAGATGATTCCGAGGAGATGCTGTTCAAAACAGTAGGAAAGATAATGCCACATACGCTGGCCAAGATAATAAACGAGCAAGGGGAAATTGTACCGCGGGGTGTCCGAGGAGAGCTCTGCACCGGTGGGTATGCTCTCCAGAAAGGATACTGGCGAAATGAAGAGAAGACTGCAGAAGCGATGACGACAGATCAAAAGGGTGTGCGGTGGATGCACACTGGCGATGAGTGCTTAATCAATGACGATGGGTATTGTGTGATCACAGGCAGGATCAAGGATCTGATCATCAGAGGTAAGGTTCTCTGCTGATCCTATTCAGCTGATGGCTAATGACACATCTTCGTACAGGTGGGGAGAATATCTCGCCGGTTCAGGTAGAAGAGCGCCTGCTAGAACACACGTCCATCGCTGAAGCCAGTGTCGTGGGCCTCGCAGACGCCAAATATGGGGAAGTCGTCAGTTGCTTTCTTCGTCTGCGAGAAGGTGTCACCAGACCCACCTCAGATGAAATTGTTCAGTGGGTTCGCGCACGGCTTGGAAGCCACAAGACGCCAAAGCACATCTTCTGGATCGGGCATCCTGAGGTTGGGAATGAGTATCCAAAGACAGGGAGTGGCAAGCATCAAAAGCACATCCTCCGAGCAATCGGCAACCGCATTGTCCGCCAACAAGAGTTGAAAGCTAGATTATAGACAGAGCCCAAATTCTTTGCGTGGAGAATCGTTATCAGAAAACGCACCAGTTTCACCTTGTTCATGCTGATGGGTAATTCGGTAAGGCTGGACCATGTAGTTTGGTAGGCCAACGGGATTGGATTGATGGTATCGCGACAAATCATATCGTTCCATTTCGGCCTCGATCTCGATCCCAATTCCGACGCGCATTCGCGGCTCGTCTATCCAAGAGTCCGCAAAACCCATGCAACGGCAGGTCTGGCATGATTAGTCAGCGGGTTAAGCGGCCCGGTGCCGTGCTTCTTCTCAACTCTCCATTGCGGGCGTATATTTGTGTTGTAAAGGGTCTGGTGGTATCCATGGAACTCTCAATGTCTGGGCACGGCATACTCGTTACCATCGACGCTCGCTGTTCAGCCCGGCTCAATTCCTGTTTGCCGAAGAATTGACGATGTCGATCTCCCTCTCCACCACGGGTCCGGTCGTCTCGGCTCTTCTTTAAAGACTTCTACGTGAGAAAGGGTTCTGGCAATCCAAGCTTAGGAGGCTAGGTGACTGTTCCTCAACCACGTTTGGAGCGTCTTCTTGCTTGATGCACAGTAACGCGCGACTCCTGGAAGGTTTCGGCTCCTGGATCTCTGGGAGTCAAATTCTAGTGAGTGGACCAGATCTCGCATAGAGCGCCAGTAGCCGAACAAAGTGTCGCATTCTAGAAAGCAAGATTGTATCTTACAGTCAAATGATCCTGATGCTGCAACTCTTAGATATGGGATAGCACTATCTAGCTACCCTGGAGTAACCGATGAGTCTTGAGAACAGTCGATTGGAGTACGACTGCGAAGTCGAAACGTATCTTGTAAAGCAAATGTGCTTAACTTTCAAGGCCAAACGAACAGGAAGTCAACGCTGTTGCTCAGATTTGAGATGTCGGAAGATAGTAGGATGGTCCGGACTCCCTGGGAGAATAGAACAACGCAGGATTTGTTCGGCGGCTGCCCTGCCGTGGCAACGTTCATAGGCTCGTTTAAACCAGAAGTTGCCCAGACGCCTCGGGGACAAAGTCTGGAGAAACCAGCACCAAAACCTACAGAGTACTCCGTACGGAGTATTCGATAACTTCTAGGTTAGTGGCGTCCTGTTCAGTGGGTTGATAGGCGACCCCGCGCTTCGACGCTTGGACAGCCTCTGCAGGTCTAATTAGCAATGTCGCTTTGGATGGCCCCTTGCAGTTAAATAATCACGACATCTCACTCGAAGTCTCTGGAACGAGCCACATCAGACTTGTCTTTTGATTGCAAATTGCTGGAGGTCAAATATCCGTTAACAGACTAAGGACGCTCCCATGTGGGCTTGTGTCACTTCTTGATTGCCGAGACAACGATCGAAGTGGAAAATGGCCGAAACCCGCGAGCCAAAGCGTGTGCGACAAGCATGCATCAACTGTCGGTAAGGGAACTTCAAGAAACATTGCCTGGACCATGGTCCGCTTACCTAGGCTCTAGTCGAAAGAAATCCCGATGTTCAGGAGAGAAGCCGACCTGTTCATTCTGTGCGCGATTGAAACAAGAGTGCTGTTACGATGAAGGTCCTGTTTGTCATCATCCCCATTTATCACCTAGCAATGCGAATGTGAGTAACACAGCTTTTTACAACTCAAAGCCCATCTCACCCTTTACAGGAAATCAACCTTGCTGCGCGGGTCGCGTTACTCGAGTCCAAATTAAGCCTGCTCCATAGCGGGAACAGCAATGAGTATGCTATCACTTGCCAAATATATCTAGTGCACCTGCTAACCATTGTCGAGCCCTTCCTTTATGCCTAGCAGCGATGGGACGCAAAATAAGAGGAGAAGGTCATCGGCGAACAATGATTCTATCCCTTCCGACCAGTCTGGTGATAGCCCAGAAGCCCATGTGGAAGTAAATCGGTAAGAGCGTCCTCTGGCCACCTCCTCAATTGATATGGTGCAACTTTCTCCCTGCATACACACAAAGGCTGCATCGAAGCACAACACAAAATTCGTCTACCGCGATCTAGTCCAGTGCGAAACACCAGAAGAACTGATTTGCTGACTAATGCGCAGAAAGTTTACCCAATTACCGCCCAAGCCTGTCCTTCGATCGATTCTGAAGACATATTTCACATACTGTCAAAGTCAGCCTTATGTATACTTCAGTCCCGAGTATTTCTATCGGAGGCTCGATGATGGAAATCTTCCAGACTATCTCTTAATGGCAATGACTGCTATGGCAATTCGCTTCTCAGATGACCCATTCTTTGAAGGTAGACGGGTAGAAGCTGCGGAAGTATATGCGCGAACAGCATGGAATGAAATCTTCGATCAGTCTTTCTCCGAGGACTACCTACTAGACGTGCACATTGTGCAAGCTACCAACATGTTGGCTGTTGTTGACTTTACTGCCAGCCGACAGAAGCTGGCTTGGGTTAAGATCGGTCTGGCAGTTCGCTTTGCCCAGAGTCTCCAGTTGAACAAAGAGCCCCCAAGTCAAATGACTCTCGAAGAGCAAGATGAGCGACGGAAGTCATTTTGGTCAGTCTACCTGCTGGACAGGCTCGTGTCCTGCGGCACAAATAGGCCACCAACGCTTGCCGACACTGACTGTACCGTTCTCCTACCATCTTCAGCTGTGACGTACCGTGAAAGTGGGTTTCTACCAGACTTGAGGGCTCTCAATGATCTGTCATGGAATGGAAGCACAGAGAACCTGGATTGCTTTGCGCAAACTATTCTCATGGCCTCCGCACTGGGGCGAGTGGAGAGACATACATTGCAACATCAAGCCGGCATCGACCGTTTTCCGCCGTGGGACTCTCGGAGTGACTTTGCTGCAATCTACAGTACTTTGCTCAACTTCGAGGCACATTCAGATATCACAAGGGTTTCATTCTCGACCACAATTCGGCGACATGTAAAGCAAAATGGGACATTGGATCACCAATCCGCAGGTCACTTCGTCTTCTCCAATATCCTTTATCACATGAATCAGTGTCTGCTTCATCATCCGTTCCTCCTGAGAAAACGGCTGGAGCCTAGGAAATCAAGAATATCCCCTAGCTTCCTTCGTGAAGCACTCCGGCGAAGCCGTGAGCATGCCTACCAGTTAACGGTCTCTCTACGGATTGTGCAAAAGCAGGGTCTTACTTTGAGTAGCTTTTATGCTTATGCTACGATGGTTGCTGGGACAATCCACCAATTATTTGTACACCATTGTGATGAATGGCTTCGAAAATCCGCACAGCAAATGTTGGAATACTCCTTGGAGTTTCTCGACAAAGGCCAAGGGACTTGGGATCATTATCCCCGTGTGGTACGTCATATACTCTCATGCTTCGCGCCTGCTGCACCTCAAACGGTTTCGATGTATGAGGCCAATAAATGAATGACTAACCAATAGTGTCTAGGCCACTGCACTGCGAACCTTCAACCCGGATCCAACGTCAGCAAGAGCATTGGTGACTATTAACTCCTCACAAATCGATGATCCAAGCCTCGATATCATATGGAGTCTACTTGATTACGGATGGCTGTCTGACCAGGCGAGACCATCAACCCTTGAAGCCACGACTCTGGGTGATTTGAGTCAAACAGATACGGGAGACGCGGGAATTGATGTTGGTCTAATGGCTCAAACATATGACCTCGTTGGCGATTTCGATATTGATCCATCGATAGCGACACAAGACCAGATATCACTGGACTACCTAGCCTTTACCGAAAATTCTGGAGACGCGTGGCCTGTGGTTGAGGATAATATCAATTTCTCGAATGAGGTCATTCTACCGTCCCCGTGGACGCCTCATTTTGTTGATTAGTCTTGGTGATTACTATTTCTTGCAAGCAGATTGACGTCCTGGTCGTCGCTGCTGATTCAAGCATATATATGCACAGTGAAGTGGGATCCGGTTAACTGGATTTGATCGTGGCTTTCCTGTATCCATATCTCAAGGCGTGCTTCTGCAGTCTTGGAATGCCAACTTGCTGAAGAGTCGAAGTAAGTTCTATCTATGAGACATCGCTCTATCCGGAGCTTCTAAAAATCAACGTCCCTTAACAATCCTCCATGCCCGCCCCAGGAAAGGGTGCTGTGTCACCACGCATCCAGTCAAGTTCCTCACCAGGTCCGAAAGTTTTTGGAGCGCACGAAAATCTGAAGTGATAGAGCGATCGTCTTTCGAGATACGCCAGATTATGCCCAGTGCACATCTAAGGAGGAGTGAGAATAGGCTGCGCAGTCTGGCCGAAACGCGCAACGCCACTTGCCTCATTGCGGCCCTCAACTCCGAGTTCAACGAGTTTTGGACTCGCCGCATCAGGTCTCACAGCATGTACAGCAGCATTGAGGATCGGAGTCCAACCGTAACTCGCCCGAACGGAGGATCTGCTCAAGCCACCTGGCTTTAGAGTGCGGTAGATCCCGTTGACGATAGCTTGATGCCATGAAGACAAGAGAACAGAATGAGTGCGTCAAAAAGTCATCAGCAAGGCAAGTGCTTCCGAATCCTTTATGCTTCCTTCAACATTGGGTGGGAGCTACGGCTAACGTTTCTGTAGCTCATCTATCATCGGGAAAGACCAGTCTGTTGCATGGATCTTGAAATCAGATTCGGTTGGAGTTGAAGCAGCCTTGGGGATCTGCGCACAGTTACTTGTCCCGTCCCGCAGCCGTTGGCGTGAATTACGGAAGAGGAGCCGGGGGGGGGGGGGGGTTGAGTTCAACGAGAGAAGTTTTTGGGCGAGTTGATACCAAACTGGACCATACGCCTCGAAGTCCGGCGCGATTTCGTCGAAGTGTCGCTTGAGATACTGTTTGAGTTCTGATGGGTCCATGTTTATTGTGGGAAAAGCCTACTTATAGTGATTTAGGATCAGGACGCTGCTGGATATCATCGGGCTATGCTTCGAACTTTGCTCTAACTCTCAAATAGCCAGCTCATTGTGGGGATAGGTAACCACGCCTTTTGTAGTTCTCATCTAGGGGGCCTTACCAACAAGTGAATGGAGTGGCGTGGTGGGGCCACCGGTCACCTGAGACTTGGCGTGATGAACCCGCAAACAATACCCAGGTCTGTGCAAAACCTGCACAAAAGCTCCAATGGGCCACATATGCAATTGAAACGTTTGTCCGATGCCTTCGTTTTCGTAACATGAAGTTCATTGCATAATTTTCGAAGGAAGTTGAGAGGTTGTCATTGCTTCTGACTCCGAATTTCGGGCAGATACATATTTACTCCTCAGCACAATGGCCGTTGCCATCTTATGAAAATCAATAAAAGGCAGTGGTCTTGCTCAGTAAATGGTTGTCCTCGTAAAATCATGTCGTCACAACCTTAATTTGATTTAGAACATGGCTGCGAGGAATTTGAGGTATCATCTTTCAACTCTCGAAAACGAGAATATGATAGATAGGGAGAGACGAATAGCCCCCTATCTTGACAGATGACTGATCCATTATCCGCCTCAATTTGGCTGAACGTCTTGGGACAAGTCGAAGGTGTCGATCAAGGATCGTAGCGGGCTGTGAGGCAAACTTCAGAAATGCCGTTCTGGTCAAACTCGAGGCTGTCCGAGCCAAGTCCACAGCCTCACACTGAAGAGAAGTCGAAGGCAATATTTGATGAATAGCGGGTACGTTGAAGTGGCCACAGGAACCGGCAACCCCTTTAAGCGGCATGACAGCGCTAAAGCCCTTTAGCAATGCTAGAGTACGCGCTAACCTGATCTAGTTAAAAGCCTTGGCTGTCAGGCTGCGAGTTCCCCGGGCATCTACATCTTCCGCATTGGGAACATTTTAAACATGTCCTCCGTAAGGTCACATCTTTGGACATTCCTTTTATTCTTAACATTTCGATACTGTCAAAATGACTGCTCCGGGGAATATGCACAATTTGACCACACTCATAAAAAGGTATCGACTGAATCCCGTGTTTCACCAGGTTTCCACTTCGCTGGCTGATCACTGGGCAATCCAGTACCCCAAGCATTGAGTCCTTGCTGACATGGTTATCTGAATAGATTGGAAGCTGCTACCTCGCGACTTGAGGACATTGCGAGCTCCGTAGATGGGTCTCAAGCCCCTCCCAATGGCCTTGGAGCAGCTGGTGCCGCCTCCCCAAGCCCTTCAGCAAGCGCCATCGAACAACCTGCTCCACCCCCCGAGCCGCTACCCAAGTCGATTGAAGCTTTCGATAAGATCATTGAGGATGAAGTGGGTGCCTTTGTCGCCTGCAGCCAGAAAATAGGTGGCCTGGTAGAAGATCAGGTATGTCAAGACGGTGCAGGGGAGTCTCGAAGTACTCTAACACTCAACAGGCACACGCTGTCAAAGAAGCATTTGAGGCGGAACGCACCTATCTCCTGGTAGCAACAAAAGCCAAGAAGCCAGATCCACAGCCGCCCGAGTTGATGACGGAGCTGCACCGCCATACTTCGTCTGTGGATGAGATTCGAGAAGCCAACCGACCATCGCCGTTGTTTGTGCACCTCAGCGCAGTCTCCGAAGGAATCGTCGCTCTAGGCTGGATCGTGGAGAAAAGGCCAGCGGACTTCGTGACGGAAACACTAGGTGGTGCTCAATACTACGGCAATAAGATCTTGAAGGAATACAAGGAAAAGTACGTACAGGAACTGCCGTCGCCCAGACTCTCCAAGCCAGCTAACTATGGTGCAGGGACAAGACACACGTGGAATATATTCAAGCTTACTACAAGGTCTTCCGCTCCTTAGCTGCTTACGTTAAAGAACATTTCGTAACCGGCCTGACATGGAACAACACCGACGGCATGGATGCTCTAGAGGCATTGAAGCAAGTCCAATCAGGCGCACCTTCAAAAGCTGCTAACCCTTCTGGCGGGCCTCCTCCTCCACCTCCTCCACCGCCTTTACCAAAATTTGAAAACGACGGGCCTCCCCCACCTCCGCCACCGCCACCTTCAGGGGGCGCCCAAGGCGGTGACATGACAGCCGTTTTCGATCAGCTCAATCAGGGTTCTGCAGTCACTGCTGGCTTGCGCAAGGTCGACAAGTCTCAAATGACGCACAAAAACCCGTCTCTTCGAGCAAAGTCATCCGTCCCAGAGCGATCCGATTCACAAACATCAATCGCTTCAGCAGGACGAGGCAAGTCGCCTATACCGAAGAAGCCTGATAGCCTGAGGTCTAAGAAGCCTGGCCGAAAGGAACTCGACGGGAGCAAATGGATTGTTGAGAACTTTGACAATACCCAGTCAGAAGTGATTGAGATCCCTGCAGAGCTGAACCACAGTATTTTGATTTCCAAATGCAACAAGGCCATTTTGAAGGTTTCGGGCAAGGCCAACGCAATCTCCATCGACAATTGCACCGGCTTATCGATCGTGGTAGAATCCCTTGTTTCGAGCATAGACGTCATCAAAGCCTCGAAATTCCAAGTCCAGGTCGATGGTGTTGTACCTACGATTCTTCTTGATCAAGTGGACGGTGCACAAATCTACCTTTCAAGCGCAAGCTTAGCCACCGAGATCTTCACAAGCAAATGCAGTGCCCTCAATGTCGTCCTTCCACCGAAGGACGACTCGGACGACGACAGCAAGGAAATGCCAATCCCAGAGCAAATAAGAAGCGTGATTAAGAACGGCTGTCTCGTGAGTGAGATAGTTGAACATGCGGGGTGAGCACGTTATAATTATTTCTTCAAATGTGTACCATTAGCGATTAGGAATCAGCACTGCTCTACAATCTTCAACTGGACAAAGTAGGCAAGGCATTGGAGATTACGTGCAGAAAGAGACAAGTGTTCACTAAATTTCGAGCTCATGCTCACCGCCAACTTAGCATCTTTCGTAGATTGGTTTGACACAAGAGATTGTAAGGTCGTTGCCTATCGGGAGTGCTCAGAATTCTGATTCCAGGCGTTCGTTGATTAATCCGACGTATAGCGTACCAATTCTATACACACGTGAAGCGTTAACACCACTTGGATACTGAAACTCTATGGCGCAGGCTAGAATGCCTTATTTACCGATTGATGAGAGCCTCAATGCCTCAGCAATTGGTATGCTTTGAAGCTATCGATTCAAGGGGCCCCAGGAGATTGATTGCCTCGTTAATCCATATGTAAACTAGAATAAAGACTATAGACTGGCAAGAGATGGAAATCTTAGTTATCATTCTTATTAACTGGCTTAAGTTACTAAGTTTAGATCCAGCACATATACCTAGCGTTTACGTCTACTACAATATGTTACAGTAATTCAATATTTTCCCCTTCTTTCTAATACCGCCTAGCCTCGGCGTACTACAGGCGCAGCCGAGTTCCGACAATACCTCAGCGCCAACTATAAGAGCAAGGCTGGTTCCAGCTGGTATAGAATACAATCGCTTGCCGTAGCACTTAGAATGGAAACTTACTTGATCTCGTACTTGCGCGGTGTGATCACATAGCAATACTTGGGCTGTCGCGTGAGACCTACATCAATGATGTCCCTACCAGCCAGCCTCTGCTATGATCCATAAGTTAGCACCAAGTCAGTAGCCTTCTGTATTTGGACACTACAGCAACCCCTACAAAGACATCTACGGTAAACACTAAGTGTTGTTCAAAACGGCAGCAACAACTCCCCCCACATAAGCCAATGGTGGCCGAATCTATAGGCTTATGGGAGCCGGTGTCGACGATTAAAAGCTTGTCGGGTTTGACAGACCAGCAATTGAGTAATTTGACTGTCGGTCCAAACGTCAAGTCACTTTCTTTGCTCGAGACTAACAAGAATCGGTAGCGAGCAGCGCACCATGTGCATAATACGATGTGCCAGCACCAAGCCTTTGATTGGGGGAACCCAGAAATCGAATGGACTGCCATTCTAGATCAAGAGATGGTCGACGCGCTCGCACGGATGCGCTCGCGTTCAGCAGCGGTGTTTGACGGTCAATCTGACGCGGCACAGGAGGAGATCATCAAGAACCGCCTCTATCAAAAGCGGAGGACCCAGCGACACCATACACGAAAGAAGCGTTCGGAGTCGCAGGATCTAGTGGATAGGCCAAGCAAGGGGAATGACGCTGGGGATGGAGCAACAGATGAACTCGAAGGATCATTCAGCAGCAGCGTCACCACCTTGGCCAACCATGCACTCCTGTCTAAACCAATGGGAGTTGTTGTACCCTCATCGAATCCCCACCCGTCCCTTTATCCGAGTCTTCAAGACCCATGAGCCCTTTAAGCCTACCTAATCCAATTACCCCATATCTGGATCAGTTCCCCGGAACACCCTTGCTTGCCACCCGCCCAAGTTGCCACGGCTGCAGATTGTTGATTCATGATGGGGAGAGCTTTCAAAGCGTCAGCGAGGCTAACACTCGGCGAAAAGTAATGATTCGGCCGGGCAAACGCCACCCTCCATTGAAAACATTGTTGACGACTGCGAGACTTGGCCATGTTTTCCATATAAGCTGAAAGTAACTTGTGGCGCCATCTCTTTCAATCTGCTGGACAGAATGGAGGATACCTTGGGACGTAATGGGAATTATCCGAAGGGGTTTGTTGTGGTCCTTGGTCCTTGGACCCAAAACACTGGAAACGCCTCAGCAACATCATGGCCTGGGCGACTGAAGCTCATGATCCTTCGTCTGCGCGTTCAGCAACCTCTTCCTTGCCCACCTGACGGTTTCTCTGGCCGAGACGGGGTATTCAGTGTCCTCTGCAACAAAGTGGCCTACCTACCTGACATATGTAGGCCATACAATTACTGCCTACATCATCTGCCTCCCGCAAATGCATAAGATCGTCGGGCGGTTCTTTCAGGCTCGGTGGTCTTCATCAACAGATAGGCTCTTTACATAATGATTGCATGGCTGATCAAGGCCAGTCCGAAGCAGTCTGTGCTCTCAGTCAACATTGTCAACGAAACAGGCTAGAGTTCGAACGTCGTACTCTTCTTTCTGAGTATTATTCCCGACGTGGCAAGAGTTGGAGGCCTCGATTCGGCTACTTACCTAGCAGACGAGATTGAGAACGCCAGTAAACATATTTCACAGGTTATGATAGGGTCTGCGACCCTTAAATTACATAACCAAAATAGCTTCGATTCTTACTACCGCTTCTGTACGGTCGAACCACCCGCTCTTCTCACGGCCGTCGGCGGCCAGCCGATCATTCAGGTATTCCATGATGGCTCAACCACCAGGTGATGACTGTGATTGCCACCTTATGTGTGATTTTTAGCTTCCTCGTGGCAAACTGGGCCTGCTTCGTGAGCTGGAACTGGCTATAATGGTCCTGGTCCCAAGATGGCGGGCTCCCATTCCCGCGAGTCGTCTTTCACGGCAAAGCTAAGCAGGCATGAGTCGATCCCTGTCAACGCGCTGTCGGTGTGCACGCCAGCGAATGAACGGCGATTAGTACCCAGAAGATCATGGTGGTCAAGGATGAAAGAGACGTGATGGGATGTAAATCTAATTCCGCGATATCAAAGCAACAAATTTCTCGGATTCCTGCTGAAGTTGTTTTCTTTGTGCTGAAAAGCGGAGAGACGGACTTTGAGAGAGATTCCAAGAAGAGAGTCGTCGAGACGTCGACATTTTTGCCGTCTTTGCTGATCGGAGTCGCCACAGTGGGCTTCCTTTTTGATTTGGTTTGATCCGTAGATGGACTGGAGGCCCGCGAAAATGACTACACCTGGAGGTACTGGAGACCTCAGTCTCGTCCCTAAATCCTAGGAAGCGGAAGGTGGGCCGAGGGTAATCCAGGCGGCGATCAACTGGAAGACGGCCGATAGAATATTCGGTGATCTCACGCGTCTCGCATGGGCATAGAGGAGTCCGACATGCTAGATCGTAGAAATTGGCCCAACGTCGCTCGCATGTGGTACAACAAAGCCGAAGACCGATCCTCCACTACAGGGAGAATCCAGCATCATCTTGCTGTGCTTGCCCCGATATTTTCTGCTGCCGAAAGTGTGACACACGCCGTTGGTACTGGTGTCAAGAGCAAAGATCTCCATTCACAGGAAATAGTCGGTTTACAATAGCCGTAAATGAAGCTTCTCTCATTGTCTAACGAAATTTCCCATTCATAAACCCCGCTTGGGTCAACTTTGCTCTCCCAACTTGCTGTGCCTACGATGGCCGCCTCCAACTCGAGCATCGGGCTCAAAACTCGTCTTCTCATCTTGTCAGACACACATTCTGCGCTGCCTCGTCATTCCGATAGTGCCTTCGACAGCGCAGTCCCCTTCCAGACGCCACTCCCCGCTGCGGATGTGTTGATCCACTGTGGCGATCTCACTAGCAATGGGAGACTTGACCAACACCACAAGGCACTTGAACTGATCAATTCCGTCGATTCAGAATTGAAGATCGTCATCCCTGGAAATCATGACCTCACGTTGGACAGAAGTTACTACGACCGCTACCCGAATGCACATTGCCATTGGCAGAAGTACTCAGATGATGTACTCCGAGAGATCAAGGAGCTTTACACCGGTGCGAAGGCCCGACAGAGTGGAATCCGGTATCTTGAGGAAGGCATGGCGTCTTTCAAGCTTAAGAGCGGTGCAAGCCTCAACGTCTACGCGAGCGCCTGGCAGCCGGAGTTCTGCAATTGGGCATTTGGCTATTCTAGGGAAGAGGACCGATTTAACCCTCTTCCAGATGGTTGTGGACCAGAGAGTCCGGTGCCTGATTCCGATATTGCTGGTGGGAGAGGAGGAGTCGATATCATGGTCACACATGGCCCACCGAAGGGATTCCTGGATCGGACTGTCGGAGGTGACTACGTGGGTTGTGATCATCTGCGCAGGGCGGTGAGGCGATGTCGGCCCTTGATCCATTGCTTCGGTCACATTCACGAAGGATGGGGTGCGATGAGCAAGGATTGGGACCTGGATGATGCTGAGGGAGGCGCTTCGTCCACGACCACGGCAAACTCAACGCCTAGCACCTTTGAGCCACCGGTCCCACCGTTCTACAATACTAATAAGCCTGATTCTGCAAAACAAGGAGAGTATCCTTGGATCGTATCGGAATATGAGGAGCAGATCAAGCAAAGAAGTGTTTACGTTGATGCGACTGGCCTTGAACCCGGCAAGGAGACTCTGTTTATCAATGCTAGTATCATGACTGTCAGGTACCGTCCGCTAAATGCGCCTTGGCTAGTAGATATCGAGCTACCAATGGGCTGAGGCAAGGCTGAGATAATGATGGACGCGCTCCCTAGGGTAGGAGCCGGTTGGAAAAGGAGATATACCCATTAGACCAAGCTACGATCCATAGAGGCCGAGGTGCTCTCTGGCCTAGGCAAATGACGCAATACTATTTTGATCATGGCCCTTGCAGGACGGCTGGCCTGAGATGCCCTAACAGGCATACATACTTCCCTTTCGACGTTCCTGTTGCTGGGCATTATTGATATCGTGTTCAAACATCTACAAATTCCTCGTCGAGGAATAATTCGTCCAATATTGTATGGCGGAAGCTAGCATGGAGTCGTGGCCTCTCGATCACTGCCTCGGCAAAATTTTGCTCCGCGGACATGGATAGCAGGATACGAGTACGACGGGAGGAGTGATTAACAATCATTCAGCCTTGCAGACCGCTGCCACGGAAACCAGCTCAAAGGTTCTAGATGATATACACCCTGATTACTTTAAGGGCAAACTTGGAAAGTAACAGCTGAAAGGAGTATTAGCCAGTGACTATTGCCGAGAACACTCCCAGCTTACAAATCCAAAGGTTGGTTTAAAGTTGGCGTTGGAATCCAGCGGGGCGGTGACACAAAACGAACGAACATAAAATGATTGGCTCATCCCAACCTCCTCACAACTCCCAGGTCGAAAACCAGAGATATTTACAAACGAAAGAGAGAAAAAGCAAGTGAACACGTCCAAAAGACTATCCAAGGCAAACAGAAATCCGGCAAAATGGCCTCAATCACACTCTACGACACGGCAGTAGTGCCCATGACCCGCACACTCAAGAATCTGTCCAAAATCCTCAAGAAAGGCGAGGCATTCGCGAACGAGAAAGGAATGCCACATTCCGACCTCCTCGAAGCCCGCCTCATATCGGACATGCACCCACTCATCTTCCAGGTGCAGACGGCATCCAACACGGCCAAGTTCCTCGCCGTCCGCGTCGCTGGCGTCGAGAACGTCTCTTTTGCAGACGACGAGAAGACCTTTGACGACTTGCAGAGCCGCCTCGCGAAGACAATCGAGTTCCTGGACGCCATCAAGCGTGACCAGTTCGACGGTCGGGAGAAGCACGAGTTCGTCTTCCGAGACATGAACTTCACGGGGCTGAGTTATGTTAATGGCTTCGCTTTGCCAAACTTTTACTTCCATGCTGTCAATACCTATAGTATCTTGAGGATGAAAGGGGTTCCGATTGGGAAGTGGGATTGGCTTGGTACGTCGTGATGAGATAGTGTTGGTTTGTCGCTTCTCGTGGATGTGAGGGTTCCTCCGTCTTTTGTCTGAGCAAAAGTGCGCAACCGCAATATTTGATTCCGGGTCATAGGTTCATAGAATGGACCTGTTTGGACACCTTCTTTGCTTCTCAGGTTCAACCTGCCATCTCTTGTTTCTTGCAGTGCGAATGTGGGCCTGAAACCTCCCTTTCGGCATACGACAACCGTGATCTGTCGACTCCCTTCAGGGTCGAAGCGGTGCAGTCCAAGGAACTCCCCTAGAGTTCAATGCCTAGGACCTGGTGAATGCTATGAAGTGCCCGTGGTGAAGAACTTGTAGATCGCCTGGAGCTAAGGACGCGTATCTGTTAGGAAGGCCACTCAATCATCAAGGTGTGCGTGCAGTTCAGTCCCGTGACAATTCGTAGTCTCGCCTTCGTTTCCCACCCCATGCACGCAGTTGATCATTCTTCCCTGTTTGCGTACTGATTTTCAGGAACTCAACCTCCTGTCAGGAGAGCGAGTAAGCGTGAGTATCAAGATTATTTTTTGATGGAGAGGGTACGCACCTTTGCAGACGAGAATGTATTTGTTTTAATGAAAAGCCAAGAGATAGGGTAGAGAACCCTCGAAAAGGGAATCAACAACCTGCAAATTCCCCACGACGACGAGATGGACATGGACATGGACATGAACATTTACGACCAGATGGATATGGATGTTGACGAAGGGGAGCTGGTTCTGATCACTGATGCTCAGTCGGATCCTGCCAACAACACCAACGACGGCACTGAAGCAGAAAACAGCACACACAACCAGCATGTGCTCAATCCTCGCGGAGCAACGGCCCTCATTTGACTCTGCTTCAACGGAAAATACGCAACTGCCCCCTTCGCAGTTCCTGCGCACCATACACGAAAGATGTGGCGAGTCCTCGAGACCGTACAGAAAAAGATGCCCTGGCTCAACTTCGAAAACACACTTGATGGCAGCGGCCTGAAGGTTTTGGCAGAGCCTCTCTCTCTTCCTTCTGTAAGAAACATCCTTCAATACATACAATATGCGATGTTCCCCATGGATAACAACGTTCAAAAACCGTGATGGGGTACTCTATCTGTATTGGTACCGTCGCAACATTTAGCGAGGCAGCGAGAATGAAATCAAAATTGAAGTTCGCCTCAGAACTGATGGCATGCTAGAGAACCATGAATTGTTTCAACAAGCAGGAAATGGAAAAGTGTGCCTCAACAGTCGAGGATATCGTTATTTAAGCATCGATAGTAGCGACTTGGTGGAAATCTGGGAACTTCTAAGCAATGGTATTAGCGCTCTGACAGAGACGTTCTACCGGCTCGGACAGACCCTGAAACTGCTACTTACTTCCCCGAGCGACGTCATAGGCGCGACACAGTCGATCAACAAGGCAACATCCCGGAAGCCATGGAGGTGACTGTGCCCACGGGAGGTTCGCCGGCACCAGCACCAACCCAGCAAGACCCATGGATGCCGTCTGAGGACGATCCTGAAAATATGGACCGGGAGCAGTGGAGGGAGGACATTGATCGAGTCAACTTTGAGATATGAGAGTACGGAGGGTGCGGAGGTGTATTCTTGCTAGTTACTCCATTACCGACCAATCGAAAGCATGGTGTGAGCGGTGGGCTCCAGATAGATAATCAATGTATTCTGAGTTCTCGAAGATTCGAGACTGCGCTGACAATGTCGGCCGACTGGACACTAAGTAAAATAATAAAATTAGGATGAGCAGCCTGTCATGTGTGTGAAGAATAATATATTTGATGTCTAGATCAAGTTTGCGGCAGCTTCTCGTCGCAAGATGAGTAGGGTGGAGCGCCTCTCATATATGGTAGTACATACGGCACAGCAGAGGGTCAACAGCGCGGTGACCCAACTCTATCTTGGATGCAGGTCCACCAGCAACGCATCGTTTCCTTCACATACCCGTCACCATGCCGTTATGAAATGAATAGTGGATGAATGACATTGTCGTGGTCAAAATGAGACTGCGGTCTGGAATCCAGAAATGGCACGAGCGCCCCAGATCGTCTTCCGTATCTTCTACAGCACCTCTTTTACCATCGTCTTCTTATTACTCATCTGCTTCATCTGCGTCACCCCAGCCGATGCAATCTACGAATCCTATAGGCGGCGCCGGACGCTTGATATCTTCTTGATGAGCGGCGACTATGTCGTTACCGCCCTGATAGCAGTTCTCATCTATGCGTCACGCCTGTACACGAACCGGTCGATTCTTAAAGAGATCCCCAAGTCGTTTATGCCAATTGAGAAGGAGGAATTACCCGAAAGGCGTGTCCACAAGTTAATTCAAGATTGTCTGGCGAAGAGTGCCGTCATAGCATATCAGGCGCGGCCGAGGAGCACAAGGATTGAGCATGACACCCAGGTTGCGAGTGCGAGAGTGCTGGCCATCTGCCAGTCGCGAGAATGTACCGATCCACACCTTAAGGAGAGATGGGGACACATCGATCATCCAGGCTGGTCATCGCCTACCGCAAGGGATACGCCAAACCTCGAATATGCTACAGTGGTGGACGAATTGACAGACTTGATTGAGGCAAAGGCCATTAGTCTCGCTCCGGTCGATCCACTGACTGAGCCAGGTCCAGATGGGCTGCCACTACCTGACCCTCGAATAATAGACGAACTTTCAAGAGGCGAAACAGTGGGAATGCGTGCTTATCTACAACATCTCATTGAGATAGGCGTTTTACCGGACAATTCTTTGACCGTCGCATTTCTTTCCAGCTACGAGCGCGCTCGGTTCTCTCCCGAGCCAATCTCTGAGCAGGACTTTCAGGCACTAATGCGCATGTTTGCCGAGATACTTCGGAGCATGAGGCCTGTAGATCTCGATCTTCTGGACCTAGAGGCATCGTCATATTATTTTGAATCCGAGAAATCCAGTATAATTCACCACGGCAACCATCAGCAGCACTACCAACAGCATCGAGAAGGAGACAAAGCATCCATACCGTCTACCTTCTCCGATTCCGGCTCCGTACGACGCAACCGTCCACCCCCGCACCGCATCTCCGAAGATTCGGTGCCTTCCATGTCCTCCTTTGAAAGAGACAACGGCCACCCGCACCCCGACGGCGACCAATCTCACGGCTCCTCACCGCCTCGTTCAGCCTCTCTCAACTCCGACGACGACGGCAATGTCTCCGATGACGAAGCGGACGGAAGCCAAGAGGGAGACGAAGACCACCTTTCCCTGCGTACGGCGCCAACCCACACACAGCGCTCCCTCTCACGTCCAAACCTACACGGCCACGCTTCCAGCTCGCGCTTTGTCTCTGCGCACTCGCGCCAGGGCCTCGGTCTCAGCCTACAGCCCACGCGCTCCCACAGCTCCATGCGATCCACCCACTCCGTCACCAGCAGGCGAAGCAGAAGCAGCAGCAAATGGTCCACTGCAGCAAACAGCGTCATCCGCCTCGCGAGGCCAGAGGATGAGCCTGACGCGCGCGGCTTGCCGTACTTGCTCCAGCTTCCGAGGCATGATGATGACTGAGCTGGATTGGTATTCCACCTGTCGAACAATGAAGATATCTGGCGCATGTTTTCTTTTTGTGGTGCCCGGCTCCGATGCCCTCTTGACGATGGACGTGCTACGCCAGTACTTAGTGTGCTTTTCTAATAAAAACGAGGAGTGGGCGGGACAGTATCCTATTAGAAACTGTTATTTCGTATGTATACCCATTGAAATGATGGGTGCACCCCTAGGCACACGCCATTGTTGGTCGTGCTCGTGCTGGAAACGCGCTATTGGGCGCTTGACCTCTGGACGAGATAAACCTAATGTTAATCGAATGTGTGAACTCAACTGTATCAGTCGATTACAGGTATGATCATAATAATGGTAGAATAGCGTATATTATCATTCAATCATTGCATACATGCATTTACTCATGCTGCCTGCGTAGCTGCGAGCCATATATTGGAGTGGGAAAGGACACCGAGGTTTCCATTCCATCTCACAAGATTGAAAGAGTTATCCAGAACAAAAGGTGAAGAAGCTTATTCTCATGCCTTTCCAACCTTGCGGTCAAATATCCTCGAATTCCATGGGCTCAGTGTGAATCTGACTGCTTCTCCCCTTAAATCCGGGGAAGGCCTCGATGAGCTCGTCTGCCTCATATGGCGTGACACTCTCCTCCAGCAAGCTCGTTGCCATCGCGACCGTGTCGTCGGTGATCAGTCTATCGACATAGAAGCCCTGGCTGAACGCCAGGCGTGTCAGAACCACGCGGTGTTTATGCACGCCTCCATTGATGAGTGAGAGCTTCTCCTGCAAGTCGATGTTCGCGCTGTGCATGGTGAGCACGTGGTGAAATACACGAATTCCCCGATTGACAATTTCTGCGTGCAGTGCGTGGGTCGGGGTGAGGAGGTACATTGCTGCGACTTCGTCGTAGAGGGAGCGTACGATGCGCGCGATGGCGTGCGTGTCTGAGGCGATGAGCAGGCTTCCGTGGTGATTGGCTTCATCGTGTGGGTAAGGTGATGAGGTGATGGCAATTTCAGTCAATAAATCCACAACTTCGAGACGGAGTTGACAGAGTTGGTTTGGTGTGTAAGGTGGCAGACCTTCATCGACTTTGGGTGTTTCCCATAATAGCCAGCAGACGCGATTGACAATCCAGTGTTCGATCTTTTCTTGCTCTTCGGGCGTGCTGGCAATGCTGCCGAAGGTGTTGGGGAAGATAGAAGTCGCCAGAAGGCGAAGATTAAGTGTAATATCTGATATAGGCTGCCATGCGTTAAGCATCATGAGGACAAATTCCGGATCCATCAAGCGCCAGAAGTGGTCAATCAGCTCAGGTTCGTCAGAGATGGTATATGCTACTGTGAGCAGCAAATCAAGACAGGCAGTTCCGTTGACTTCGTGGATCAAGACGGATTGCGGTGTGGCACGGAACTTTCCAAACGAAGATTGACTGACAGGAGAATGCTTGAAGCGTTTTTCGGCGTTGAGCGATATCGAGGCTTGTAACAAGGGTACCAAATTGGTGATAATCTCTTTATCTAACACAAACATCTCCACATCCAAGATATAGCTCACAAGCTCTTGTAGCAGGCATATGGGAAGATAGTATTGATCCTTGATCGATCGAAACCAAAGGTCAATGAAAATCTGCAAGAGTCCATACGCGACACGTTTGCCGCTCAATTGTGCGATGCCTTCGAGAAGGATGTTTGAAAAAGTCTTTGAAGGCTTCGAAGGAAGCGAAAACTTCATCAAGCTTTCAAGAAGTATTTCTCTAGATATCTTGACGCGATAATCAAGTATGCTTTGTAAGAATCGCAAGTCTCTCTCTGCTTCAGGGTCCTTCCGTATGACTATTGCTGGTCGAATGTCTGGCTGAGCAACTGATGGCCGTAAGGGTGAGATCTCAGGAGGTGCAGCCCCGGATAATCTCAAAGGAAGTGCTTTGACTGGACTCGTACCACCGGCCTTCCTTTTTCTCTTGTTCGCGGCTGCTGGAGTACTTGGCTTGGATCTTCGAGCAGATTTTGAAGGTGACAAAAGCATGACGTCGTCGTCGTCGAATCCATCCCTCAAGAAACCTGCCATACCTCGCTTCGGAGTTGAATTGATATTGGATTGCTGCTCTGCTTCAGGGCGACCTTTCAGGCGCTGTTTCAGAGCCTTGATATTTTGGACTTCCTGATTATGCTCTTGCTGCAGAAACTGATAACGAGTGGTTAGTTGTCTGTTTTTTTCGCTGATGGCATCCATTGCAGCTTTGTGCTTGGTGGCTTCCTCCTCGATGGACTTCTTAAGGGAAGTTATCTGGCGGTCGAAGATCTTATTCTCCTTCTCAGCGTTGGCACGAATGATCGATATTTCGCCCTTTTGCATTGAGACCGCATCATTAGCGGCTCGTAGATCTTTCGCAAGTTGTTCCCGTTCTCTCAGCACATCTTCGAGGCGAGGTGGAAACGGTGTAGATCCACAAACTTGAGGCATGTTCACGCGCTGAGATGGCCCATCCAGGACCATTTGATCTGGAATCGTGGGCACACCATGATAACGACCGTCGGAGGGTAGGGGTTGGACTGGTGCCCTTTGGTTTTGTGTCTGTAGTCTATCCGCAATGTGAGCAGGCCTCGAGTGGCTCTCTCCATAGCGTTGTTGTCGAAACTGTTCTCGCTGTGCAGTTTCATCACGCATTTGTGGTCGCGACGGCAAGGCCTCGTATTCCTCGACCGGGGTTGCAACTCCTTCATCTCCGACGAGTTCAAAGCTATCATCTTCAAAGTAGTTCTCCGTGGGGTTTAGGAGGTGGGTAGCGAGGTTCGATCGAGGTCTTGGATGGAATACAGGCTTCGGTAAAGCATTGGCCTGGACAAGCCTCTGCCGTTGGGATAGGATGGCATTGTGTTCAAGTTCTTGAAGAGCGGACTCGGACAAATTATCGAAATCGTCTTCATCGTCGAACAGATCGATCTCGCCTCCGTTGTCTACCATGCCATTCATTCTCCATTGAGCGCAGGAAAATACTCAAGCCTAACAAACGGGACAACTGTTGACATTGGCCGAGCACAACAAGAGGAATTGTGGGGTTCCTTATTTTGTGATACGTGAGGCACTGATACGCGTGGACCGCGACGCGAGTCATTAATTACAGTTGCCAAGGAAGGGACTGAGTCCACGGTCTCGCTAAGGTGGGGTAAGTCACGTGCTAGACTAGGCCTGTTTGCTGGTGCTGCGCCTCATGCTGTGGCTGATGTCGATGACACCGGAGACTTGGAGGAAACGACCATGCGTACCTTGGTAGGCGGCGGGGCTGGAGTCACGCTGCTCAGTGCCTAGCGAAGCCTGTGGCCCCTCTCTCCTAGGGTGCTCTTGAAGCCTAGAGCCCGTGCACGTAAGCGGCCGAGGGAGCCTGTGGAAGACTAAACTTGCATTATCCGTGCAATCTGCGGGTAATGACGCAGCTGGCATTTGACGTCCACTGGCACCATCCATCATCAGCCATGCCCAGGTCCCCCATCAACTCGAACCTTACTCACAATTTGGCCGAAACTCGTTTCTGCTTGTGAACAAGTGACCCCTTCAACCTACTTGGGCTCTTGTACATCCATTCTTGCAGGCAATAGGGAACCCGCGCTCTCTCTACTTCTCAACATAGACCAAGGGGTAATTTGATTGCCCTCGTACTTGCTTGTCGGCCGTCTCGGTCGAAAGACGCGTTCTTTCCGCGCTAGGCAACCCGCAGCCAGCACGTGCAAGCACGATCTCTCCTCTTCGCTGTTCCGGAAATTCCCCTACACTTCCAAACTCGAACAGACTGATTTCTACGGTGTTATCGCAGCTGCGCGTTCTCTTGAGAATCATCTGCAATCATGCCGCGACAAAAAGGTGTGAAGTTCCAGCACCGCGCGAACAGCAACAGCAACAGCGACCACAGACGCAAGAACTCCTCAACCGCAAGCGAGAGTTCATCCGACCCTCCCAGCCCTACCAAAGACCACGATTCCAAGAGGAACGGATCTGCTGATAAGACGGAGAAGCCCAGCGAACAATCCGAATATGAGAAGAAGAAGGCCACTTTTATCACCAGGACAATATGGACCTTGGCTATGATATCCGGCTTCTTTGGAGCCATGTTCGCTGGGCACATATATGTGCTTATGGTCATCACCGCCGTCCTGATAATATCCTTCAAAGAAGTCATCGCGATTGCTCAAGTCCCGACGAAGCAGAAGAACCTTCCTCTCACAAAGTCTTTGAATTGGTATTTCTTCGCAATCACCATGTACTTTGTGTATGGCGAGAGCGTTATCTATTACTTCAAGCATATTCTCTTGGTCGATAAGGTTTTGCTTCCCTTTGCGACGCATCATCGCTTCATCAGTTTTACCATGTACATTTTTGGTGAGTAGGAACACCTTCTCGCGTTCATGACATTACTGATATCGTGTGCTAGGCTTCGTGTTCTTCGTAGGATCCCTTCAGAAGGGTTATTACAAGTTCCAGTTCACCCAGTTTGCATGGACTCACATGGCACTGTTCCTCATCGTCATACAGGCTCATTTCATGATGAATAATGTTTTGGAAGGTCTTATCTGGTTTTTCCTGCCGGTTTCCCTGGTCATCACCAACGATATCTTCGCTTATATTTGCGGAATTACCTTTGGCCGTACTCAACTCATCAAGCTCTCTCCAAAGAAGACTGTCGAAGGCTTCGTTGGAGCGTGGATCTGCACCATCATAATCGGATTCGCTCTCACCAACCTTTTGATGCGATACAAATACTTCATCTGCCCCGTAAATGACCTTGGGGCAAACATTTTCACTGGTTTACAATGTACACCAAACCCTGTCTTCACCCCTCGACCGTGTAATCTCTTTCATTGGGCTGGAATCGATCATGTCTTCTGGATCGCCCCCATACAATACCATATCCTCATATTTGCTTCGTTCGCATCTTTGATTGCTCCATTCGGAGGTTTCTTCGCATCCGGACTGAAGAGGACTTTCAAGATCAAGGACTTCGGCGACAGTATCCCTGGTCATGGTGGTATGACCGATCGAATGGACTGCCAGTTCATCATGGGGGTATTCTCTTACATGTACTATCAAAGTTTTATTGCCGTCTACAAAGCGAGCGTGGGCAGTGTCATCGAAACTGCCATCATCGGCCTGACAGTCGAAGAGCAGATTGATGTTGTAAAAGGGCTTTCTAAATACCTATACAACCAGGGAATTGTCTCAGGAGAGGTAAGTCACTGTTTCTGTACTGTGGTGGTTTTTGACAATGCTAACTCTAGGCCAGGTTTTGAAATGTCTCGCTGATGAACTACGACGGAAACGATAAGCATAATTTTTTGGGCCACAAAAGTACATGAAACTTCACTCCCCGATATTCGACAGATTTCGAGCTTTTTCTTCTTTCTTTATTCTAGATGATTTATCGCGTTCGATGGATTGATCCGGATATTATTATCTCTTTCTGGAGTAGCATAGCGGCGGAGTAGCAGCAGGGTTCGTTGAAAACTACCTAGGGCTCCGAGTTCGACTGAGCGGCCTGTTTGGCTGTTTTGCCGCCTAGTAACTACCTCGTCGTGGGTAGCGAGTTGTCGATACGATAGCGAGAGCCTTTTGAATCGTCGATACACAATAATCAATTTTCTACTTTATACGCTCAATGGGATGTAGGAGGCTGGGGTCCCCTTCATTATCGCTAACGCGTTTGATTCATATGGTTGCCGTGGGATGAGGACGTGGCATGGGAGACAGCGGTAAACGAAGCGCGTGTTTTTTAGGCCCTGAGTAAAGTGATGGGTGGGGGGAGTACTTCTTTATAGTTTGGCTTTATTTTGGACCAGAAGTAAAGTGAACTGGGAAGAAAGAGAGGAGATTTCTCGATCGTTTGTATTAAAATTTTGGGTTTCCCAAGACGCCTCTGCCCCAGCTTTCCCACTGCAGGTTCTTTGACGTCAAAATGGACTCATCTCGTCCAGACACTTTTCGCTATAGACAGGTACTTTGCTTTCTCGCGCCATGTCAGCAAGCCAATGCTCGAGGCCAGGCTGGTATTGCCAGTGGTGGTGGTGCTGTTGATGGTTGACCTGCCCCCGTCTGAGGGATGTCGGGCATGGAGATCTGATGAGGATGGCTGGTTTTTCGTGGCCCCTTCTTGCGTAAAGGGGCAGAAGGACGGTATTTCCGAAGTTTCTTGCGAAGGAAGAGCTGGGGGCAATGCCAACGGAGTTGGTGCCAGTGCAGCCATGGCTGGACCGGAGACAATAGAATACCGGTCCAAGTCAATCGTGGTTGAAAGAGCGCCGCGCGTTTTCTGATCATGGGCCTTGATTCGTTTTGTCCGATCCGGCAGGGATGGAGAATCGAAATCATGGCTGTGGCCCTCACCCTTATCTGGAGGACAATCGGTGTTGTCTCCTTCCTGACCACCGTGAGATGGGGGTTTTCTCTTCTTTGTTGCCGTACTGGGTGTGGACTCCTCCTTATCCCTTCTCCTCTCGTGAGCAGGAGTGCCATCAAGCCTCGTCATGCCCTCAAACCCAAAGGTAGGATCGAAACTCACGAAAACGAGTGCTCTTTCGCCATGGCCTCCTGGAACAGGTGGGCCGGCCATGTAGATGAGACCCTCATCTCCCAGTATGGCCTTCACCTCACCAGCCCGGCCACCAGGGCAAAGGATATCGTGTAACAATTGAGGTGCGTCGTCAGACGGCCAGAGTGATATGTGACTGGCGGTAAAGTCCTCTTCGCCATCCAGCATTTCATGTCCTTCCCTGTCCCTGATACGCGGTCGGACTATCAGGCCCCCCGTCCTTCTCGGCTTCACAGTATCTTGCACGAGAGGCGAGATTTCTTCCCGGCTAACCACACGGACCTTGATACGCTCTCTAGGCCGCCAATCGTCATCTATCCTATACTCCTCTGTCACTATATCGACAAACGATTGTGAGTTAAAACAATATCCATTCCATTTGGTCTTTGCCCTGATGTATTCTTTCACGGCCCCTGATGCGCCAGCCTCAGTATGAACGTACTTTTTCGCTCTTGGCCTCGGTGCCTCATACCGGCTATTGTTTTCCTTGTCTAGGGTCTTGGACAGGGGGTCATCAGGAGGATGGCGTAGACCATCAGTCAGTTCCTGATGTTGCGCACGTCGGAATGGCTGCGAGTAAAATGTTCTGAACGAGCGACTGCCGCCATTGATCCACTCCTTGCGACATTCCACAATCAGAGACTCACCAGTCCGATGATCGTGTTGAAATTCCAGCAACGTCCAGGCGTCATTGATTGGTCCTTCCACATGCTGTCTGCGCCAAATCACTCGTATTCGTAGATCTGGAGACGGCTCGTCCAGGGGAAAGCTCGTAAAATGGTAATAGCTAGTCCAGTCCACCTCTTCGCTTTCCAGGCTTGTCTGATTGGTCACTGCATAGAATTGTCCCTCGGAGATAGTAAAGCATGCAGTAGAGCCTACGTCTGACCCATAGAAATTTTGCAACTGCAGAGGCTCCTTGCTTACTGCTTTTCCCGTGCCAAGATCATAGACTTCTAGAAGCCACTCTCGGTGGTCATGTAATCCTCGAGCTGAATATGTCCCATAGACCAGGTGCCTGGAATCATGTCTGACAAAGAGTCTGTTGGTTGAGCGTACTCTGACACGAAGTAGAATTCGATCATGGCTAGAGCTCTTCAGACAAGGGGGTGAGCGCTTGAACTCCTCATCAATATTGACCGCAAATAAGAAGTGTCCTAAAAGCCCGAAGTTGCAGAGGCATATTACAATCATGTCGGAGTAGCTGCACACTTGGACAGATTTAAGATCTTCTGGGTCTAGATTGGTGCTGTCTGAGCCCTCAAAGCTCAATTTGCTACAGAAAAATCTTCCGCTCAAGACCTTTTCGGTCGCGTTTGCCCTGTTGAGGTCGAGGATACGAATTCCCTCGTGGTTAGCATAACACAGAACGCCAGCGCCATACACAAAGCTAGTGCCATGTCCTATGATGGTTGCCGAATAAGGCGACGCTTTTTGGACTGACTCTTTTTGGAGTAAACATCGATCCAAAAGCTGTCTAAAGCGCCCCTTAGTAGGTGCTGAAAGAGCCAGTCGTGCCCATGTGGAATGACGAATACTACTCTGCTGCTGTTAGCCAATTCAGACATGTCAGGGGCAAGACGTGAAAGCCTCACCTCTAGACAGTGCCTAGCCGTGTTCTCGTCTTTAAGGTGCTCGTGCAGCAAGTGGCATGTCTTTCCCAGGTTGTGATGGGATCTGACATCGAGGCATCGAGCAATCTGATGAAGAACGTCGAAAGGAAGGTCAATGAGCATGTCCGCTGGCTGGGATCTTGTTGACGAGTAGGACACCGATAACACCCGCCTGAAATGGTCATAAAGCAGTGCACATCAACCTCCGGATGATGTTAATGTGAGAAAACGAGAGACACAATGGTGATGACTGACTGCATAGAGGGAGTGAACATTGCAACAATGGCGAGGCCATCAGCATAGATGTGCTGGATCCTACGCACTATGAAACTTTTGAGAGAAGGACAGGTGAGGCTGAAGAGAAATGATTGAGGGAGCAATAAAGAGGGGAACTGATACCATCTGGCAGAGCCGCATCGCCCCATTCGATTCGGGGGGAGCTCCATTGGAATTCTCGAACCAATTCCGCATGGGTTCCGACATGTGTCACCAGAACAGGCTGGCATAAGTCTGCGTCCGATCGCGTGCCGGGGAGCACGGGATTGCTAGCCGATGCAGGTCGTGCAGCTGTACAGTCATTGCCAGCACAAAATGGATAGTCTTCCCGTCAGGCTGAGAGGGAAGGAAGCTTGTATTGAAAATTTGAAGGATTGTTTGAAAGCGGGTCCGGGCTGTTGAGTGGAGTTGCAAACAGAAATGGTGCGAGACCAGGTTGCGCATTGCAGCAGAGCCTCATTCCGCTGTCCCTTAGTCACGTGAGCCTGGTGGAGAACCCCAATCCATCGGGCATGGACGTCAGTTCCCCCTCAACCTTACGCCGCAGACAAAACCCAAGGAGCGATCGTGCTGACTGACAAGTTGCAATCGGCCTCGTATTCACCCACCGTACGAAAGTCAGGCGCATATTTTACTTGAAAGTCTAGTATTGCTCATCAGCTTGTGTCCCCGGGGGAGTGCTGCGTAATCTTCTCTGGCACGCACATTACAAGGTAACCCAGGTGCGAGAATCTAGAATCAAGCCCGCCGGCAACCCTTGTAACAGACTCGTCAATTTTTGGGCCTGCATGTCTGAGCAATGGCCGACGTAAGCAGTAGCACAAACAGATCAAGACATGAGGGCCAATAATGTTGAACGCCCGAAAAAAGATCTCAATTCAGCTCGAGGTACGCCGTAGTTGCTGATGGGTTGTGTTGAACTGTGATGAACATCGAACAAACACCCGCCCTGCATAATCGTTGAAGGGTTTTGCATCCTTCCAACAACCCCCAGCGGCCAATCGTACCAATTGTGTGGCAGGCGTGAAAGCCATAGTCAAGCTTGATCAATAGTGTGGAGCCAGGTGTTGAAGCCAGGCAATGCCGGGCAATATCGCAATTGAAAGAGGGGTCGAGCCACGGGAGCGTTGTTGGTAGAGACGGGCCGTTTCCTGGCCCTTTGTCACGAGTTATAGGTGGTCCAGATGCGAAGTGATGTGTTCTGCCTCGTTAATTCATTGTCAGAACCTTACTTACTGACTGGGCCAGACCCAGAATGAAACATTGTTGGAGGAAGCCTTGAAGGCCATTTCGGCTCTTCCTCGCACTGAGAGCCAAATGCACGAAGTGTTCGGATTGCACTGGTGGATGTGTTCGAAGTGCATTCCTCAACATCAACTCATCAGATAAGAACGAAGCACGGCCAAAAAAAACAAACGATTGTCATGTTATTGATACCAGTAGCGTCCAACCGGGCGATGACTGTGGGAGTTCGAATAATCTAACTGGAAAGGAACCAAGCGTGGGAAAAAGGCAACCGCGACTTGGAAAAGGCAACTGGGTTTCGATGGTGATTTTCCAAGCAGTACCTAAAATCAAGGTAGTTGCCCGAGTAGGATTGTTGAGTGGACGACGACAGCTCTAGTCTCTATCAAACCAGGTTCAACCGGTGCATGGTACTTTCTTCACGAGAAGGTTCTCAGTTTCTCTCCCTTTGCTGCAGCCGTGGGCCTGCTGGGTTCTGTCTATTGAGCGAGCCTCAACTCTTATCCCATCTCCCGTGTGCCATCCAGTTATCATACAACGTCTTGAAAATAGCTCGACTACTGACGTCCATGCTCGCGTTCAGTGCGCTCATCAAGTCCCTATCGATTGCATCCATGACGGAATACAAACCTGGCAGCAAGCTCTCTTTAACAGAGGGGTCAATCTGGCCGTCAAGGCTGCACCTCGCGTATTCCGTGACCAGGTAAATCAAATGTTGCCCCGCTAGCTGACGTGCTATCTTGGTCTCGTCATTGAGCTCATTGTGCTTACGTTTTCGAGATGTCCGGGCTGCTGAGACCGTGGGGTTGCAGATTGAGGACAGTAATCTTCCCAGCTGCTCTGCAGAAGTGGGTGACAGAGCCTCTTCAGATGATGTTAGCCAGCCGGGAAGGGACTTTCCAAAGGTGTTGATAGTGTGTGCTGCATCCCTGCCAGATAAACCATGCAAAGTACTGGTGCCAGGCCAAAACAGACAGCGTAGAAGATTAGACATCGCTGGCACCAGTAAGTGATAGCGATCCGAGATTCGACGACGGTGTCTCCCAAGGACAACACCTACAACCTCGCAGATTCGTGCATAAATTGCTGAGGCATCTGGCGACATTGCATTATTTTCTTCCGGAAAGGACTCGTTAGATGACGAGGTTAATGCACAAACGGCGGCAAGAACGCCATCCAAAGTTGACTGATTCACTACTGTAGGACGGAATTCAAGAACATACTTGCAATTGTCCAGTGATAAAAGTATGCTAGCCTTGAAAAGGCTGCATCGATTCGAGAAAGAGCGCGCGATTGCGCCGACCTCTTTAGCGAGCACCGGATGCTGCATCATTTCAGGGCTGTCAAGCTGACTGGTCACAACAGCAATCGCAATCGGGCCTAACATTGGTGATAGTCTATGCGAGCTCTCGCTTCGGAAATACTCGAGAACCATTCCCTTTGTCTTTGGACCAAGTTTCCGAATGGTGTGGTTGAGTAGCGTAGCGAACACACCAATATAATCCGTAGAGCAATTTTCGATGGTTCCAGCTGCAGATGCTATCGCTTCTAGCATAGTTTTGACTTCTGCGTTGTCAAGTTCGACTGTGAGTGACGAGGAGATCTCCCGATAAGCACTTTGAATGGAAAGCTCAAACCTGGCAAGTAGAGTACTTTTGTGAAGCCTAACATCGTGTTGTTTTCCGATGATCATCTCCTGAATGCCTGGCATCCCAAACAAAAGTTCTCGATCCCTAATGGGGTCATGCACATCGAGCAGTGCATGTAGGATGAGCCTCACTTCTACGAGACTTCCATCGCACAAGTTAGGCAAAATGTCCTGCAGACCAGCTTTCAGCATCTGCATGAACTTTACCCGAAGCTTCCGAACTTTCTTTTCCGAGAGATGACTTCCTAAGATGTCCTGCGACTTGAATGCTTGTGCAAAGAAAGTTTGAAGGCTCAAGTAAGGGGACTTGAAGTATGGGAGTTGCTCGCAGCTCTTGATCGAGTCCGTGGCCCATGAACATATCTGTGATAGGATGGGTGAATTTTGGAGGGTGAAAACCTGACACCATAGTCTCCTGAGAATTTTCAGGTAGATATTTGTTGTTACAACAATTGACGATGATATGACTTTTGGTGGCCTCTGAGCTTTTTCGGACGCTCTCACCCATCGGGGCCAGTCCTGGGCATCGATCACTGAACCATGTGAATGTGTGTCCAGATGCAGGATGGTGGCAAGTTGGTTGTTGATATCATTGCTCCCTACAACGGTATCACCATCGCTCAATGCGTCAAGCATGGAAGATGCTAGACGCTTGACTTGCGACTTTTTAAGCGTCTGAGTCGGATAATCACGAAGCAGGAAGTGACTGCTGGCATTGATGTTGGCGGCCGAAGAGTGGCTGCCGATGAGATGTGCAGAGATCAAATCTCTGAGGGTTGGGCTGTTCAAAACCTCTTCCATGTTCAGAAGTACTCCCAGCAAAGCGTTCAGAGACAGGGGTTGCTCAGCCCGGACAGACGATGACTGGCTAAGGAAAATGAGGGCTGACGAAACTAGCTCGGTAGAAGTTTTACCATCTAAGGAGAGTGTGCTTGGCTTCTCTAGAACTCTCCCAACACAGGCGGTGACCAATTTTGGGACATCAGCACAACTATGACAGCGACCATCCCACTGAGTGCTACCCATGTAGAGGGCAGACGAGTTTTCTGGGTCAGCGCAACCCCTTACCAAATTTGCCAAATACTTCATTTCTTCATGAAGGGTAGGAAGAAAACCAGCTGCGAAATGGGCGACTTCAACTAGGATTGAGAAACACTCTAAAACTTCCAGATATTTTGCCGCTTTTTTAAGTGAGCTATCGTTGTCTGTGTCCAGTGATAACGTCTTCAGAGACACAAGTCCTCTGTCAGATCGTAAGAGTTGTTTCAGGTTGTCGAGAGCATTTCCTGCAGGCTGATTTTGAAGGAGAACGCGAATAAATTTCCATAACCTCCAACGCTGGGCTTGAAAGTCAGATTTCCGCTGTAGTCCCGAAAGCGCAGCTCGAAAAAGGGCCATTTGCTGATTGTCTTGAAAAGGTAGTAATCCCGACTGGGCAGATTGGGCCTCGAGATATGCAGTAGTTATCGCTAAGTTTGAGATCTCAACGGCGGTCGATCCAACTTTCGTGCTGAGATCATCAAGCGGCCGGAGAACCTGTACCAGTAACTTTTGACCCAGGCTAGGAGGTGCATAAATCTCGACCAAGGCCTTGAATTCATCGAAAACGTCATCATCATCCCATACTAGTGCGGTTGGAACGGTTGGACTGTTCCAAGGTTCGTGCTGAGATGAATATCTTTGTCGTATCGCACTCTGCAGCCCATCCTGCCAGACCTGAATGAAACCATCAATGTTTCTGGATTTTGCATAGCCTCGCATCACGGGAAGGATGATATCGCTCAAGATTCTCGGGTACACGTCGTTAGAGACAGTTGAATCCTCGATCCGACCACAGACCTGAGCAAGGATGTCCGCAGAAGTTGACAGCCCTGTGTTTGTGATAAGAACGTTGACATCAAGTTGGACAAGCTTGGCCAGCAGAGTCCACGCAGGGGGCCGGTCAGCCAGAATGAGCAGGACAGAGATAGTGTATCCGACCACTGGTAAGGAGAGCCGAATCTTTCGCGCTAGACAAATATCGACCAGGCGTTCCAATGTTTCCATGCCATTTTGATAACTGGACGTATCAGAGTATGGTACCTTGGATAAGTTGTCCCCTCCAGAGACTGATATTCGTGGCATGTCTTCCCATATAGTATAGGCCAGGCTGAGAAAGAGCACATCGAGCCAGGGCTGCTCAGACTGACGTTTTTGCAAGTCAGTGGAAGGGATAGCTCGCGCAGCTATATCGAAAACCTTTCGAAACAGACTTATCTCGATGATAGCAATCTTACTCTTCTGTATTCGGATCTTTGCATTGTTCGAATACACCACGGTCTTTTGGAAGTCGTTCAAAAATGCTTTCAGGTTCTCATAGAAAAGTGCATCATTAATAGCCTTCCACTTTCTCGCATATCGTTCAATGAAGATGGCCCGGCCGGGGAGGATAACGTGTAAGGCAATGAGACGTTCCAAGGAATGCAGAACATGCTTGATACTGTCATCGTCCACATCGCTCATTTGAAGAACCTCAAGAAGAGCCAAAGCGGGGACAAGGCATTGCGAACTGAAGGCTCGATGTGGACCGTCAGTGTGGCTTCGTGAGTTCGTTGATCCTGTTGTCCAAAATGCGATGACAGTATTGATAATTGAGGACAAAACATTGCTTTGGGCAGGAGCAGGGGAGGCGTCTGCCAGCAAAGCAATGGTTTCAAGCAATGCTCCAAACAGGCACGCTCTTTCACTCCAGCTTAAGCTCCACGCCGAGTTTACATGGTGTGTTTGTGGTTGTCCAGGTTGCTCTGAACATCCCAGAAGGTCGAGGCAACGGCATGCGGCTTGTAGAAGCACCCACATAAAACCCTCATTCGAGACAGGGGCAATTCTTCGAACTCCGCAGGTCAGCTCGAGTTTTCTTTTCTTTGAAGGGGGTCCATTGATAGCAACATGCCGGCTGTGAGCATTGATTGCGCTGTCACTAGCTGCGGGTGTCGTACTGAGCAAGTCCAGGATTTGCACTAATGTCTGGTAGAATTTTCTTTCGTGAAGGATCTCGAGACAAACATCCCGAGGAATTGAGCAAGTAAGGCTGAGCAAAAATGACCATGACTGTACACATAGACAAAAACTGGACGGGTGTCAGCAAAGAGTCAGTTAATATACTCTGCTCAAATTAGATTCTTACCTATTCTCAGAGGTCCACACTTCATCACTATTTTCTTTCGGAGGAGAAAGGCTCAACTTCTTCAACAACCAGCGTAATAGCCACTGTTCTTTGAACCCGTAAGATGCAGGTTCACGTTTGTAGCTCACCTCGTGAGGAGCTCGTTGAATATTCTGCTCAAGGTCGATCCCAATCAACCTGGCAGCTTTTTCTATCTGCAAAAGTGGCGCAGCGTTTGTTCTCTCCAAGTTGGCGACTCCCGCCTCAAACGAAGATTTTGCCATTTTAACATCACTGTGGATAAAGAATTTAAGTCCTAGGTTTTAGTAAATGAGCACCAAAGGACTGGTGGATTCTTGCTCAATTTCAACAATGCAGGTATCAGTCAAGAAACTTCCCCAAACTCCACAGCACGTGGAAATTTTTGCCAAGATCCATCAAAATTCGGTCTTTGACGCTAACGACAGTACTAACTACTAATAGCTAGGCATAGCCGCTAGCAGATGCTTGAGGATTATATAAGCTCTTGGAACTGTCATGATCGATGATATCCTGGTGTTGCCAGTGGATTGATTCACTGAGAGCCTGGGCATTACCTTTGTGGCGTACATGTTTGGTTATGTTTGGTACTTCACCCCAGATCCTCGCAGCATCAAAGCCATCGTAGAGACACGCTTTCACGGTGCGGAAGACCTGCTCCGGAGACACTGACAGGAAATTCAGATATAGGCCTTGGAGTACGAAGGTCTGTCTGCTACTCAGTTTTTTGGGTGAGGGTAATTTCACTCAAGCTGAGTCGGTGTGATTACGCCTCTGACAGCTGCGCGGTCCGTATGAGCAAAACTAATCAGTACTACATCCCTCGGATTCTATACCCAGATACCTATGAATACCAGATCTACGACCAGGAAGACATTGCTCCCAAAAGGCGGAGGTCTGGACGGAAAGACTCTAGTATTCGTCCCAAAGAATGCGGGCATCACATTCAGCCCCTATTACACGCATTGTCGCAAGGAGCATTTCGGCGACGATGCCCATGACATCAAGCCAAGCGGTGTTTAGATGGCAAGCTCGCCAATATTGGCTGTGCTTATATCCTGTTTCTTCACTGATTCAGAACATCCTTGGGAAAGGACCTCGCATTGTCAGAAGCAAGCTTTGTGCTCGTTCGCCGGCTTCAGGGATACCCCGCCTTGCGACTTCAACTTGAAGCCGAAGCGGCGCCTACCAGACAGGAGAAACAAGTGCCGGGCAATGTCGTTTCGAGTTCGGAAGGCTGCTTGACTGACAATTGTGCAAGGAACTTGATTTTGCTAGGAATAGGCTAGTCTTGAATGCTACAAGTACTATCATCTTCAATATGCCCTTGAATTCAACTCACCATCTGGGCCATTGTGGAATTCGAGTAGATAAATTCCATCATGACCTCAAAGAACACTCGACCCCACTGCTTTCCGAGCAGATGCAAAATCGCAAAGCATTTTGGCTATCAGCTTGCCCTGGGTAACGTGTAGTTCAACCTCTAAAACAACCTAAGGTAGACAGCTAGACACCCAGGTGACGAAGATTCAGAAGCCAAATGCAGCAGGACTTGCTCGACAACGACTCAAATGCCAAGGCGTATTGCACGTGAGCTCGGCGTAAGTTTGACGTCTTTTTCCCGGCCAGAGCCACCGCAATTGGTCAATACCGCACCTGATTTCACGAGTTATTCCGGCTCCGATGCGTAACGCAACAGCTTCCCCAAGCTTAGTTGGAAGTTCGAACAAACAGAAAAAGCCCTGAGGTTTTGCGACATCCTATACTAGCCCACCCACCATTCTCTAGACTGTCGCAGATATATTCGGTTCGGTTGCACAGCTAATTGAGTGCTGCTCCCTTCCAACTCGGCTCTACCGCTCTGACAACCACCGACTGCAGCTGGTCATCATGCCGGACGACAATGTATCCGCTCCTCCCATACCGACACCCAAATCAAAACCCGTGAGCGAAGCTCTACTGAACGAGAAGGTACGCGCCCGGAGACGCTCAGGGAGGATTTCCAATGCTTTCCATGCCTTGTACCTCGCACCGTCCATCGCTCCGCTCAATGCAGGACCCTTTCCTTCCACGCTCTCAACAGACACGTGAGACATTTAAACCTGTGTCAGAAGATACTAACGATTGCCGTTTCTTCCAGTGGGACCGCGCCATATCCTCGTTCGTGATCAGATCGTCACTCGGATTCTCCTTCGGCGTTATATTCTCAGTGCTGCTGTTTAAGCGAAGAGCATGGCCAGTTTGGCTTGGAACCGGGTTCGGCGCTGGAAGAGCTTGGGAAGAAGCTGATGGTCAGTCCTCCCACACCTACACAGCAACACGATACAGGTGTTGACACTTTTGACTTTCTAGCAAACTTCAAGCGAGGAAGTACATTTACAACCGATGGACTCCGAAAAGTAAGGACGGACAGGTAGAGCATTCACGGATCGGATGGGAACGGTGCACGCGCTTCTTCAAGTAAACTACAAAGAGTTGTACAACATGTACAGACAATGCTTCTCAGGGATATACCTCCCAGGAACACGCCTGCCTCCTTGACTTATTATTTCCAAAGGCCACGCTTTGAGATATTGCTATTCTGCCGTCGGTGAGGGCGAGTTGCATCTCCATCTATCTGCCTGTCTTCTCAACCTCGATCTCTCGACGGACATTGTCCAGTTCAGCTTCTCGTTTCCTTAGATGAGACTCAAGCCCGTCTATCTGCTCGGCGACCAAAGCCAGATCATCCCTCAACCTCTTGATATCGTTGCCGGATTTGTTGGCATTTTCAGAATTCAAATCCACGTATTGTCGCTGCTTGTACTCCAACATCTGCTGTGCTTCACGCTTGACCAATGTCCAATTAGTCTTCCCGCCCTGTCGTGACCCATTTTCCTGCCTCTGATTTCGTCGTCTTTCTGCTGCTGCTGTAGCTGCATCATGCTGTGATTCGAGCTCCCGCAATTCCCGGAGGAGTCTGACCTTTTCAAGGTCTTCATCTTCCACCACATCGGAGAAATCAGTTCCCTTGGGTTGATAAGAAGAGCCTCCCTTGCCGCCGATACGACTCAGATATGCGTCCCCAAATTTGGCTTTCCGGCCCAATGTGGTGTCTTCATCATATTTGTTTGGCCGGTTTCTCATGCTGTCGATCTGATAATCAATCTTATTTCCCTCGAATGTTGATCTCAAGCTGGGCGGAACAGTCCGAGGTATTCGGTAGCCTTCATGGCGGTAGTTGAGGATGTGAAGAAACGCTATGCACGCCTCTTTCGATATTGTGTCTCTTCCACTGGTATTGACCAGGTTCCACGCACTTCGCACATCGGTGTCCGGCACATCCAAGCTTGAGTATAGAGAGTGCAGGTTTTCAAAGCCAATTTCTCCTCTCCGGTTTCTGTTGGCTGAATAGATCTCCTCGTACTTGTGCTTGTCATCCGGGTTCATGTACCAATCAAACCCGTCTTTAAGCCCGGCATCATCCTCGTCATCCTCTATCCTTTCGAATTGAGCCTGCTGGTGGCCTGATAATGCTCGATTGGCGGCGACAAGATGCGCTTTGCTCTCAGGAATTAGCCAGTCTGGAAGGGACTTAGGGACATCTTGATATTCGCCGTTGACCAGATCGAAGATCAAGCGCATAGCCACACAGAATTCTTCAAAGTCAAGCTCGCCGTCTCCGTCGACATCCGCCAGATCCCACACTCTTTCTAGCTGATCATCGCGAAGTTGTGAATTCCGCAGAACACTGGCTGCGGCCTGGTTGGTCAGGCGAGAGTGGGGAGCGACAGGAGGTGGCACAAGGGAAGAGAAGATTTCCCAGTAGCGATCTATCTCCCATTTGTCGATTCGCTTTGTTGCAGACATATTTGGCCTTGCCGGGGACTGGTGGTTTTGGAGTGTAGTGAGTGAGACTGGGCAGCGACGAGGAACAATTCAAGGTTGAAACGCTCAAAAAAGGACAGGCTATGCCAGCCCGAAGAATGATCGCAAGGGGGTTTACTTGGTGCTGAACTAGAGGATAGTGAATTAATGGACTGGAAACCTCACGAGGCTATACAACGAGGAGGATTGGACAATTGCAGGACGACATACGAGCAAAGCAGTAGCAGTGCTGGACACGAGGCGCAGGCGGGAGCTCCGCACGTGCCAATGATGCGAGCCAAGACATGCTAACCGTTCTAGCATGCTGGGGCACTACGGCGGACCACAACGTCCTAGAGCCACGCCACCAAGCATAGCCAGGAAAGGAGGACAGAGGCAGGCACAAAATATCTCAATCTCATCTTCGTAAACTCTTTGGTTAAGAAGAACACCTCAATGACCACTTGGAAGAACTGTCAAAATATAGGCGCAAGCGAAAGTAGTCTTGCTCCAACACACCTATAGCTGGGACATTGTTAACATAAGGCCCCTCTGTCTCTTCACTCCCATCAACAACACAATGGCGTCCTAATGAATAATTCTTCAGAGGGCTTCCAGATCTTTATTATCTCCATTTCTCAGAACCGAAATAGCGAGTGCCTATTTCAGCCCGGAAAGCCAGCGTGTGTTTGGTGCATTAACAGGATTTGGGTGGGAGGTGTCGCCAGCACTGTCTTACCCGTTGACCCCCTCCTCGACATGTGGCTGCGCAAGCATGTAGCAAGTACTCATGTATTCCAAACCTCCTGGAACATGTCTTTGGGCACCAATATCAAGGCTTATGCCGTCGGTGAATATACTAATTATACGTGAAATACCAGGCCCGCTCACAATAGTGATACATCGCACTTCGAGACTTGAAGCTGATCAGACTTTTAAACAGCCGCAAAATAATGGAGTGAACGTTGGTGAGATCGGGGGAGGCACTTTTTGCACCTCCAGGTAGGTGTCCATTTGTCAACCATACAGTATGATATGTATGTACTCCTATATCTGGCGGGCCTTTTTATATTCCCTTACCCCACACCCCACAACCCCCGAGCCTTGTTCATAGCTTTACGTGTACCTGTCACTCTGTGTACCGAGATCGCCCCTCACGGACAACTAACTCACTTGGAGCCCGATGCACTGATTCGCCTGCAAGTCGCCAGCCATGTGGAGGAGGTGCCATGCTGTGGACAAGGCCCCACCATGCATATCTCTGAAGTGGAATGTGAGGTATAAAGCCAAACCGAGTAGTTGCCTCCAGCGAAGTGGCAACCACGAAATCGAACGGGCTGCTCTCTTGAATACTAGCCCCCGCTTGATCTTTTCCACAATACGTCGACTACCAGGTATTGCAGGCGAACGCTAAGTCAAATGCAACGATGACTGAACAATACGCCGCTGGAATCCCCTTGCGCGTCACCGAGTATGCGAACAGCGTGAAGAAGAAATTCGAGGAAAACGCCAATCAATCGCATATCCACCCGCGGGCGGGATCAGGTGCAGACCTTCCGGTGTTGCCTCCTGGGATCACTCGGGAGGACTTCAACGCCGCTATCGACGACCTGAAGCCCCTCGTCGACGGGTTCGTGGAGTTGGTCGACGGCGACCTCGACGACGGGTGGTATTTACACCGGCCACTGACACATGACGTGTATGCGCTCGACCAGGAAAGTTACTTCGTCAACAGTGCCGTTTGTTCACCGGGCAGTGTCGGGCAGGTTCAAGATGTCGTTCGTTGGGCCAATAAATGGCTGATCCCTATTTATGCTGTCTCGATGGGAAGGAATTTCGGTACGTTTTGATGGCCTCCTGCTTCTTAAAATGTCAGAGATAGGGCTGTTGTGCTGACATTGGTTCTGCTTTGCTTGGTAGGCTATGGGGGTGCCGCTGCTCGCGTTCAAGGCTCTGTAGTGCTCGATATGGGACGGAGGATGAACAAGGTTCTAGAGTTGAACGAACAGAGTGCCTTCTGTCTCCTCGAACCAGGTGTCTCGTACTACATGCTCTTTGATGCGATCAAAGAGTCGGGGAAGAAGCTCTGGGTCGACGTGTGAGTGAAGAAATGTTTTGAAATTACTATCCGATGCCCCACTAACATCCCTTCAGCCCTGATCTCGGCGGCGGGAGTATAATGGGGAATGCCTTGGATCGCGGCGTAGGGTACACACCGTACGGAGGTAGGTGGCTCCGTGCCCACGATTAAGCCTGACGAGTCCACTCTGAGTCTCATCAGATCACTTCGGCATGCATTGCGGTATGGAGATCGTGCTACCGAACGGCGACGTTGTGAGGACCGGGATGGGAGCTCTTCCTGATTCTGAAAACACCTCGCACGGAAGCGCGAATACATGGCAACTGTTTCCATACGGCTTCGGTCCTTATCATGACGGCATCTTCACTCAATCGAATTACGGGATTGTGACGAAGATGGGCTGTAAGTCCAAACACTTCAAAGCCCTGATCCTGGCTACAACACTAGCTGGTTTTACGAACAATGTACTGACACAGCCATGTTTTCCGTGCGAAAAGTCTGGCTCATGCCCGACCCAGGCGGCCACCAAACTTTCCAAATCACCTTCCCGCGCGAAGAAGATCTGCACGACATCGTCGAGGAGCTCCGGCCGCTGAAAATCCGGGGCATCATCTCCAACGTCCCGCACCTCCGGCACATCATGCAAGAAGCGAGCGTGTACGGCGACAAGGCCTCCTTCTGGCCACACCCTGGGCCGATCCCGCACTCCAAGATCGACGAGGTGGTAGCGCCGAAGCTCTGGATGGGTAACTTCCGTTGGATCCTGTATCTGTGCGTGTACGGGCCGGACGTGGTACGCAACGCCAACATCCAGGTGATCCGCGAGGCGTTCGGGCGGATCCCCGGCTCCAAGGTCATGTTCCCGGAGGAGACGCCGGAGCATTCCTACTTACGGAGCAGGGTCAAGATCTACAGCGGCACACCAGACCTGCGCGAGCTCGACTGGGTCATGTGGCTGCCGAACGGGTCGCACACGGCGTTCAGTCCCATCAGCCCGCTGACGGGCGCGGATGCCGTCAAGCAGTATAATCTCACCAAACGGCTTCATGAGAAATGGGGGTTCGACTACTTCCCCACGTTTTGCCCCGGTGGGAGGGAGATGCATCATATCGTGATGATTATCTATGATCGGATGGATCCGGATTCTAGACGGCGCGCGAGAGCGTTGATGGAGGAATTGGTGGAGGAAGGCGCGAAGTTTGGCATGGGTGAGTACAGGACGCATCTGGCGCTGCAGGATAAGGTCATGGGCACGTATTCGTGGAACAGCTCGGCGCTGCTGAGGCTGAATAACACTATTAAGGATGCGCTGGATCCAAATGGCGTCTATGCGCCCGGCAAGTCTGGGATTTGGGGCCAGAGGTGGTCGAATGAAGGGCTTTTACCTAGGAGAATATAAACTTCCTTAAGGTATGCATGCAACGGAGCTTTGGGCAATGGGGTGAGGAAGAAGAGGACACTCAAGCGGGGATCTAAATATCATGATATATTGCTAGACTGCAGTCTGAAGCACCTCAAATGCATGCCAATCACAAATTCAGCGCTTCCATGCTAGCTAAATGGGCATCTCGAACTCACCACCGCCAACAAAATCCCGACGCTCGCACCTCATTTATTGTGTGATACAAAGCTAGTTGTACTGTAATGCAAGCCCAAAAACTCACTTATGCCTTGTACAAAGTGTCAAGATACGCGACGAGGATCTGGCCAACCACAGACTTATCCGGTAAACTGCCGGCGACACCGTACAGCTGGGCGGAGTTGCCTTTACCCTTTTCGATCGGGCCACCAGCTTTGACTCTCTCAACGGCCTTCTCCTTCTCAGCCGTGACCACCGCGACGAGGTCGTCAATTAAGCCATCCACAGCGCCAGGCCTCGTCATCGGCAACGTCACCGCGACATGCACGCCGGCTGGAGACTGCAACGAGTTCAAGTGCCAGTGTTTCTTAGACATGGCATCTGCGACGTCGTAGATGGAGATGGCCGGGTCCTTGGACTCGAAAGCCACAACACTGACAAGGGGGCTGCCGATTATGGACAAGGTCTCCTTCAGAGAGGGATGCTCGGTAATCGCATTCTGGATAGTGATCCTCGTGGAGACGATCTTGTGCGTCGCGTCGATGTAGCCCTTTTCGCCTACGGACATCATGCTCGCCCAGCATCCTGCGATCAGAGCGCCCGGTCGGGAACCCGCTATCGAGGGTGAGCCGTAGACTCCGCCCGACCACTCCGGGCACAGGAAGTATTGATACTCGCGGAATTGTCGGTTACGGTAGAGGACACATGAATTTCCCTTAGGGGCAAATCCGTATTTGTGGGTGTCGACGCTGATGGAAGTGACGCCAGACTGGCGGAAATCGAAGCCACCTTCATCCGCCCAGGGAGAGGGGAATCCAGCTTTGGCTAATGATGGCATCAGGAAAGAGCCGAGGCAGCAGTCAACGTGGAGTGGGATCTTGTAAGATACGGCGAGCTTGGACAGCGCCGGGATGTTGTCGACAATACCGTGCGGGTAGTTTGGTGCAGATCCAACAAGGAGGACTGTGTTTGGGTTGATCAGCCTTCGCACACGGTGCACATCGACCATGTACTCGGGTGCCGGGCAAACGACTTGATGGACCTTGATCCCAAAATAACTGCCTGCCTTCAGGAAGGCGGCGTGAGCAGTGCTCGGAATGATCATCTCAGGGTGTCTTATACCCCTTTCCGTGTAGCCTTTCTGCCTTGCAGAGAGACAAGCCATGAGAATGGATTCTGTCCCTCCAGATGTAGTAGCTCCTGCGCCGGAGGTAGGGGCGTTGAACAGAGCTAGAACCATTGCCACAACTTCGGCCTCCATCTTCCTCACTGCTGGGAAGACATCGGCGTGGATGGGATTCGAAACACTGAACAGCCTCATTGCCTCGAATTGGATGTCCAACAGGTCTTTCTCGCCATGGTAAACTGCGCCGGACACTTTACCTTCCTCCCATCTCGTACGTTTCATGGAAGAGAGCGTTTCCAATTCTGCACGAAGCTGCTCGGTCGTCCATGGCTCCTTGGGGAGAGTGAGATATCGAGTCGTCCCAGGGCCCATAGGCGCCAGTTTTTCCTCGAGGCCTTTGCGAGTCAGGGCCAGCTGTTTGGCCACCTGACTCCGTACGCCGGGGAGGTTCAGGAAGATCTTGTATGCGGTCTTATGAGCCTTGTGGACGCCGAGGAGGATGGAGCCGACGATGCCATGGCCACGAAGGAAATAGAAGGATCTGCGAACGATGCCGAGGACGAAGAAGAAAAAGACGAGATTTCGGACACTGGCCGCAAGATTGTTAGTCATATAGTGCATGCTTTTCGGATCCAACGAATCCAGCAGCAGTGTGCAAGACATACATGTCGAGATTCCCTCGGTAATCTCGCAGACGAGATGCAGGTCTGGAATTCAGGAACTTGCTCTGCAAGCTGACGGGGAGCGGCGAAGAGCCCATGGCGGGGCGTGATTAGTGCCTGTTATTGAGGATTCATGAATTGTAGGTATATGGGGGGATTGATGGAGGAATAGAATTGCTCGGTGATGATGAGTATTTTCGGCTGTTCACATGCCTTCAGAGGACGGAGTTCTAGTAGGAGTAGCACTAACTACCATAGAGTCAATTGCTACCCTGAGGTTGCTCCGCAATCGCCATCGCGCTGTCTCGAAAAATGACGCCGACTCGTCTGTACCAACAACCTGGACCGCGGCTATTGGCCTACCCTCGTATTTCGTATTACATCGTATTTCGTTGAGGCCGTCCATCTCGGCCTTGCAAAAACAGCGATAATTATACCAACCCCGGTCGAGGACTGTACATAGCTGTATCTCACCTTCACATACTTAGGTACTATAGGGTCCTCGCATACCGCAATGTATTTGCAACCGCGTCTCGCTTTGATTCGAAGCTGTGCCACGGCCCACAGAGCAGTGGATCTTAACTGCCGCAGCTCTTCAGTCTACCAGTAGTATCACAATATTTCATTTTGGTTGTGGGTTATTCGTCTCTAGTACGTGTAAATCTAGATGTCCACTTTTGTCCAGAGTATCCCAACCCGAACCAGCTGATTCTCTAGCTTTTGCTATGTACAAACCGCAGCTGGAAAAAGGTAACTCGCACCAGATATGGCGCCTCCAGCTTCCAAGCATATTGAATTCTACGGACCGTTACAATCATCAAAATCCTCCGTTAAAATGCATTAAATCCAGGCCAGGTTGTGGCCAAGTCGATCACGCAGTGACACTAGTTCGGGACTTCTTGATCGCTTGCTCATGGGAGATCTCATCCTCAACAGTCTCGTCTAGCTTGCGCTTCTCCGGAGCTGCCTGGTCTTCTTGTTGCTTCTGTGCTAGTAGCTTCTTCTCCTTCTCCGTCATGTTGGGTAGTTCAATCTCATGTGCATTGGCCTTGCCGAGCTTGACGTTTCGATGATAGGCGTGAATGATCGAGTCGGCATCGTCGATGGCAATGGGTCGGATATCAGCCAATCTCTTGATGGCTGCTGTGACTTCCTTGTATTGTGCGTCAGTCATTTCGATCTTGAGCTGTTGTGCTCTCGACTTGATGGCATTCCAGCCGGTTAGTCTTGATGCGAAATGGATGTATCGGCCGATACCAAAGTCGGAAGGGTCAATGATTTCGTATGTGCTTGGATTTGCAAGAATGGCCTTGGCATGGATGCCCGCCTTGTGGGTGAAAGCACAGAATCCAGTAATGGGGTTGTTGAATGGGATATTGACGGCAACGGCCTCGGCCACCAACTCCTCAATATCCTTGATCTTTTCGAGCTTGTACTTGCTCTTGACGTAGTCACGGTCCACAGTAATCATTCGAGCCATAAGTCCACCGAGGGTGGTAATGCCGTTTCGCTCACCAATACCAAGGACAGAAGTATCGATGTGAGTGGCACCAGCCTCCAAGGCGCAGTATGCGTTGGCAATGGCGCAGCCAGTGTCGTTGTGGAAATGAGTCTCAATGTCGCAGCTGACTACTCCACGGAGAGTTCGGACCAGGTCATAGACTTGTCTGGGCGTCGCACATCCGACAGTGTCTGCAATGCCGACTCGATTGACACCAACCTTGTCGACGGCCTGGTAAAGAGATAGGAGGTCAACGAGGTCGGATCTGAAAGAGTCTTCGCTGGAAAATCGGATCTCGATATTATGTGACTTGACAAAGTTGATAACCTCGATGGCGGTGTTCTTAATGTAGGTCATATCCTTGCCGTGGGAGTGCTCTCTTAGGAACGAGGATGTGCCAATGACAACATCAACACCGTCGACACCTGTCTCGACAGCAATTCTCGCATCATCCATGTGACATCTGATGTGAGTCAGAATCTTAGACTTCAAACCAAGCTTGCAGATAGCCTCGCAGTCCTTGCGGGATTGCTCTGAAGCGGCAGGGCTCGTGAGTTCGATGTAGTCGGCACCAAACTCGTCCAGTGCCTTGGCGATTTCAATCTTCTTAGCGGTATCGAAGTAGGCGTTTGCAAATCTGATCGCATGCCCAAGTCAGTGAACTGATACCAAGTAGGGCTTGCAGGGAACGATGTGACATACTGCTCGCCTTCTCTTAACGTGCTTTCAATTATCTTAAATCTGTTAACATTGCTGAGGAAGTCTCCTACTGGAGCATAGGGATTTTTGTTCTGAGGTTCGGGTCGAGTGTTGATACCGGTGAAACCTGGATGTGCTAGAATACTTTAGTTGCGGATTGGACGGAAGCGATTCAGCAGACATACTTCCGTTACCATTTACTCCATTGCTATGACCATTGGTACTGTTTGAGGCACCACTCACACCGTTGGTCTCGACCTCGTCTGCTGTTGGACACATCTTGCGCAGTGAAGACTACAGCAGAGGCGAAGCGAGAGTGTGAATGTTGGAGAGCACGAAGGTCGGATGTCGAGAAAAAGAGGAGAAGACAGAGAAGTGTATGAGAGAGTCAGTTACAGGCGGTGAGGCTGGAAATAAATAAGTGCTTGCAAGGATATGAGTCAAAAAGGTGTACCAAGTACTAGCACTGTCCGGTGGGTGAGTGATGCTAGAGTGGAGGGGGGGAACGAGGAAAACTGGTTCGAGGCAAAATTTGATCTGGCGAGCACAGCAGCTGCAGCAAATCTTGGAGGCTGCGGGGAAGGAAACTCCTCACGTCAGACGAGGACCAGGGTTTGGTCTCAGCTCCAAAATCTGTGTCATTTGTGTCACTTTACCCATCCATTTTCTTGCCGCGGAACTCGCTTCCCAGCTGGGCATGACCTGAACGGACCTCTCCGGTCTTCGGCTTCTGCCATGGAACAATAGTTTTTCCTTTACCCGGCCAATCACAGATGACGTGAAAACGACAACCCAACCACCACTAATCTGATTACGGGATGGCAATTTATGCATGTACTGCATACGTACAGTCCCAATACTGTGAGGGTTGGATCTGTTCTATGTTTGTGTCTAAGTGTGTATGTGCAAGGAAGGTGGTGCGTATCTCATCAATACAGATCTGCATCCGTGGAGAGACGGGATGAGTATCCACGAATTCTGCGTTTGGCCGTAGGATCGTGCCTGTATCCACCTCGCGCGGTAAAAGCACCTCCCACGTTGACAGGAAAGGCTTTGTCCGTGAGTCGTAGAGACTCGAGGCACCCAAGTAATCGAGAACGAGCAAATAGCCATGCCAGAGGGAGTTGGTTCCTAAACCCTGACTTCAGCTCAGTTTGTTTAATAGCCCGTCAGATTCTGTCCATGCCGACCGAATACTTCTGTGAGCATCTCGAGACCAGTGTTGAAGCCGCGAGTGACTGACCGGTTCATACACCAGGGGCTCACAGACCAAACCGTGGTGAATGAAACTCAACTTATTCTCTCACTGATCGACATAGCGCCGGATCGTCCACGGGCTCCACTCTCCCTTATTTAGTGAGTGACTTTGCCGTAGCGCTTGATGAGCGAACTCATTAGCCATAAGGGGGTTTGCTGGCCAGGTAGAAGTACTAGCCAAGGGGCAAGGACGATCGCCGTATTTTGAAAACTTGTGATCTTTGGTTTCCTTGAATTAGAGAAGCTTCAGATGCCCAGTGACCGAGTCAACAACGCTCTTTGGACCTAAGACTCCGAGCACTGTCGCACTGCCAGCTGCTATTTGGGTCCTCCCAGCGTCGTGTATGATTCGTGCACAAAGACCTAGGCTCATGGCTTGTGCTTGGAACGTTTCCAGCTCCTCTTCAGACTTGGCTTGTAGAGCGATCTTAGCTTGACCGCCATATTCCCATCGTTTTAGGATCGAGGCTGATGAAGAATGATGGATGAGGTATTTGTAGCATGCAAGTGTTGCGTGGGAGCATTGGGCCGCGATTTTTCCTGTCGTAATGGTCAGCTTCATGTGCCCTATGCAAAGAAGGCTAGCTTAAATACCCTTTCCCATCCCAAGATCCGTCCTCACAACAAGAACCAACTTGACCTCATCCGTTGAATCTCGGAAATCACCTAGTTCTTTACCGTCTCCGTCCTCCTCCTCTTCCTCGTCATCAGCCTGCTCATCGCTAGAATCAGCATGGACTTTCACATCGTAGCTGTTCGGCCAGCTCTTCATTGCTTCGTTAGGGCTGGGACTGCCGAAAAGTCCAATGCTAGATCCCTGTCCGAGGAAATAGCCGGCCAGTAGGCCTAGGAAGAGAGAAGAAACAGCGACAGCTGCAACGGAAGGAGGCGCTTTCTCAGCCATGTCGAGATGCCGAGGAGGGGCGTATACTGGAGAATCTCGGGACGTTGAGTCACTTCATAACAATGGTACCATTTTCGCCAGTCACATCTCCTTGCTAACTGATGTCATACCCTGTACTGCAACTTGACTTGGCAGCCACCATTTGTTGGATCGTCCCGGAGAAACATTTCCAGCAAACATGCCAAGGAGGATAAACTTCGGGCGAGCATTCACGAGCCGTGAGTCGCTAGTCTAGAATAGTGCCTGATACGAACTATCTCAATGTCAGGAACGCCCACCGTAGCCTCGCTTACGTCATGTGCCTCATGTGCTTCAAGTCACCCACAAGTCCTTTGCTATTCCACTTCCTAGCAGTTTTACATATTACTTGTTATGAGTATGAGTGATCATTTCTGCCCTCCTTTGCTGTTCGACACCCGGTTGCGGTATTTGCTTCTCAGCACTTCTACAGCTATTGGTCAGAATCACCATTTTTGAAGCCAGTGCGCTTTGTTCAAGAATGAAGATGAACTGCCAATAATATACTCTCCGAGCTGAATGATTACCAATCCCTTGGCGTTCCGTCTTTCCAAGACGCTGCGCCTCCGAGCAACACGAGCTCATCTTTTTGAGTCCCATACCTTTCGCCAAGAGACCGTAGGTAGCGCCGATATGAAAGCGATCCTGCATGCTTACCTACGCCGGAATTCTTAAACGGGTCGTCTAAGCGAGGTCGCCTTCGCGGGACTTCTGGGTCCTGGCATTCGATAATCATCCATAGGCTTCAAACATGGCGTTTCCAAATCTATGGAGAAAGTGTGCTCTAAGAACACCCGCTCCTAAAGCATCAATCCTCTAAATCCAAATATCCAATTCAATCCCAGTATTTCTTCAGCAGCTCTTCTTCAATACCGCGCCACCTCGCAAATGCGGCCAATCCCTTAAGCAAATAGTTTGTCGCCACACCCGCAATCCCCGGAAAGCGCATGTCGCCCATGTCAGCAACAATTGCAGTGTGAAGAATGCTCTTCGGCAGAGCAGTCTTTGGGTCGGAGAGATCATCATTGCAGAGTCCGAAGAGGATGTAGAGGCTCCTTTCGAATCCATCATGGCTGGGAATGACCGACCCTTTGAAAGTGATGTCTTCGTCCGTATCATTGAAAAAGCGATGGGGAGCCCCGACCGGGACATCAGCGGCTTCCCCGGGATGGATATAGATGTCCTTGCCATTTAATGAAACTCCTAACGTCTGGTTGAGAGCCTCAAATTTCTCTGCATACGAGGTATGATAGTGGAGAGGTGGCCCACCGCCAGGCCCGACGACAAGTGTGGCCTCTGATCGCTCCCCGTTGGTCTCATAGCCAAATTTGTTCCACGTAACTGTCTCTCCGGTCAGTTTGTTTGTTATGGTGCGTTTGGCGTTGTTGGTTACACCAGGAGGAATCGTTCTGTTTTTCTGTTCTGCAGACATGGTGTTCAGGACGAGGATACTGAGCTTTACCTGATACTTGGGAATCGTTGTGTTAGTACTAGCAGGACTGAAGACCTGGGATCACTGTCCACTATATACACACATCTAAGAGGAGGACTAACGGTGTCCATTCCGCGTATTACCAGACCTACAGCTACTGAGCCAGGGACCTACGAGTGTGTATGCATCAGTATCCCCTTATTGTAAGGTTGCATCCGCACTGGCACTAGCCAGTCTACTCTTCCTACGCGGTCCACGCTGACCAATTCGAGTGCTATTTTGGGAGCCTTGATAAGTTAAATATGCTTGGTACCAGGCATTGAACAGGATTGTCAATCGTACTTGCAGGATCACCTCCGTTTGAATAGTTGGGTGGCAATTGACCGATACCAGGAAATGCATTTCTCGCATGACTGCTACCCATCTCAGAACAGTAACACGAAGCCTCACGCATTCGATGACATATACTAGCCTAAAACAGTGTGCGTAGATTGGGTCCATAGGCAGGGAGTTAACGAATGACTGATGGTGCCCAATACTCCTCGACTCTGCATGTTAGGTAAGCCAAAAGAACACGGAGCGTACTAGTATCCGACATCAGCACCAAGATTCTTCTACGAGATATCTCAAGCACCCATTGGTTTCAAGCGAAATGTTATGTCTTCTTTGGGAAACTACCTCGTGTTCATCGTAGATGTTGCATGCCGCCGAGGAATGTGCCGCTTCTGTCATCTCAACCCCCTTCCGCATAGCAACGTCCTCCCTAGGTAGTATCCATGTACATGCCACAGATGCTACTCGCGCAATGATTCTGCAAGGGGTCTTTCTTGCCTTTCAAATTGGTGAAGACAAATGCTGTGCTGCCAACACTTAGTACCCACTCCCTGCGCTCAAAACCGCAGTCTCAATCATCCAGATTCGTATCGCCGTGCTACACCTCAGCACCATCGAACTCTTCTTCTTCGGAAGAAATGTAGCTCCCATCACGAGTCCAAGCCTGCTTGTCCCTCCTCGCCGTGCTCAACCTTCTCTGGGTCCTAGCTGCAGTGTCCGCCTTGATCCTAGGTCTACATGGAAGCCCGACCCGACCATTTCTCATCGTCTTTGCGCAGCCGGTACCATTTCGCCCATGCACTCGTTTCCCGCGCTATCCAAGCCGTATCACTTTAAGGATTGCTCGATGTCAACGCTGATGACCCTGAAGCCTAGTCGGCCTGTCCCTCTGCTGACGTGGAAACAGAAGTGCCTAGATCTAAGAATAAAATGGCCACAAGCATTGCAGATATAGAGCCAGTCCTTGTCGTTGGGATCTATGGTGCTTTGTAACAAGAGAGCCGGTGGTTGACATTGGCAGAGATGATCTCTGCTATGTTCATTTGGGTGAGTATTCGCTTCCTCTCTGTCTCTTCGCGCCGGCTCTTAAGCCTAGAGAGGCCTGTGGAGAGCTAGGAAGGGTCTGCAAGTCTGACAGAGCCATTGCTCCTGAGACTGGTGATGTCGGTGTATGAGCGAGACTACCGCAGGCCTGATTTACTATGAACCAAGTATTGAGAACGAGTTCAGGCGCTATGGGCCCAGTAAGGTTGTATTGCCAGTGCAAGTTTGCGAGGCGAGATTGCATTACAATGGCTTGAGTCGTTTGATAGAACTGGTTCGCAATCAGGCCCAGCTCTTCTCTTGTATGGGAAGCTAGATGAGAAGGTCTGTTGTTTTCCTTGAAGGCTTGCACGATCCGGAGCCATTCCTGGTTGAGGTTGGGATTTGAGGACTTCGACATTGGTAGGTTGCTATCGATTTAAGGTCCATATGCCGTTCACCGAGGTGGAGGATAAGATATTTTATATCTCTGATCCGAGAAGGAAGCTGCTAATAGGGGATACAGAATGATCTCTCGAAGCATGGTAGGTAGGAAACAAAATCAAACGTCTTTTGTTGTGGTAGATGCAGTCGTAGCACCAGTAGACGAGAGCGCACGAATCTGACTGCCTCGGGGTCTAAGAGTGAAACTGGGGTAAGTGAAATCATCGGATGCAGTTCCACTAGGTCTCTCAACAAGATCGTCATCGTCGATACTGCTGCACTGAATTGTATCTCCAAGTAGACAGCCTATCCAGGAACTGTTTGACGTAATGCCCCTTGACTTCGGACCTTGCCGTTTCAGAATGGTGTACACGGCTTTTAAGCACAAAAGTGAAATGTATAGTCTAATCCTGAAGCAGGATAAACTAACCTCGTGCCTTCGCCCCGTTCTGGGAATCAATCACAGATCTGTGCTGAAAGGTTGGAGTTATTTTCCGAGGGTGATTTGAATTGCGGATAGCCGAGCTTTGGAAGTGACATGACGTGTAGGAAAGGTCTCGCTTTGCGAGGGCTACCGAGACAAAAGGACCAGTGATGTCATGCCACAGAGTCTTTCCGGTTACTGGGCTTTTATTCAGCCTATTCTATAGTGATGATATGCAGATTAATAGTGGACATCCATATATGCGCCAATACGTTGTTAAATACCACACCGAGATCAAGAACCACAAAATGCTGTTGTCAACAAGAAGGTAATCACGACGGGCAGCGCCAGACCTCGGGAGGCAGACCCAGTCCAAGATATCTCCCCTCTCAATGCATTGCCCTTTGATGTTGGAGTTGCCGAAGCCGCAGTACTGGACCTGGTAGCCATGGCGCTGGCGCTGGCACTTGCTAAGCTGGCACTCAAACTCGCAGCAGCCTTGGGGAAAGCTTCACCCTCATACAAAGCGCAGCCATCCGGAACGAAATCCTTCCAGTTTCCTCCCAAGCCCGTCTCGACACCGAACCGGGACAGATCCTGCGCCTGGCCGCCCAAATCTGTGCAGTAGTTTATGTAAGTGTCCATTCCTGGACATTCACCAATGCATTGTTTGACGGGTATCAGGTCGTCCTCGGTATCGATGACCTCAGGGTACAGTTTATTGACACATATTCTAGCACACCCGTATGCAGGGCAAGGCGGGGCCGGCAGATATGCGGGCCAGCTACTGTCCCAGCTTTCAGCACTAGGATTGACTTCAAAATTGAAGAAGCCGTCCTCATTCGTACCTGGCACTGGCTTTGTGTTCGTCACGTTGAAATCGCCCCAATTGTTGGCATAGTGGAGCGAAGAATTCGAGTAATTGTCATCGGTCGAGTTGTTATACGCATACGGAATAGCGAAACCGAAGTTCTGAGTGTTGAAGAAAGTTGCCGCTAGATTATAATGGGGTCCGTCGGGACCTGCATCGCTTGGTATCTCGACCATAAAGTCGGTGATGATGGTTTTCCCATCGTTGGTAGCGACGTTGGGGTCTTGAATGAGCGGAAGACATTCGATTAAGCGGCACACAGGGCCCATTAGGGAGCACCAGGTTCCCTCGCAGCCTGGTCGAAGGGTGTCCCTGGCGAGAAAGAGCGTGACGGCATTCCAAGGTTCATAGGCGAAGGTGTCGACATACTTAGTATAATTGATTGACTTCACGAGAACCGGTGTATCGGCGCGCACACTCCTGTTTGTGCACATTCGGTTGAACGAAATAGGATCATCAAGATCACAACATGCGTGTATGTAAGGCAGTAGCAACAAGGCCAGGCCTAGCGGCAGCCAGGGGAAGAAGTCGAATGGTGCCATGCGATGCGTCCTATTACTCCCTCCGGGTTTTTCAGTCCACTGATCTAGGTTCTAGTAGGGCTTGTGAAAAGATCGCGTTTGTACCAGTTTATTCGACGTGGAATTTGAGAGGGCGGACGAAATTGTCAACATTAGAATTTGAAGCGCAGAGCGCCTCGTTTAATTAGTTACCCCTTAATTGTTCCAGATACGGATTTACTATAATCATGATATTCGAGGCCAAGGCAAAAGTTAGTGTCCTTGTTAGCTTAGCACTTGTACTTAAATAGGAAGGGTCACGGGCATAACCGACTCTAAAATAAAATCGCCAAGTCCCGTGGACATTATTGTAACCTCAAATGCTTAATTACCAGCATCGTGTTCCTATCGTAGGGTCTAGCACAGGTAATTATAATGCATATGGTCTCGGGAATACAAATTTGGGATTTGGATTATATGCAAAACGTACCATCAAGCCTCTGTTTACTTTGTCTATAAAGATTGTACACCTGATGTTACCGTGCAGCTCGAGCTGAGGACGTCATGCAATCCAAACCACTACATGCGAAAGCCGCGAGGAGCCACATGTCCATTCGTGTGTGCATTTGGCGCTGCCTTTGCCAGAAGTGATGCATGCTCACTGCTACCTACACACGGCAGAGCGTCAGCCACTGTTGGCTGCGCGATCTTGCTTCCCAAAACTCCCGCCACCCCCATTTTGATATGATCAGCGAATTGTGCCGCATAGCGAATGTTGTTCTGCGTGCTGTCATCCCATATGTCAGACACATCGAGCAGGCGGGACCCGTCAGCTGTCTTGGCTCCGGTGTTGTTTCGGATTCGGAGTCTGAGGCCTAGGGGAACCTTCTTGCCAAGTGCGCTGCCTCGCTGGAGTTCGATCCACGAGCTCGGGATGGGGTCTTGAGCAGTCCCGTCACGGTTTCCACTAGTGTCGAGGGATAGGTTCGATGTGTCGAACGATTGCATGTAGAGAGCCACGGGATCGGCGACAGAGAGGGTGTTACCTTTGCGGGCTGCCTGATTAATCGCTGCGCCGATCTACCAATGGATCTGTCAGCGGATGTAGTTGTGGAAGACCAAAGGCAAAAGCCAACAGAACTATTACTTACTGCCGGATCTGAGTTGCGGTCGGGGTCACCATAACGAGAGCATTTTATCAGCTGGTCTGACGAGTCAATGATCTTCCCATGTGATTGACGGATCACAGTCCCTTGAGCCGCAATATCAATCTCTGCCGAAAGGGTGTTGTTCGGTTGCCAAAGGCTGATTATCGTTCCTCCACTGGTGGTGTTGTTGAACTTGTTGTTGCGATCAAACTCCCAGTTACCGGTATGATCCTTTTTGAAAAACCAGTCCATCTCAGCATTATCGAGCAAGGGACTATTGATCTTCTTAATAAGTTCGAAGGTTTCTTCAGGTTGATGCTTTCCCAAGAACTCCCAATACTTTTCAAGGAAAGTGTTAGATAGCGGTGGATATAGTGGGCTTTGGACATACCTCGGGGCCCTCGCAAGTGAAAGTCGCACTAGTGATGGATCCAGCCTCATCGCGCAAGACAGACCACTCCAGATATTCATCCTGAACCATTCGTGTGGACTCGGCCTTTTTCCAGCGTTGCTCGTCGCTCCCGATAACCTTCCTCAATTAGCCAGGGGATTTAGATGCTATGGGAATCTGTTTACCTTCTTGGGGAACCCAAACCAGGTGATGTTAACATGGTCTGCGGATTGGTCATACGGAGTCTCTGTGCCATTAAAGAACTGTTTGAGGGGTGTTCGCCCTTCATGGCGGCCAGCGATCTCATCGTCCATCCACCCAGAAATGATATCCGACCATGCTTTGACATTTTCTGGTTTGATGTCGGTCAAGAACGCAGGAGGGCTAAACTGAGAAAGCGTCTTTGGAGTGGCCATTTTGAATATTCGGTCAAGGTTGCAATAATGGACGAACCTAATGGTGCTGATGTTGGGTCATACGAGCAGCCCCTTCGACGATTTCATGGTGTACTTATACCGCTCAGTGCTCCTACCATCAGGACCCGTCAACCTTGCGCCGAAGCCTAAGTCTCACAACCCCCTACCACATGTCCTTGTGATGTGTGAGACGACACTGCACGAAATTCTGACATCTTCAGCTCCTGCACTGTGCGCCTTAGATTTGGGAATATTGGTCAGCTGAATCCAAGGACTGCCTTGACCGCTCGAGGACAACGAATAAACAGTTCCGTCTCGAGAGTGATGACATGGCACGAAGCACTCCCAGGTCAACAATTGTTTCCATCCAATTGGCCCACCCTCGTGGTATCGAGGGCAGAAGCCGCACTGCCAGCAAGCCAGTCTAGACGTATTATAGACGTCGGCAAAGATCTTGACAACTCATCTCAACACCGTATAGCTCAAAACTAGACTATTACGTGCAGCAAAAGCAGAAAATGTTTGGCTGATGTCAGCTAGCCACGGGGGATGTCAGGCCCGGAACATCCCTTCCCCGCAATTCGATCCGAACCTTTCTCAGTCACATCCGTATCTGCTTGCATGGGTCTTAGATCTAGATTCTGCCTGAGTGATTTGTTGAGCCTCGTAACAGCACTCCGTGCATCTTTTGACATGGCGATCTATGCTGTTGAGATGCCTCAAAACGAATCAGGCGGTGAGAGTGGACACCGAGACTCACCGAGCATTTCCCTCTGCCCTAAAGAGTGAGTCCGCCCTTGAACCTTGAGCCGTCATAGGCAAAGCAGGTTGACATCGGGTATTCATGCGTTGGCCATATCACCTCACACGACGATCTCAGTCAGTCAACGGCTTCTGAGTCGGAACGGTACGGCTCGACTGACAGGCGCCTCGGGCTGACTACGAATCACAATGTGGCATAATCCGTGAAGGTTCCAATATCGCGTATTGTCAAACTCCTTTTGAGTATCTGTAACATATGGTTTCCTCCAGCGACCCTCCCCTTCCCCCACCGTAACTCCACATGAGCCATTGCTTGCAGTACCTCCGGCCAGAAGTAATAAATATGACCAAAGCTATGTGCATGATCGACAGAAAGCCAAGGTGTCACTATTTTCAGGCCCTGTCGCAACATAACTCAGGCGGTCTGGAGCTGTCACACTCAAACTGTAGTGTTGCCAATCTAGTCTAGAAAGCATTCCAGTCGGATTTACATTATACTTGGACTCTGGGGCCTATACAAGATCTCCAGCTTATCCCATTCTTTAAGCATTCATTCAGTCTACCGGACGACCTCTGTAGTTCAACGACAGTTAGTATATTTATCCTTAGAATAACCTCAGCCACCCAACATCACGAACCCCACGCGTTCTCTCAGACAACTCACTGGGTGCTTGATACCATCTCAACGAACAAGCAACATGGCTAGGGGCTCCACGATCTATTGGCGCCGGTTCCTTCGTACGGGCGATGTACCCTTCGAGGACTTCCCTGCAGACAAGAAGTTCACGGACGAGAACTTCCTTGACTTCTTTGGGAAAACGTGGCTTCCTGCACACCCCAACGCGTTCTCCCTTGATGACGTTCTGAGACCTTTCTACGGTAAGTCCGCTGTTCGATTGAAACAGGTCAGCATTGACACATTATTATGGAAGACGATTCCGAAAAGCCAGACTCGAATACGTTCTTTCAGGTCTTTGCAGTCTCGGATGGATCAGTCATACCAAGCACAGACGAAAACGAGGCTTGGCTTAACCAAACCATCCGTTTTGTTGCTTTCATAGCAGGAAATGAAAAGCAGATTCAAGCTACTCCTTTTGACAGCAACTCCTGGACTTTGTGTGTTGTCGGGTCTGAGCTCGTGGAAGATCAGGAGGTCTTCCTACAGGTCGCTAGCTGGGACGGCAAGCGCTTTCGTTACTATGGAGTAAGTCGAGTGATATATCGCCCTCATGTAAGCATCTTAAGGCACCAAATCCTGACGTACGTAGCGAGAACGCGCCAATGGGAAGGACTCCCTTGCCTGGATCTTCCAAGGAGATTCAACTCTTGCCTTTGGAGACCAGTCTTATATGGGCCCTTTCAATGGACATGTCAATGGAAGTCTAGTGATGAAGGAGATGCACGTGTATGTCGCCATGTAAACTGGCAATTTCGATAAGCTGACTTGCCATACAGCCCTTGGATCCACTGGCTTCGGACTGACAATAACTTCACCAACAACATTTCAAATAAAATCTTGGCCACATTCAGCAAATTCCCTTATCTCACTGACCCGAACAGCAGCCTATCCAATGTCCAAGATGCAAGGGGCATGGAGGGTTATATCTCAAGTGGGATAAACAAGTGGTTCAACTCACGGAGACAGATGGATTTTGTCGATGAAAAGCTCAATCCGCGAGTTGAAGTTAAGAATGTGAAGCGATGGCTGGCTCATGTGCTACTTACCACGACTGTTAATCTAGTATCAGCGCTACCAAACACAAATTCTTCTCAAAATGTTGATTTTGACTTCCCCAGCGAACATTTCTATAATTCGGACTTGTTTGGAGTCTCGACAGCGACCGCTATTCAGGTACGTCCCTCTTCAGAAGCCAAGCCAGTATATCTGATTGTAGAACAGCCATCTGCCGACCTGAAACCCCTTGGATTCAAGTCCGATCCCTATGGCGTAGCAGTGGATGCCCTCAAGCTTGCGTTGGTGCAATTATATCCTCCACCAGGAAGTCCACAACCAGATCCGAAACTTCATCCGGAGGTTGATAATGTTCTTATCGGCAATGACCAGCTCAAAATGTTTGTAGCCCAGTATGGAGAGGGCCAGAATATTGCCTTTACGATTCTACAGCCGTCGTATGAAGACGTGCAGGGTGCATCGATCTTGCTGAGCATGAAGACTCCCTTGCTTTCCAAGGACTGCATCTATGCAATGCTTATGGTCGACCCATGGAATCCGATCTATTCGTGGAAGAGGGGAGTTCTCATGCAATACGTGCCAGATATTACCCATCTCCCCGGGAATTTTGATCCAAAGGCCAGCCCACCGCAGAAATATGACCTGGAAGCAAAAATTGAAGCCGCCGTCAGGGAAAGCCCTCGCTTCAAAAACGAAACAGACAGCCCCGAACGTGAGTTCATCGCCAATCTCGAAGAGCAACGCAAAGGAAATTCTAGCTTCTCCAATAGAATGACCGACTACTTGGAGAAAGTCGCTGGACGATTGGGCGATCCGAAGCAAGTCAATGCTGCAATGATAGATTTTATGACACTTGCTGAGTCTCGGAGACGAATCTATAGGCCAGTGCCGCTGGACGAATTCGACCTGACACTGCCATGGGCCACAAACTACAATCATGACGCCCCGTTGGAGATGAGGCCGGATGGCACTATCAGTGCAATTGCCCCTCGAGGAGTCAAGTTCTTCAGAGACTGGATTGGTTCACTGGCATCGTCCAACCCACAAATGATGCCTAGATCTGACAAGGACGACCCTGATGACCATGTTGATGGACCTATCATCCACAATCAGTCAACACTGGCTGCTCGTACCGCAGCTATTGGTTGCCAGAGCTCGCCCACTCTCCAAAATATTCGGAGAGGTCAATGTCCAGTCCTATCCTCGAGGAAACGTGCGGTATGTCGTCCTGACCCCAGTTTTACGCAGTCTGCTAAGACCGTGAGTCCCACATGGGAGCATGATATCAAAGACCTATTCACAATGCCGTATTGGATTGAGCCATTGGAAAAGCGAGTCCAAGTGGGGAAACACTGGGTCGGCGCAATGAAACACTTTGGTGCTCCGATTCCTCCCTGGACAGCCGACGCAGAGAATTTGGGCTTGGATAACTATGATCAAGTCAAGCTCCAGGCGGTCACTATCTACCATCATGTTGCGTCTCGCTCAATGCCTATTACGAGCGATCCGACCGAGTATTGGCCAGGGGATGCTCTAGAGTTACTTCGAACGTGGATCAACCAGGGCTGTAGAAAGAGCGAATCAGACAATATTTCTGCCCCTCTTGTGCCACTGGAGCGGTTTAGAACACCGCTCTTTCGAACTCGCAAAGATATTCGTGAACTAACTCTTATTGAACTGTCGCAGTACAGGGCCAAGCTACGGAATGTGCTAGGAGTAGGGTCACTGAAATCGAAGTGGCAGGAGCTTGGTGAACTGCGTAGGTTTTATCTCTACCAACTGCCACCCTTCTAGAACTAACTGGCGCAGATGCTTGGTGGTGCCTGCACTATCAAGAGGCTACATTTTTCTGGCATCGCTGTTATTTGAAATATGTGGAAGAGCTGATTGACTTCCCCATTCCGTACTGGAATGGGTTTGCAGCTGATGCAGCTAATCCGGATTCTCGATATGCTGGGATCCCGGAGATCTTCCTGGAAGACACCTACACGGATCCAGATGGGACAACACACAAGAACCCTCTACGTTGGGCATACAGTTATCAGGGTAAATCAAAATCGAACCCCAAAACACCCTACGTTCAACGCAACCCAATTCTCGTGAATGGTAGGCCTAGCCAGCCTGGGCCCGCCCGTGAAGCCTGGAACAAGCAGATCAACCTGTTCAATCTGTACCACCAACAGATTGTCACGTCCATGCAACAACCCGTCTTCAGTCTTCCTCAATACAATCCCACTCCTCAAACTACTGCTGAAGCAGCATGGGCGGCCCTTCCTGAATTTCTGCAGGAAATGCCTGACTCAGACTACACCGTCGCCTACGGCACTTTCGATGGGCATTTCGAGCAGGCACACGATAATTTCCACGGATGGACTGGTGGTGCAGTTGGGGAAATGGCGGATAACACATATACGGCCTTCGATCCGATTTTCCTGTCGTATCATTGCAACATGGACCGACTTTTCGAGCACTACCTGCGTTCAAATCCTGGTACCAAGGTGACAGCGGAATTCCCACTGCGACCGTTCGTGGATCAGGCCCATGCTCTAGACTTGGTCAATCCGAATGCTTGGGCCTACACTACCACTGGGGACGTTGCCAAACCTACCGCTGCTCTTGGCTACGTATATGCCCCGCCGGCGAGCCCTGATGTTTTCGAGCTTCCGAAGCCAAGATCGAAAGTCGCCAAAGCTAGCGGCGGCGGGACTCTGACTTTGCTCTCAACTCCCAAAAAGCAGACTGGAGGAAGTGCCAATGCCCCGCAAGCTGGTAAAGCAAAGCAATTGAAACCTTGCGTTGTATTCGAAAATGTTGGCTGCACTGAAGCATCATACGAGATCGACATTTTCCTGAATGGCACAAAGTCACAACTGTCCGACCCGGTCAACAATCCCGACTTCATCGGCAGGATTTTCCGCATGGGTATGGGCAGATCACTAGCAGGAGTCGAGTTAAAAAACAAGGGTAGATGCCTGAAAGAAACGGTCACACGGGTTATCGATGCGGGAGCAGTAGTCGATAAGATCAAGGAGCGAGGATGGTTCCAGGTCGTAAGGGAGCTAGATGGCAGTAGCGAGGGGAGGCTGATGCCAGAGCACGAGTGGAAAGCCAAGAAAGGGTTCAAGGGAAAGCTGTTGTGGATTGCTAAACAAGACATGGGCTAGCACATTTTCCTTCCAGACTAACATGATAGTCGCACCGGCTTCATCACCACGGCTTTCCCTGCAGCTAACTAATCTTTTTGACATCAAACTTGCGCTTCTCTTCTTCTATTCATCCTTTACAATGCAGTCACATACCATCACTCCAGCCTTGCTGAGTGTCCCAGGCCTTTCCGAAAAAGGTTTGCGTTCCCCCTTTTCCAACAGCCTCGCCATGGTCAGTCAGGCAATATCCTTCGCGTTAAAAAACACCAGCAAAGAAAGCTAAGTTGTACTCTTGAGACAATCTGAGTCAAGATTAATACAGGCTGGAATATAAGATCTGAATTATTTCATAACATCGAAGATACTCGACGACATTCAATCTAGACGAGACGGCTAAAGTTGATAGACAGTCTCCTGAACACTCATATTGATTTTTCGAGTATTGGGTATATCTTCCGTCAACTTGAGACGCCTCGAGTAACACAACTCTTTGGCTGTTACCTTTTACAGTGAATGTTGGGGTCTACAATGTCCATAAGGGAAGGTCCTCGAAAGTGTGGGCCTTGAGATGCGACCTCTGCGACCCTCCGGTGCGCCCACGCCGCGATCTCACGCAGCACATGTTGGATAGGACCGGCCGACAAGACTTCAAGATCAAAAAGATTATGCCAGAAGAAGAAATGCTCTGGCGGGCTGTGGACAGCGCTGGAAATACCTACCAGGGCGAAATCATTGCTGCCGTTCCGAACGGGCCCCGCCTTAGTGACGAAGTCCCTCCTCCTTGGAATCAACGGGTCGAAACCAGGTTTCTTCCGTTGAGGAGTGCATAGTGTGGGCGCTGTTGTGTCAAGTGAGGTGTATTAGCGAAAGTTTTTGGGGGTATGTTGGTGTTTCTGATCGAGGAGCTTACAAAAGGGATCTAATTGGCCATGATGGCTTGTGGGACAATCGAACTGAACTGAAGTGAGCCGGGAGAGCATTGGCGGCAAAAGTCCTGGGCTATGCTAGCTAGCTTTATCGGTCTAAAGTGGCGATGCTTGCTTTGCCAGCTACGTCCGTATATTCCACAGTATGCCTTGTATATTTGGTTTGTATGCGTGCTTGACATGTCTTATCTTCATCCTTAATGCTAGATCCAACATAAACGAGCATCACCCGCTAAATCCAACGATTGGATCTAAGGTAGCAACGTCGTGACCAACGGGTCGTAAGTATCGTTCCCATATGCATCACCACCATAATCAAGGTATCCATTTATATATGGCGGATTTGGAAATTTAGCGAGAATCGAGCTGGCGTTGCCGAAAACCCAGACCGTTTGCATACCCATTGTCATATGCTGCAAGATATGGCAATGCATCATCCATGCACCGACGTCTTCTTCGGTGACCCTGATCCTCCAGGCTCTCCACCCCGCTGTAGTCTGCGGCATGCCTGAGGTGGCGTAGCGGTACAGTAAAGTTGTGTCACGTCTCGCCGGGGTGTAGTTGACGAACCTCGGTTCGTTCGCTGTGGCGTTGTATGTACCATTTCTAGATAGCAAAATCAGTCGAAATGGAGTATACGACAGCCTTGCATGAAGAGTTGCAAGAAATAAGGACCGTTGCAGAACCTACCCTGAGCCAAGGTCAAAATAGTGCTTTCCGTGCGCGTGCATGGGATGGAAGTCCCATCCACCTGTTACGCCCGAGTTACTCTGCCAGACGATGTCGAGAACTTCGCCTGGTAGGGCTGGGAAGGCATTGCTGTAGGGATCCCAGCCTCCATTTTGCAAGGCGGCTGTGTAATTCGGTGTTTGGCCAGTAAGATAAACTTGCACTAGATATGGCAGACTGTTGTTTGCCTCTCGCTCCTCAGTTTGCCAGACAAGGTTAGATTGCCTAAGGATAATCACAATTAGAAAAATGACTACTTTCGCGCTGGGTTTGAAGTGGAAAGCAGGACTAGCAATCATGCGAAGGATACGAGGAACTCACGCCCACTCCAAAGTGCCATTTATGGTATTGTTGACATAAGCCCCTTCTCTAATGACTTGTCGCATTGTGATTGTCACAGTTCTTGTGACTTCAGCCAGAGTCGGGAAAGGCTCAGTTTCCTGCAAAGACTCCAAAGAGTACTCAGCCCAATTTGTGACATTCCCAGAAAGGGTGACTGGATTTGTTGCAGGAAGTATGCTTGGGAGATCCGAGCCAGGTAGATCGTACTGTAGCAACGCATAACCGGTGACGTTTGTCGGCCTATCTCTGCTTTCATAGCGAAGCCAATAGCTCATTTTGGTCGCAGATGCCAGCTCAGCTTCAGTTTTGGTGCGCAGTAAGATGCTAAATCGTTGCCCACTACCAAGTTGAAGATGATCAGTACTCCAGGGCTTAGTGTAGTCTCCATCCGCCTCGATGATGGTTAGGTTGTCGTGTTCCTCGATTCCGAGCGTGACAAGTGATAGAGCAGTGCCGCTGATGAATCGGAGACGGTAGGTTGTACCAGGTTTGACGGTGATGATGTGCGGCGTACAGGATGGATCAGAAGCGTTATTGAATGATGAGTTGCCACTTTGCCCATTAATCTCGATGGCTTCTGGTTCGCCAGACCACTTGAACGGGTTTGCCACAAGATCATTCTCAATAGTCGAGTCGTTCTTCGGGAAGTAGTCTTGAATAAACAATGAAAGATCGGCGTCGTATTGATAGGGGACGGAATTCTGATCTTCGACGATAAGAACTCCTTGCGCCGTGTTCGCCTGGAACCCTACATGTGAGTGATAGAAGTATGAGCCAGCATCGCCGACTAGTGGCGTGATTGAGTAGTCGAAGAACTCGAATGGCGCAATGGGCCATTGTGAGACTTGCGGCGTTCCATCTGAGAAAGGAGCTGTGCGTTGGCTCAATCCGTGCCAGTGCTGAAGGTAGAAACCATCAGTGCCCGATTCCCCATACTACTGATAGGTAATACTGAACGCTATTCAATACCTACCACAGTGAGATTCTCATTTTCAATGTCGTTGTAGACTCGGACCCAAGTCGTATAATTCTCCTTCAAGTAAAGTGGAGGCCCAGGGCTGGTGCCGTTGAAAATAACCGAATATCTCTGCTGACAGTTGATCGTGATGTCGGCAGCTGTGGCGACCAGCACATAGTCCGGGCTTAACTGAGGGTCGGGAGCATAGGCGGCGACATCGCACCCCAGGAGCAGAACGACAGCTACAGCCTGGAGAGTAGTCGTCAGCATTTTGACGGATGGTATGAATTGCGAAATGAGCGACTACTCTAGCTGGACTGAGCGGGGCATCTCAGCTATTTATTGGAGGTCAGATTGGGCGCGCTACACAAGTGTGAGAATATAGGTCCGCAAAGAGATCTGCAGATCGGCCTGTCAGGCCGTGCGGGCGGGTTTATGTACGAGATGCAACGCATATCCCGTTTATTGCGTCTTTCCAGTGGCTGAAGAGTTGACTCGACCACGACCATCGGACATAGCTACACAAGCTCAATGAGCACGGCTTGCGGATTGAGCACGGCTTGCGGATTGCGCACAGTTCCAGTTCCTGTGCCACCAAATAGTAATTATCGACTCAGCCGGAAGCCAATTTGTGCCGCTCAGGCATAAATGTTATCCGCTTTCGGTGCTCTGCCCCATTCCGCAAAACCGTTAGTTTGACGGGACGAGGCAGGGACCTACAGGCTACGAGTCCTGACTATCCAGGTGCTTGGTGATGCTGAAGTTGGATTTAAGCTTTAGGCTGCGGGCGGTAGCGTGTCTTGGCGCTGACACTCTGGGGCAAAGTTCCGCTTAGGTATCCAGCTATATAACACAACCATCTGGGTGCCAACTGTAACGGATTACGATTCACATTGAGTCAAGAGAGTTGTGTTTGCATCTTGAAGACGGGCCAGCGATATATCAACCACGCATCACTATCTCTCGAGACAGCCTCCTCTAGTCCTTTACAACATCCAGGTTCTGCCTAGATGCCCAGCGAAGCTAAAAGCGGTCAATGCTTAATTTGGAGCTGGAGCGTCTCATCACGGGACTTCCCTGATGACATGACGATCCTCGCAGATCTTCAGTGCAGAGCGCCGCGTTTACCTACCTTGGGAATCTCACGGAACGCCTAACTCACAAAAGAACCAAAATCTTGCTTTCGGCAATCGATTCGGCCCTACCATTACGAATCACTACTGGAATTATGTAGGTTGAGAAATTCGAATGTTGAGATCGACACATCATCCGCTTCAGGCACGTTAGTACCAACCTTTCAGGAATCTTTGTAGGCTGTCATCGCTAACATCCTCCGCTTGTGATTACTGCTTTACATTTTAGAGACCACAGGCCGAGGTAGATGGTGGGCAAGCTTTTTCCATCTGGCCGGGGGCTTTATCTGAACCTTGGATCCCGCACCTGGTACTCGTTTAATCACGGCTGAGTTTTCCTGGGGAAGGCTGCACTGCCTCCACGTGGTTTTACGACCACTAGAATCCGGCGGCCCTCGTGAATTATGTGGCCCGAGTTCGAGGCTTCATGGCGTTGCTGGTGTCGGACTCATGCAAGGGCGTGACAATACTCGTATTGAGAGCATGTATGTCATGAAAAGCCCTTGTGGAAACAATTGTAGTAGTTCAGCTCGCAGATTCTCCTCGATCCAAACGTGGTTCTGTCCTTTTGCCAGGACTTATCCTCTTCTCCTTGGTCTTTGCAACGGGCCGTAGCCACAGCCCTGCCTTCGCCTGAGAGCCAGCATAGGATCGAACCTCGCATCTCTCAGCCCCATGTCTTCGCGAAAGACGGGGAATAGATTGCCTACTCGACGATTCCTTCGATAGACGCTCCGTCCATTGCGAGAGGAGCGTACCCAGGCCAAGAGGGACTTGGCTTCAGCGGAAATTGTGCGCAGAGGGGGTTGAATGTGGTCTGCCGTGATGCCTGACTTGACTGGTTCTGCTGTCCCTTTTGTGCTGATTGATGGGGAAGGTCCTTTGTCCACACGTGCGTTCTTTTCCAAAATGGCGTTACCGGCCTCTAAATGGCCATCAAGTGTACTCACAGCTCCATCATCAATATGCGTCTTGTTCAGTGATACCTCTGATGCTTCTGATCCGTTAGGCAAGGCATGCAATGTGTCGTGCTCAGCCGCACGATGCACGGGAGGTTCAACACTGGATGCATCTAGCACCCCATTCGAAGCAAGAATTGAAGACTCCTCCAAGGGTGATGGAAGCGTGGAAGTCGTCCCGCTTCCCAAGACTAGCGCAACTGATTCCGCGAGCTTCTGATCAGAGTGATGGGCAGCTACACGCAGCACAGCCATGCTAAGAGCCTCATCTGGAATTATGTGCATAGACTCGACGTACGTATGCCAAAGGTGTTTTGTCAAATCCAAATCCTTTATTGAACTGGCATGGTCCAACACATGGAGCAGAGTCGGCCGTGGAATCGAAAAGTGTTGATCATCGAGCGTGTAGCATAGGTCAAGAATAGCTTCGCAATCACCCCGGTCACAGAGCGCATGGATAAGGATGCACCATACCCAGTCTGAGATGGCGGTGCCTTTCTCATGCATTTTACCAATTTCGGCTCGGGCGAGCTCAATTTGGCCCTCGCGGATCATCGCAACAACAATCAATTGTGCAACAGCAGGCGGGATTGAAATCCATTGTGATTCCATCAGATCCGTGATGTATGCACGAAAGAGGCTATCGGGGTGTACGGACAAGACCTGCATTTACTGCTTAGCGGTGTCCACATCTTGAGACAATATGAGAGCCGAGGACGGACAAACCTTGACAATAGCGAACGTGAGCGCTGGAATCATGGGCACCTCCTCGCGGAATATTTCTCGTACGATAGATTTAACGGATTCAATGGAGCCCAATTTTGGATGACAGTTGGCCAAGATCGAAGCCTCGTAATGAGGAGGGGCGATTTTCACCTGACGCTGCTTGATCAACATCGTCAGGATATTTCGGATTGGATCGGGATGTGGCTGGCGATGCGCAACAAGCTGCAGTTCCTGTTCAAGGAGCTCGGTCGAGCGCTGATCTCTTGGTATCACCTTCCTAGCCCGTGACTGTGATGGCGAAGATTCGCTTCTCGGTGCATAACCACCTAGGATGGCTTTGCGGAATGAGCGGGGCATGAAACGACGGGATGGAGGTTTGCGGTCGTTTCGCGGCCGTGGCCTGGAAGGCTCCGCAACCACCCCCATAAAGACATCCTTCTGTTCTGCTTGCGGATCTAGGGGATCGTCGGGTGTCGCCTCAAGCAGAGGGAGGACATGGTGTGCGACAGCTAAGGAGAATTTCTTGCTCCCTTTGCTCGGCCACATTGGTCTCCATTCGTGCTTTTTCGCTCCTGGCGGTACATCTCGTGCTGAACAGGAGTCGAGTTCCTCGTCCTTTTCTACGCCACTGGAAGATTGTCCTATGGCCTGTGGCCTGCTCTTTCCATCCCTGCCATCATCACTCGTCCCGAAGGATCGACAGGTGCGTCGCGCTATAAAAGAGGGAGGTAGAGTTGGCGAGATGGCATTCCAATTGAAGACTTTGGCTACTCCATAGCTACTGCGCCGTGCCCTATGCATCAGCTAAGCATCGTTGGTCGGCGAAGGGCGTGGTGTGCATTGAAGTCGAAGGTGTATCGACAACGCCGCAGGAACCTAAGTTTGGAACCTTGGAGTCAACTTCTATAACAAACAGGGCAAATATGCCAAGGCTCTTGGCTCCCCTTACTGACCAACGAGTAAAAAGCTCACCGCGTCGTCCCATTTAGGTGTATTGTGCCGTGTAAATAAGTCTGGGCACCACGTAATGAAACACCCTAGTAATAAAACACGCGTTTTTACGCGTTCTAAATACTACTCCCTCCTCCTCTACATCCTCCTACTCCACCAATTAATATATTTACATAATAAAATAGTATTAAATCGAGAGACTAGGATGCTCTAAGCGATATCCGACTACTAAAATCGCCGATATACGAGTATTCGCGCTACCGCGGCGGTAAATAATATAAATTACGTTAGTCTCGGCCGTCGACTACGAGGTAGTATTTTACGAGTAATTACTCGTAAACTATAATAGATATTATTAAATAAGTAAGAGTAAATACTTATACGATAAATACTCGACCTTAAGGCGTAAGGATATCCTCCTAGCTTTACTTAAATCCGAGATCTCGTTATAATTATTTAAGGTAATTCTATAGAACCCTTAAGTATCGACTAAAACTAGATATTACGATCTATATTGTATTGAGATTAAATCGGCATATATTCTCGCCTATCCTATAGGTCGGATAAGGGGGTAGGGCTACGTTACTAGGGGTTCTCTTTCTTCTAGGACCGTAGGATAAGAACTAATCGACGCTAAAACGAATACTATAGTAGCTATAACTAAAACGATACTCTTTACTCACCTATATTAGCGGAGGAATAGTAACGCTATCGATCTCTATAGTCTTAAGCTCGCTAAAGGACT